CCTCCACGTTTTTCCAATTGCTGATCGTTGGTAAAAAACGTGCCAGCTGATGGAATGTCGGATATGGTTCCACGTTTGAAAAAAGAATTTGGCCGTGAGAGATTAGCAGCTACCTGGCTGTGGCCATATCGAAAAGCTGCCGTCGCGAATTCGTTGGTAATGGCCAGGTTATATTCAGGATCATATCCATTCCAGAAGCCGAAACCATCAACCGGTTTCAAATCGAATCTTTTCATCCATTCCCGGCCAAGAAGTAAGGGAAGGTATTCTCTGTAAACGATAGATTGATAAATCGCAGATACAATTCGACGGGCTACATTGAACACTTCATCGCTATCCCATCCCATGTTTACTAGTTTTACATTTCTTGCAACATAATTGTGATATCTGGCCCAAATTGTAATAATAGAAATAAGTCCTGGGTTTTCATTTGACCTAACGTCACCAGCAACAAAACACGGTATATCCTTCGGTGTGTGAATTTTCACTGGACAATCCATCGTCTTAGAAACTGCTTTTTTTAGTTGGTCTTGATTAGGAAGATTTTTGCGTGATGCACTCGCTGGATTTTCTACCATTTTCAATTCCCCAGTGTTCGAAGCAGGGTCGCGAAGTTCTTTTGCTTCTTTTTCGGTCTTGCCATAAATGAAAGTTAAATCTAATGCACTTGTTATAGCATTTATTTGTTCCCGTTGAGCGAATGTACATCCTTCAACACCGATAGCAACTTTAGAACGAGGGAGTTCCATGCATTTTCTGTTAGCTTTCGTTTTTTGAATGTCGCCTTCCGGGAGTTTAATGTTTATACAATCTTTTTTAGGCCGATCGCAGTCGCAGTCTAAATCTGTGCCGTCTTCGTTTTTAATTGCAGTCGTAAGTACGATATCGTGAACAACTAATTGTCCAAACACCACATGCAAGTGTGAAACCTCACTTGAAAATGACTTTTCGGATTCTTTCAAGGCGTTTGACACATATCTTGGCAACGGGAGTTTTCCAAACACACCATTTGATCTAGGTTTTCCACGGGAATCAGAATATTCAGCAGGCAGTAGACGGGGCAGATGTGTATTTGTAGCACCCCAAGTGGGATGCTTCAAGTTATTGCAGGTGCCATCCACTAAAGGAAACGGTTGATAAGAAGGACATTGAACTTTACGGGTGATACATTGCTCAGGCTTGATTGCATCCGATTCGTAGTCATGGCCATACTCCCCCCCTAATGCAAATTTAACATACAAGACAACGATTACCACGCCTATCCCCATCATGCAACGTATCTTTGATGAATGATTGAACCGCGGTAGTGCGGTAAGATTTATTCAATTTGATTAACGATCAGTTAAACGAGAGAATTACAGAGTAAATTTTTTCTCTACGCAAGTACACACGTATGCAGATAAACATTTCTATAAATATCACTTATAACGCAGGTTTGGTAACGTACGTTACGATGATTCATGTAAACTTAAACTTCCTTATATTTTTATCAGCGCTTGAAACATCGCGGCAAACGTCAGACATAAGCTGGATTCCTCGTGACTTTGTTAAATCACTATCGCTCACTAGTTTGCCGGCATTTAAGCAGATGATTGCAATCAAAAGCATAATATAAAACACGCATACAGGTTGAGTTACATAAGAAGATTCGACTCATACCTGCGCCAAAGCGAAAGAAATTTATGTCTTTTTGTTAGAGAAATTTCGGGTCTCATATGATCTGGAAAAATAACTATTCGATTTCTAGAGGCTTCAGTCATCTTTAAGTACTGAAAATTCGAAATGGGTTTCTCAAAAACAAGATTTTAACAAAGAGATACATACCATGTTTTCTCGAAAATAATACTTAGCATAAATTTTAAAAATAAGACCGAGTCGATAGCGCAAAATTTTTTTTGACCTAGCATAAAAGTCGATGGCAGGAAATCTTCCCTACTCGTTTTAAACGATTATTGATCTATGTTTAGCAGTTATTTTCAATACCAACGTGTTATTTACAAGTAAATTGATATCGGTTTTCATAATTCGTATATTCGAAAGTCTCGTAATTCTCTACTTTGTAATTTTGTTTTTGATGAATGAAAATAAAAGAGATTCTCCCAAATTAAGCCCAAGTGGTATTTTTCGAAAAAAAAAATTGAAATAAGACACTGTCTTATTTTCGAATAAACTTCATACATGTTTAATATAATGCGACGTTTTCCTTCAATCAAGGCTGCCCTCTCCAGTATTAAAAATTCCTTGCAGTGATAACTTCCCCTTCATTTTTTCGGTAAATCCGTTTTTACCCCACTTATCCTCACCCATGAAAAATGTGACCAATTTTTATAATAAAACTCAAAGCATAATTGTAATAGTACCGTAAATGTACAGTATGGCAAAATTAATAAAAATTCAAGTACAAGCACCGACCAGTAAGCATATATATAATACATGGTAAAAAAATTAAAACTGCGAATTTAAATTTGTACTAAGAATTGTGACGTAACAGAAATTTCTTTATATCATTGAGGTGCATTATGATGAAACCATGATTCGTATCAAGAATACTTCAGAAATTTCAAAATGTGTATTGTGTAGATGAAATATGATAGAGGTAAGAATGGAACCCAATTGCTTTAAAGGTAAAAAAAAGCATTATACTTGTGATTGTGTACAGTTTTACAGATTTCACTGAACAAAGACTCTGCTTTGGATTGAATGTGTAAAATACATTTTTCAAATTCAATTCAATTTTACACTCATGTATTATGGAATACAGATCGTGTTTAATTATCAAATTTAGCGATTTTGATATTATCCAGAGGAGAGGAAAAATGATAATCCCAATGCTGATGCATAGTACAGATTTCCATCTGCTAAATGAAATATTTACGTTAACAAATTTATTGGTCGAATGTTTGAGTCTTGAAATTTTCGTTGAATTTATTTGATATACCTTTCCAATACTAATAACAAAATGGCGAGTATACTGAATTTTGTTATACCAAAACCCAAAATGACATTACACAAAAATCAATTTTAGACAAACATTATATTAGTTCGAGGCAAGCATGAAATTACGTGTTTTTTGCTATTATTTCAGAGATAATTAGATATCAGTCTAAGTGTACTGCAATGGTATTCTTTTAGAAATTGTATGTATGGATAATATATTTGCGTTTTTCGGTTAAAATCACCAATATTAAAAATCATTGGGTAATATTCTATGTGACAAAATCAAACATTACATATGATCAAAATCTTTAAAAATGGAAAAATATAAAAATGTTTTATGTGTTACCAGTTTTAACAAAAAATATGAAAATGTGTATCGGAAGCTTAGTATGGCATTTTGTACTTGTTAAAATCTAAAATATGTTGCAAAAAATGAATTATTATTGTCAAAAAATTACACTGTGAAGTGTTTGATAGAGTAACTTTTTGACCACTTCATACAAGGTACTTTGGGAAAAGTACAAGTAGAGAATTAAACACATTTGGCCATCACGATTGTTTCAGTAATAATGAACAACATTTCAGGTAGAATTCTGACTATAACTCAGCAAGGGAATGGAATTTAGATAAAAATACCTTATGGCAGTAATGTGACTGGCCTAATTGCTTGAATATTTCATATTTGAGATAGAATGAAATCATTATAACTACAAAAATTATTTGAATTTTTTTAAGTTTAATTTTGGAAAGAAGCATATCTTAAAATGGCAGTAAATAGAAGACTTTATTTTTATCAGAAAAATGCTCAAATGAGGATTATTTAAGGTCAAATTTATATTTATCAGATGATAAACCTATAATTTCAAAAAAATCGAAATTTTTGAATATGGCCAGCTCTGGGATTGACTAAAAACCATGTATTTATAAACAACAATTCTGACTCTCAGGCAACAGTTCATATTATATTGATATTGAGGAGGATAGCAATCAGTGGCATACACAAGATTTAGTTGAGCGAGGGAGTGTGGCATTAAAAAATTGTCAATTATGGCATAAGATTAAATTCTCATGAAGTATTGTGATATCACAAATGGATTTTTAATATTCTGTGTAAACTACCCCTTTGGTACTAAATCCTGGAAAAACTTTTTTCAAAAAATGTACTGATATACGATATTGATTAATAAACTGATAATGTACCATTATTAACAGTGTGTAAGCTTGTTATGTACCATCATATTAAAGAATATAACATAATACTACAAAGTATATGATTCCATAGCAGTATGGTAAATATAAGAATATATATAAAGAAAAAAGAGCGCCAGGGCAACTCAATATAAAAAAACTAAAAAATAGCAGACTTGTACAAGTTTAAAAGGCAAGTAAAGCTTTATTTATAAGCGATTAAGCTTGATAATATATTTGGCTCAGTAAAAATAAAATGTTTTCAACCGGAATTAAAAATAATAATAAAAGATTCCATTTTGAAAGCAGAAGCGGATAGTGGTATGGATACCATAATCACATAAGAGTCGATGCATATTTAATGAGTTTGTATTTGGAAATTCTGGAAAGTCGAGGTAAAGAATAATTAGTAGGCTACTTCCGAAGTATGTGAACCAAGATGGCAGACACTTGAACGTAGTATGTGTACCAGGTTAGGGTTAGAACATAATTTTATTCCAATTTTCCTTATTTTAGTTCTATTACGAGTTCAGGGACTAGCCAAGTGACTCCTGCAGTATTTGTACCTGAAATTATGGCCTAACCCTAACCTGGTACACATACTACATTACGGTGTCCGCCATCTTGGTTCACACACTTCGGGAGTACCGAATAATTTGGTTGGTTCTCTACTTTCTATCTAAGTTTTCAAGAATTGAATGAAGATGTTTTTTCTTATACTGTTAGACTTCAATCGTTCAAAGTGATTATTTTTTTAATGAAACTATTCTGAATTACTCCTAAAATAAAGAATTTTGGATATCTAATACAATTAATTTCCGATTGATTTGAATATTCGATTCCCTTTGGAGACACATGTTTGCGTAAAAAAATTTTTATTCAGCTGCATGAATCGAATTTAAACTGTTATATTTACAGATGACTATGAAATATTGATTATGTGAAACTTTTTTTGATTTTCTTGCTAGAATATTCAAAAAATTTTCATTTGATCAGAATCAGTGTTTTACTTAAAAAAGCAGGTATTATTTTGGTGCTCCCATAGTATGTACACCAAGATGGCGCACAACCTGAACATAGTAATCTTGGTGCACATACTACGGGAACGCCATTATTTTAACAGTAACATTTATTTAAGAAATAAAAATGTCCACTCTATAAAAATCATAAAATACAAAAGTAAAATAAAGTCAGTAAAATTTAAAAAGAATAAAAAGTAGGCTAATATAAAAAGCAATTTAATACAGAATGTTGTTTTAAAGAAAACTTTGGAAGATCGTTTAGTACCATTTTGTAACGCCGAGGAATCACTGTCACAATAGCGGAAAAAATGAGGCGACTTTTTCAGAATGATACCGTTTTCTTGATTTTCAGTTGGCCATGTATGATAGCACTAAGATAGGATTCGGTATCGATATTAGTAAACTCTGAGTAAGTTACCTCACTTTAGAGCAAGTTTGCCACGTTTCAAAGCATATTTTTCTCACTCCTGAGTGAGTTTTCTCCACTTCTGAGCTAGATTCCTCTCACTTCAGGTTCCCTCATTTCTGAGTAAGTTCCGATAATCAGTGATAAAATATTACCAGTGAAAAATGTATAAATTACACTCATTTCAAATTTTACTATCAAAAACATACAGTATCGAAAAATTTGTGAAATGCTCGCTTTGTGTACAATAATCTCTAGGTAAATCCATTATTATTCCATACAGATGATTATATGCAGTTGTGTGTATCTAGTATTTTATGCATTATGCAAGCTTAGCTGGGAAGAATAGCTCTAACTGTATAAACAGGCATTGGTCACTTGGAATAGTGGCTCATAATCGATCAATGAGAATACTACACGTTAGCCTATTCCCTTTTCATACTGTGGTCACTATGTCATCGTCCACTAAAATTTCATTTGTGTCCTGATGACCAATGTAATCTGCCATGTATAAGTCGCCATTTGATCGGCCACCCCTTCCGCTGCCATTAGTGTGGACGCTTGACCTTCCTAACGCAGCTGGTGTCGATGATTCTCTTAGTTTCTGAAAATGTTAAAAATCATTTTTGTTAATACAAGTCTTTCACACCAAACGAAGGTCGAACGTCAGTTGCCAGTGCTATGTAAGAAGATACCTCATTTTGAAATGATAGACATTTTTCTGGTTAGTCATTGCCTACACAATTTCTGACGTTATGATAACTAGCAATATCCATTCTATTTTAAACGAAGTTCGAAACTAATAATATTTAAAAAAATAATTTTAAAGAAAATAATATTTCTTCGTAAAATTTTCCACTTTAATAACAGTAAAATTTTAGCTCAAAACATATCGAACATTTTCCTCATGTATTATAATTTCACCCTAAAGATCATAGATCAAATCAGGGCTGAAGAAGGTAAGTTTGGCCTAATTTCATTGGAGTCAGAGACTAGAGTCGAAAGATTGAATACGCTAAGTCGGAATTTCAGACATCTCATGTTAATACTTGAAAACAAAAACGAATTGAACCAAGTCTAATGAAAGAGGCTTGCATATGCGAAGGTTTTTGTTATCAAAATTGATTTTTTTCTGTGTTCGAGTCAAAATTCTAATAAATCGTAGCAGGGAATAAATTCTGGAATAATATTTACTACGCACCTCTAGACAGCCCCCTCTCGCTCTTGCAATCTTGAATATAATTGTAAAAATGATGATGAAAAAAATAATTCCGATGAATACGAATGATGCTATTGGTGTCCAACCAGACAAAGAATCCATTCTAGTTGCACCATCTGGTAACGTCGGGGCCAAAGATGATAAACCGTTCTGAACTGCACCCAAGATGATATAGATGAGACATATCTATGAAAAATTAAGAATATTAGGGTTTATTTATACTTAAAAATAAACATTCAAAAACAGCTTTTTCAATGTAAAAGATGAAATTTTAATTTTAAATTAGTTCTTCCAATCTAGTTGGTAGTTGAAACTTCGTGGTAAGTGTTGGAAATACGCTTGCCCCAAGGTCCCTTCGGGATAATAATATGTTAGAGGGTTGCCCGGGTCCTCTCCATGGTAAGGTGGTCCACTTAATTGCTGAGCGGTTACAGCTTTCTCCATCATAAACCCATGCATTTGGAGCAAATAACTGGCTAACTAATCTCATACCCGACATGGACTAGTAATCGAACAAAGGGCCATGGTTCGCCAAATGATTAAGTTGCCTTATAGACTTTCTATGGAATAGTGTACATTAGATTATCAATAGTTTTGTAATTAGGAGTAACTACTTAAAATGTGAAATCTCGTTCACATTCAAAATGAAAAAACTGTATAAAAAAGCCTTGGTGATAGATATATTTAAATATACTAGCGATGTTCACATTTTCATCCTCATGATATTGGTTTCAGGTAGCCCTGATTATATCAGTTTCCAGTATTTTATTCAGGCTAAATAAGTATTCCTTACCAATTGCCAATATTTACGGGAGCAAGAACAGCTAGTCATGGGAGGCAAGAAAGATATGTGCCAACGCATTGGGATAAAGAGAATCTTATATTTCAATTCTCCCGGGATATTATATGAAATACAATACTTCCAGCATGTGTCACAGACATCAAAGATATGGTTTCATTGCAAATGATATATAATATTTATACTGACCTATTGAATATAATGTATATAGGAGTAATATAGGATATACCGTAACTAGAATCCTAATTGTCATTCGAATGGCCTCCTCCGTAAAGGCACTCATGTTGAGACTGGAAGTGACTAGAGTCAATGAAATGACTCTGACTCGTGATCAACGATTCATCAGTGAGATGTAACTCAGTGATTGCCCCAGCTTTGGACTCAACTCGAGACATGGATGTGGACTTCTCTCTCTCTCACACTGCTATCGAAGGAAGGCTCACAAAAAGAACTTACCGCAAGTATAACCGGTGTTACACCACCCCACAATATTGGCCAAATTAGTCCTTTCAAACAATTGTTGTTCGTCATTGCTTTGATATTTGTCCGTAATAGCGTCACACCTACGATGAGGTTAGTGAATGACATCAATATTGCAAAATAAATAATCTAAGTAAACTATACATTATGTACTTGAATAGAATCTTTTTCTTCATAGTAAAAACAAGATATGTGCTGTAAACGAGCATTCCCCAACGGAAAAAAAACAAATTTTTTGTTGTAATTCCAAATATCTTTGAATTATTCCAGTATTATTGTAATGTATACATGTAACATATGTAATTATATGTATACTTTTGTTGTGCGCCATCTTGGTGCACATACTTCAGGAGCGCCACACATTTATTATATCCTCTGGGTAAGTGGTGGCAACAATTTCGAGATATTTATAACTTGTGATTCCAATATAGTAAAGTTCCACGCTTCTACTATTTAGAGTTAAGAGCATATGAATATAATCTTGATAAAAAATAAAACTTGAACTACATATGAAAAATTCTTACCAAAAGCATGGGTTATCATCAACAGTTCTGGTAAAGCAATCAATATGCAACAAACAGGCATTGTCAATGTGTCGAAGAATTCAAAAAACTGAAGAGCGCTGTCCTGTAAATATTGTACACAAATTTTTTTTATAGAAGCTTGTATTAACGGCAATGTCAGATAAGACGTTTTTTTTTTGAATATTCGAAACTGTATGTTCTGAAGTTGCATCGGCGAGTGAGAACCCCTAACAAGAATAATTATGTGAGAGAGGCCTCCTTTTCAATCTAGGGTGGTTGACGTGACCATTTACATTTTGAAATATTATGGATAACTTCGAATATAGAGTATAATGTAAATAGGGTCATATACCATAACCACGAGTTCGTTGTTTTAAAAATGCAAAAAAAAAGATTTAATCACTATCATATATAGTCAACTTTGATTCAGATTCAAAGTTTGATTTTAGACAACATTAGCTACAACAAAAAAGTCAAAAAAAGACAAAAATATAGATACTTCAACCTACTTCAACAACACATGGTACTCCGAAATAAACCGTCAACATAAACAATAGTATGAGCAGAACTGATACAATTCTAAGTCCGATGGCTCGACATGAACTAAGGGAATCAGATACAGATGATATCAAGCACTCAGTAGCCGGAAGCTGAAAACAGAGAAAAATAGTTTGAGTTGTTACCTTGTTAGTTGTTATGAATAAATATTTATGTATATACACTTAGGATTCTCAACTCGAGTTGGTCTCGAGTAACCATACGAAAATTTTTATATTGATTTTAATTTAGATTGTATGAATCGACATCAACTAATCAACTCGACCTGTGACAATTTTTGTATATTTTTCAGGAGATTTATTTTTATTGGCCTAAAATGTTAAGATGAACTTTTTTCAATAATATAAACTTAATATGAATGCTATATCCTATATGCCTAGTATAAAAATACAGTACCAATTACTGATATGAAAAATTTTACTTTTATGAACTGTTATATCACAGTTAAAAATGCATTAAACATAGCAGTAAATATTTTCAATGTAATTCATTCGATAAAAATCACTCACAATAGCTGCTGTAGAAAGTAAAAACAAGGTTGAAAACACGATGATACTCCAAGGCATGGGGTCGCCCCACATTTGTGAAAGTGCTTCGGAGTATGCAACAAATGGCGATAGGGGTCCTTTGATACCGTTGAGTGCATTTTCTGGTAGGACATCTCGAACGTACGACAAATGACCTATGACCCCGAAGACTGAAATAGCAGATACCAATGACATAAGAGGGACGGTCACAACAAGAATCGAAGCGTCAATTTCATACCTAAAAATATAGATTCTGTTAACAAGGGCATACCTTGTGGCCAGTGATGACCAATACCAAAATGATCAACTACTCTGAATACATTGTAAAGCAGGAGTGTGCAACCTTTTTACTGGCCAAATACAAGTAACTGGGTGAAGCCGAGGGCGCCACCTTTATTCAAGATAGCCTTTCTAGTAGTTTCAGGTGAAGAAAATTCAATATTGATAAAGCATTATTAGGAGTCCTTGCAGAAATGGTGAGTTAAATCGCATAAATATTTGAAAAAAACTGCTATTCAAATTTATTGTCACACCAACTTTAAACGACTTCAATGGGAAACACGTTTTAATTTTGTAGTGCCATACCCACCTGCGTGAGGTGGCGAGTTTGGGATTGATTCTTAATATTTTCAAATCAAATGAAAGTATTTTTGGTCATAACTCATAAAATGGAAAGGCCAGGCCTCTATTATACAAAATGATTAGAATTCCTAGAATTATTCCGAGAATTAAAAATTTGAGATAATCAAAACAATAAATTTTGAATCGATTTGAAAATCCCTGCCTGTGGCTATTGTTTCAATTGCACACAAAGATACGCTTTGATGCTTGTTAGTGGAATAATATTTATCGCTGGTCAATCTGTCATAATCAGATGCCGAAATGCAATTATAGCTGGTCAGTTGATTGGAAATTTAAGCATGACTGAAGATGGATTATAAAGACTTCCAGAATTCAGAAAGATTTCAGTGATTGTTACTATAAATAGTTTCGAGTAATCAGAATAAAACGTAAAAAAGTAGTGATTTGTCAATGTGTTGATTTTCGAAGTCTCGGAATAATTTTTTGGGCAACTAATAAAAAGTTTTTGTGCCTGCCCTGTACCGTTAGCAATAAATAAAAAAAATTCGAAGCAATTTGTACCAAGGAAGGCCTTAAATATTTATAGCCTTTTGCTAACAACATGGCTCTGTACAAGCAGGGGCTTGGAAAAATAAAATAAAAACCAATAGCTCAGTGTTGGACATTAGTGTCATAATATGGACATTTGCTTACTGACAAACGCTGTTGATACTTGATATCAATAGATTGTCCGTCTGGCTGTAGCTTTTAAAGGGTTAAAATTTTTCTAACACGACACAAGATAAATAATCATACTCACTTGTTATAAAATCGATTATAAGAAGCCCATGTACTCAATCCTCCCCATGTTACCATTAGAGACATTAAGACTTGACTTAGGGCATCTTTCCAGACCTAAGAATAAATATTATTATTATAATTATTATTAAATATTATATTATAATATTACAGCAATTGGGGTTGTTTACAATTTTAAAACATTTGGAATTGGAGTCTGTAACAGTCAAATCTTATTTATGAAAACATTAGGTTTTTCAGAAATATCGATTACTTGTAATATTTAAATTTAATCTAAATTAATTATACTCATGAGTCAATATTTCAAATTTTCTGCATAATTTAGCATCGTTTCAGTAATTGTATGACCAGAAAAGTCCTTGAAATTTAGATAACCAATCAAATCATTGTTTGTGTTAACTCTCAAACATTTGCGAAACTAAACAACTACAAATATACATTGAATACTATGTTATTAGAAGAACATAATATAAATTAGAATAATTATCATTTGAAAATAATATTATAAATATATTTCAAATAGAGATTATTTGGTTTGAGCCATCCTTAATCGCAGCCAAAAATCTTTCGACAGCAGGAGCATAAAACAGTGATATTTCTAATCTTACGCTATCTTGACAGTTCTCAATATAACAAATATTTGATTTTATAACTTATCAGTTTGAGAGAAAAGTTGAATGAAATCAAAACATATCATCAGATCTTAAAAGAATTTCACTCCACAGCTGATAAAATGGTAAAACCAGTCAAAACAAAAACTTTCATAATATGAATAAATATTCTTGAAATTGAGAGATTAATTTGAATAAAATTCTGATTAGTGTGAATGTGATGGAATGATCTATTCTGTAGAAAAGTGATACATGATTGAAATAACTTGTTTATTAAATACATTTGGTATAGGCGAGCCAGCCAAAAACTGAAAATAAATATAATACTACTAATGCTAATATGCAATTACAGTATCATACTAAAACAACAAAGTATATATAAGAATTGAAATTTTTAAAAGCTTGAAATATTCAAAATTGGATTGTTGCGAAGAAATGACTTTTTTCCTAACAACAATAAGAAGTTTACTTCCTGGCCAATAATACTAAAATAAAATATCACGATATACAACAAAAATAATTTAAAATAGATTTCAATATTTGACTTATTTTTGAACACAACATAATCGTCCATTTTACACATTTAAAAAAAATGTGCTATGCTTTTAGCAAATTCCACCATTTTTCATTAAATACTGAAAATTTTGAATTCGATTGGTCCATTAGTTGCAGAGTAGAGCGAGACAATATATACTTATATTATTATATATATACAACCATAAAAACCACAACATACCTTTGGTTCTTGAAAGCTTGTTATATTACTTGGTACGAATAGATATTGCAATCCTGTGGATGCTTTCTCTAGTGTTAAACATCTGACAAGTAGCATAACAGATACCGCAAATGGAACCGAACACAAAACATAGGAAACCTGAATAGGACAAAAAAGTATATTAAGAAAAAATGGTGAGGCTATTATTTTCCAATGCCAGTTTTCTTGCAGTTTATAATCTAGTAATATTTTAAGAGTTAATATGGTAATACCGTAATGATAATTTCATATTAATCACTAAGAGTCGAAAGTTGATAAGACGGCTTAAATATACAAAAAGTACAGCCTCTCATTCTGTTACCAGCCCATGACCTGTTATTTGTTTCAGATGCATGAATTTGGTCGCGGAGGAAGCCGTAACTGACCAGCGGTTATATGAAACAAGAATACCAGCAATTCTCTCAAACATAATTATATCACACACGATTCAAACGCAGAGTAATCAGACATGCGGGGACAAAAGTGTTCCGAGCGCTTAGCATGAAACGCCAATTTTAGAGCCCTTGATATCCCAATCAGGAATATTATAGCAAGTTTTATTTAATTTCCACTTCCATAACAGAATGTACAAAGTTAATGCCAATGGCATACAAAAGTTGCAATTTATAACTGCTTGGGTTCGCAGGTTTGAATTTCGCGGGGGAATAATAATGTGCTAGAAGATTACTGAACTCCTAGTAGGATATGTAAATCCTATCCTAACGCTATTGTTTTCATGACAACCTTACCCGAGGGACTGAATTCAATAAAAAGATAATTTAGTACAAAAGTATTGATTTGATGAATATTTAATCTACCATATTGCTAAGATAATAGGTTTATGAGCATAAAGAAGTATAAGATAAGCATCAGAAGGGGAAATCTCTAATGTGATTAACATTGGATCAATTCCTTATGTGTTTTGTCATATTAAGGAATGTCCAAATAGGTGGACTGACTATGCTGAAAGTAACTGGAAAAAGAGGGAAATATTCAAAAATGTCGAAAATGCACAGAAAAAAGGGAAATATTATCAATAACTCCCAAAAATAATTCCTTTTTTTAATTTCAAAAATGAAATACTGGTCAACCAAACTTTGGCTTAATCTGTTATGCGTGGTTAAGAAAATTATGTAAAATTTCATAATACGATGAAATTTCACCATTATTATGTATTGTATTGAAATAATCATATTTATTGAAATACCTCTATTTAATTATACATATTCAAAAATGTACCCACTTGCAAGAAAATGAAATTTAAAGGCAAGAAAGGAACAATATAAGAGGATACCAGTTTATGAATTTTTACCTTTCCTGTAAATCTGACATCTGAAAACAGAGAAATAAATCCAATGATCATCCGAAGTAGCACACAGCAACCAATTCCAACAGATGGTAGAAGTATAACCTGAGACGAACCTATCAACGTGTTTGTGATTTCTGAGAGGTTGTGACATACCGCTGCGTTTGATGCTAGATTGTTTCTGATTATGAAAAATAAGAAAAACTTTGGATGTTAAATTCTACGGAATATGTAAAATGTAATCTTTAGACACTTTTATTGGGGTTCCCACAGTAATATAAATTTTTTCCGGCAAAGATTTTTTTTGCAATTAGACAAAAATTTACCAAAATTGTGTTTTTATTTATACCAGGGGACAGGGGTGCCTAATGCCAATTTTATTTTAACTTAATCTAAACGAAATTAAGAAAGTGAGCTTTGGAATACCAATATAGAAAAAATAGAAAAATTTAAATTTTCATAGTGTATACCTGGATTTTGACAAATTTTGGAACAAGAAATTTGGAATATATTATAATTTCATTCAACTTATTTGAAATTATCACAGTATCAAACAATTTTACAATTTACAAAATTGATTGAAATTTTAATATCATTTTTAATTTTACCTCACTGCCAAATGTGGCAGTCCGATATGCCCTCTAATAATAACACTTTCAAATCCCATATTATACTAATATTATTGATAATAAAATCTCGTACTGCCAGAATTCAATTGCCGGTGTGGTTTGAGTTCCATCAGATGTATAATTACATAGTCTGACGAGGTTAAAGCTTCCATCCGGTGAAGCAATACCATGTCCAACACCGATCCTGTATTCCAATCCTTCTGTGCCAGCAGCCACACAATCTGGGCCTGAATTAGAATGTATAAATCATTTTTTTTTTACGACTTTTCCTCGAAACAAAGCTCTGTATGAGCTTTGGATGTTCAACGATATAAAATAAGCGGTAATCCGGTAATAAGTATGCGTATCAAGTTGGCGGACTCCGAAACATAGTATGTGTACCAGGTTAGGGATAGGCCATAATTTCAGGTACAGATACTACGGGAGTCACTTGACTAGTCCCCAAACTCGTAATAGAATTAAAATAAGGCAGATTTGAATAAAATTATGGCCCAACTCTGACCTGGTACACATACTACAATCCGGTGTCTGCCATCTTGGTACGGATGGCATACTTCGGGAGTACCAAACGCAAACTTTGTCGCTCAGCATTACCCACCCAATTTATACACCTTGGGTGAAGTGTTGGGCATGAGATTTGAACCCATGTGAAATATTAAAGGACTAATGCTTTAATTAATCGATAGGCCATAGCAATAAAAAGAATGAACTCGTGGATTTTTAATTTTAAAATATAATTCGACTTTAATACACAAAAATCTCCAGAAATTGCTAGAGGCAAAATCTGGTTATTAAGCTGTTAGTGTCTATTTATACCATAGAACAATGAAACAAACATATGAATTTTCTATGTACGACACTAAATTAAATACTTATAACGTACATCTACATTTGTAAAAAACATGAAAAAAATTTGCCTAAAAAAAATAAATAAAAAATATATTGCACTACTATATCACGTCTATTTGCAATGATGCTTATATTGTTTATCATAATTAATATAAATAATATTCATAGAAGTTGAAAAATAATAAAGGAAGTCATTCAATCAATTATACATCCATTGAGTTCCTGATTGCAGTTCACTGATTATATATTATTGAATAAATGACACACATGAGGGATCATCAAGTCTTAAAATTGTTTAAATTGCATAGGGGATTCATCAATACTATATTATACAGTTTGCTTGCCCCTACAGGTTTACTAAATGAAATAAAAATCCTGAATAAACGTTGATTGGAATAAAACAAACCTGGTTAAGATATATTGATAACCGACATCATATTTTCATTTAATGGGACTGTAAGAACACGTCTAACTGAATAAACTGTAATTTTAATATTATTCAAAGATATCAGATTTACTATCAGAAATATTTCTTTGTAGAACGTGATCATTGATAATTCTCACTTCATTTTAGCTGTAGATAGACACCTATGGGCCAAACATACTACACACAAAAACAAGCACTTCAGTAAATAAACAAAGTACTTACCTAGTTCGGTTTGACATTTCAGAGTATTCCACGAATTATCACAAGTACTGAAAGGAAGTGGATTGGCAAATGATGACAACAGGTAGAGAAGTAAATAATATGTAGCGGCTCCAAAATATAAAACAACTAAAATTGCCATTAAAATCATACACCATCCCACGCCTGTAAATGATAAAGAAAAACATAATGTACGGTACATAATACTACAAGAACAAAGATCATTATTACAGAAGTATGGAACATCTGATTTTCTTTAATAATATTACTTGTTCAAAATCTATTAAAGAAAATAATCTGCATCTCGAAATGCATGTTCACCCAAAAATTACCGTCGGCACTTCATATTTTTACAGAGGTTGGACCTGTTATAAATGAGGAGGAAAGCTGATAGCTGCGATAGTTTATACCCAGAAAACTCTGGGGCTCTAGGGAAATTCATAATCAATTCAGACTTCCGTTACGAGGTTAAAAAGATTTGGGCCCCCACTGCAGATTGAGGAAAATTTTGACAGAACCCCATCTCCAAACTCAGAGAAAATCGAATTTTGACACCAAAAACTTTGGGAGTATGCGAACGTCGTTTCATAGTCTGTTACGAAGGCTTGGTAAACTTAGTTCCTATATATTCAGTTTCATCAGAAAATTTAGACGTGTTTTTTTGGACATTGAAAGTTTGAAATTTAAACTCTGACGATGACGAATTAGTATTACAATTTTGACTATGATAGTTTAAAAATATATAATGTATAACACCAGTAAAAACATGACGAATACCGACTCACAGCCCATATTGAAGATGAATACGATGTAGAGCGCCAGATATTGAGATTCCCACAGTAAGGTGTTAAAATATTAAAAAAATACAAACATATTTCTTCAATAACTGACCTTGCATGATAGGAATGATACTAAATCCTTGTGGAGGAGCAAGATTGCTGTATTGTCCCCAAGCCATTTCTAAAAATACCAGTGGTATTCCAACAATGATGTACAAGAACAGATATGCATAGACGAATGGAGCTGAAAAAATTAAACAAATTAAAAAAGCAATACTTAGATTGATCTTAAACGCTTTATACATCGCCAGGGAGCCGAGTCATTAAGTTTACGGTAATTTGAGCTGGAACCCAGAATACCAGAGACTAGAGAGTACAGTGTCCCGAGCTCCGAAGCATCTACTTATTTATTCACATTTATAGTCTTCTGAAACAAATAAAGAAATTGGTCCTTTTTCAGCTTCTAATTTTTGTTTTCAATATTTTATTCCTAATATTAATTTGAAAGTTTAAATATGTTTTAATATAGTTTAAAGTTTGATTTTTAAATTTGAAAATCCCTGCATTTGGGCTGATTTTTTATGGTAGTGGTCATACTTAAAAACATCAATGGCTATATTTGAGGTAAAAATGACTCGAGGGAGCCATTCCGAAACATAATTTTCTGGTAATTTGAATCAGCAAAATGCAATTTCCCACCTATTTTTATTTTTCGTTCAAATCAATGTAATTTCTACAGCGAAAAATTGTTTTGACAAAAAAATATAAAAGTTATTACCTCCCCCATTCTCATATGCAAGATAAGGAAATCTCCAAAAACTGCAGAGGCCGAGAGCTTGACAGAATAATGTGAGATGATATTCCAATTTATTAGGCCAAGTCTTTCTCTCTGGTTCACTTTGACTCATATAGGATGGAGCCATGTTTAATCATAAAACAAAGTCATTTAAAATTAGATGGGTTACGCTGTACTTTAGTTGTCTAATTATATTGTATATAAAAAAGAATTAGATATTTAAAGTGTATATATGTAAAGTATAATACATTTCAATTCATCTAATAATTGGGAAAGTACCTAATACCAAAAAATATAGAATCTGCAATATTATATCTGCTTCTCAATTGGAGGACGTCCTATTTTTATTTAGAGATGTTTCTGTGTTTTAACTATCTTCAAATTTATAGCCTAGCTATATTCTATCCTGTAAATCCTATACTCCAAAGGGCATTTTAATCATCACCTGATCATCGCGCTAAAAACATTTCCGAGTTAGCTCAACAAGCGTGCGTACGGTACCGGTATGGGAGGGAACAGTGGTCAAAAATAACATTGTGGTGTTGCGACACCTAGCGGATGCATACCCAGCACATTGTATTTCTGTCGATTTTTTTTTGGACCAAGGAATAAAAACAAAACCATAATATTTTCACATTTGTGGAAAAGCAATGGCTAATTTCTAAACACAAGAGTGCGCTTGTATAATTTGTGCAGTTGGCCAAGCATAAAACATACTGAACTGAAGTTTTTCGATGAAATCATTAATGATCATTTCGAAATAAACTTATCAGTCGAAATCAACTTAATATTATTATTATTATCCGACGCAACCAACGACCAACATACCGGACGCAACCAACGACTAACATACCAACTAACATACGCAACTGACTTCCTAGGGTAGGGAAGTCTACTAATACTTTTTCTTAGAGAAAAACTGATTTGAAACAATTAGTTTCAAATTTTCAGAACTTGCGAAGTAGTCGCTAGAAGGCTATTTCAAATCTTCTCTAAGTCCTATAGCATAGGCCAGGGGTCACCAAACTACGGCCCGCGGGCCGGATCCGGCCCGCGGCGTCATTTTATCCGGCCCGCAATAACACGCAAAAATGGCTAAATTTTTTACCGATGGAGATTTTCCCCATCATCGTCTTCCTTGTTTATTTCGTAACATTGGCCAATCAGCAAGATGCAAAAAAGTGACGTATTAATGGGCCTTTTCGCATCCTCTCAGACACTTTTGTCACCCTGACAGATTTTCAGTCGTGGTTGTGAACAATACTTCGTTTTTGCGGCTTTGAATGCTATTCGTTAGTTTTTGGTTGTGTTTCGGAAATTGGAATATGAATCAAATAAGTCAATCATCATTTGCCTCCTTAGGAGTTGTAGTTTTAATATAGTAGTAATGAATAGTAGTATAGTAATGAAAAATTACTCTAGAAATAGCTGTGACAAAATAGGCTAACATTCTCTACCGGCACGCAAAGTTTTATAAAAAGTTTAAGAAAAAAGTTTTATAAAAACGGTCAAGAAATAACGGAGATATCGGAATTTTAGTACCGCCCGACAGGCCAATTATTTCCATAAGGATTGTATTACTTTTTTGATAAGAACTGTAATAAATATGAAAAAAGAACACTTATCAATCACCAATCTTTCGATGTGCGTCACATCAATGGAATATTGAGACTAGTTCAGGATTTTATTCTGGCAACGGTCATTGACACCGCCGAAAGATCGTCGCAAATAAACGCTGGAGTTGTGCATGATGGTTTGACAGTAGTTAATTGTGGGTTATAATTAACGATGTTCTGATTGTACAAACTTCATAAAAATTGGTAAGTATCAAGTTAGGCAAGAAATACACACGTCCATATAAATTTTATTGGTGTCCATAGACAATATCATTAATTTGCATTACGTATAACTGGAGCGTAATTTTTAAAAGCTCCGAATGTTGGAAAATTTATGCGCTAATGGAAAAATTCAAATACCAGATAATAGTTATTTATTTTATCTAAATTATGTCAATTTCATGGAATTCCTAGATACAGTAGGCAATCCGTAGTCATTTTTATGAGCGGTATTCCAACACGGCGTAACGGTATTTTGTAACATTTCTAATTCATGACAGCAACGTTTTAATAACAGCTAAACTCAGGATAGTTGTCTAGATATAGAAATCTTGTATATTTGTTTTCCTGGGATGTTCTCGATCTTTATTCTGCGATATAGATAGAATTTAATATTCAAGTCTTCAGAAATGTAGAATATATATTGTTGAATGAATTCAATGGCTTTCCCAACTTTTGTGAATTTATTGTATTGCATTGACAAAAATATTCATCCGGCCCGTTTCAACACAGTTTGAGTCATACCCGGCCCGCGGTCAAAAAAGTTTGGTGACCCCTGGCATAGGCCATAGGCTATTCAGTAAAGACGAAGTGGCATCACAGACAATTTGGCGCCCTCGATTACATGTCCATAAGTAACGCGACGAGAACAGTTCTAGAGCTGCTTGACTGGATCGAATTAGTAACGCTCTCTATATATGTATCGGTAATAATTCCAAAAAATCAATTAAATTATATCTTAAGCTTTTATACAAATGCATTTTCTAAAATCGTGTAGTCATTTGTAAAGAATAATGGATTTTTTTTCTGTTCAACTTATTCCACTATATTTATATCTATGATTCAAGAACAAAAATATCGCCATAGAAAGTTACTTGCGCAAAGATTAGCTACATAATTACATCGTTTTTCTAACCACGCTAATAGTCTAAGGATGGAGAGTACTGTGTATACTCTCTACATTTCAATACGACTGTGCCGTCGGTGGCATTAAAAATTGAGATGCGTAAGTACAAATAGAATTAGGTTAAGGTGAAAATCCAAAAATTGTCTGAATACAAATTGCAGATCATCTACTAAGGTTGCACTCAATGTAGCTTTTACCAATAAATTAAATTGATTATTGATTCTTTACAGTAACCCAAAGTTTGTCCCCCAAAGCTGCGATATACCACCGAATTTAGCTGAATGTATTTTTACATCGTACTTAGTTGAATATTTTGAATCAAAGTAATGACTGTGAAACAAGTAGACCAGTTTGTAAGTGTCAACCTAACAAAACATTCTCAAAATTAAGCAACCAAAATTTTACAATGGTAAATCAGATAAAGTATTTTTGGTTCAGGGATCGGGAGACATTTATTCATGTAAAGATATCATCGTCATTTCAATTTTTTTTTGTTTAATTTCGGTTGATCAGACTATCGCATATTATATATCATATATGTCTGATTATATTCTGAACACCAGAACCGTAAATTATTCTTATTACGCTTAGCAAACTTCGGACAGTGTATAAGTTGAGATCTCATCGTACCGCTTATTAAAAATAAAAATAAAGCTATTTTGTTCATTCTACAGTAAGATTTTACGAATTTTTGACCTCTGTGTTCAACTCCTGTTTTTATGTGTGGACTCAATGTTTTGTTGCTTTGACGATTAATTCCGAGTTTTGTATTCCGAGCGCTTTTGTTTGTTATTGAGGAAGAATTTTGAAGAACCCACATAAGCATGCAACAACCTCTGGTTTTTAAGGTTTTTATTATAAAAAACAAAGCGAAATAAATAAATGTTATTGATATAAAAAGCATTCCAGCTTTCATCCATCAAGATTTAACATGTCCTGTGTTACCTGTATGCAAAGAGATAGGTTAATTGAAAATAGGCAAAATTGACAGAAGAATGAGTTAGTCGTAAACGTCATTATATGCTACATATTACTCTGTTTCAATATTTTTATGAAGGTTTCAACTAGAAAAATGTCTGATTCCACGTGGCGCATCAATACTTTGAATTTACTTTAATTTGTCATTGTGCTATATGAAATGCCGAAACAATGAAAGTACGTAACACAACCTGATATAGAAGTTATACAATATATGAATCTAAACTTACTAAAAATCAACAGGACTTTCCAGTATATCACGGATATCCTCTTCCTGAGTGATTTCGTTCAACATGGAATCCATGACGTTAGACACGTCATTTCTAATCTGTAATATAGTTGTAATTTGACTTTTATTGTCAATTTAATAAAGATATTTATTCGTAATATTTCTAATATTCGAAATACTTTGTTGTTGTTCTATAATTTTCCTAATGATTAAACTTACTTCTTCCAACATCACAACTTGGTCGACTAAGTTTGCAAGTGTAGCCTTGACATCTGCTTTGATCTGTATAATATTTTGACATAATATATTAGATTTTTATTTTGCTCTTTGTTTAATAATTCATTTAATTTTTTACTATACCTTCTGATCTTCCACCGATGCTGACTTTCTCGCTTTCCGCTTTCTCTAAAATAGTACATTGTATATAGTATCAGAAGATGCCAGTGCTAACTCTGTGGTTGTTGGATGAATGGTTGAATAAAATATTGATAAAAATACCTTGCCCCTTCGTGACTTTGGGCGAGCTCTGGCACACTCTTGCAAATTGGGAAGATCATGGTTTATCTTATATATATCCTTGATCTCAATTGGAGTCCAAAATGATACCGGTGGTAAATACGGTTTCTGTTCCCGAATAGATGGCGCAGTCTTCGGTCTCATTCTTCTGGTATTGCCCTGTCATTATCCAATAGTTTATTTCTATGGTAGCTACTAGCATTTAGCCTAGAGCCCTAGAATATGGTTAGTCAAGTTATATCCATTAGATGGTGGCAAAGCCACTATGACCCGATATTGCTTACCTGCTTTTTTATTATGTTATTATGCTACCAAGTTATGTTTTTAGTGATTCAAACAATTTTTTAGGGCTATGTACATATCACATGAAAATTATTTGTTTCAACATACCTGAAGGTTCCTGTATCTACTCGTATGTGGAACTTTCAGTGGTTTCAAACGTCTACCCTGAGATAAAGAATAAATATATAACACAAATATAAACAAAGATTGGGTATTGTAACTCAGTTCTGACAAGTCATGTAGACATGTAGTATTTACTGTACCCCAATCCTTCGTGCTTCGATGCATGCTTGTATGTGCTGCTTCAAATCAGGAAGTTGACGATTGATGTGGTAAATCTGGCCTTGTTTTATATCGACAGGTGTCCAGAATGCCACCGGAGGAAAATGACTTGTCGCAGGTTCTCTCCGATTAGCTGGCGCTGTTTTCGGTCGTCGAAGTCTTGATTTTCCCTGAATTTTAAAAGTAACTAACAGACATATTGTTACAAATTGTATATAGTAAAAAGAAATCAATATGAAAAATTACAAAAATTGATTCGTTTTCGTAAGAGAAAATTTTTTTACAAACCTCAATCTTCGACACGACCAATTCTTTTTCGTCGACTACAGCGCCAGGTATATTCTAAATAAATTGAAAATAATCAAAGTGACTTTAGAAGAAAATAACAAAGATTATAATGTACAAAGATATACCTCAAATGAATGGGTTCTCTCTGCTTCCATCATCGGGAGTCCCGCGTATTTGTTATCCTGAAAATGAGAATAAATGGGATTCATATTCACATATTTTAGCTATCTATAGTAGGTTTGATTTTGATAGTTTGAAAGGTATTATGAATTTTAAAGCTGTAATGGCCTAATGTGAAAATAGCCCTTTTATTGTAATATAACCGTACTTTTTTTAGAATATATATCGGGTTTAATTCCAGTTTTAGGCAACCAAAGTTTACCATCTCCTCCATTAATATGAAAAATTTGCTTTCTTTCTCAAGACGAGTAAAATCTTACCTTTATGATTTTCTTCGTTTTTCTCTTTGTACCATGAAGAAATTGCAAAGAATTTGTCGATGCAAGGCTGACCTAAATAAGTATCTCAATATTATTTCACGCATTTAAGTTGACCCTTGTTATTTGTTTTTACTCACATTATCCCTTCCATCTTCGTCCGCGTGATCGAAGTTATGAACTGATGTAGAATCGTTTTCTTCATCTTTTGAATCCCAGAAACAGCCAAAGCATAACTAAAAAAAACGATTTATATCAATACGTAAAATCGAGCTTAACTAGGTATGGATTTTTGTTTAAAATTGCATGCCCACATTTCCATTTAGGGTGCAATGTCATGGACTGACTGTCTGTCCGGTGGAAAGATTGATTCCTCAAAAACATAATAGCTTCTCACCTATTCTTGCATTCTCCGCGGACTATAAAAGCACCTTACTTAGGGCTCTCGAGTATTACTGACAACATGAAAGTTGTCTCTTCGATTACATTTCATAAATTTAAATTATATACGTTTTACTTTCACAGTGCAGCAGTGCCTCTTTTTGTTGCGTATTCTCACCGAAGATACTCGTGAGATCTTGTAGGTAAAAATACGTATACTAAGCCTAATGTATTCAACTATATATTATACCCACCAGAAATGCTCCACGTATCCAATTGCAGAGTTTGTATTCTTTTTTCTAAAATAAATAATATCCTTGTTTGCGAGAATGTGGGACGTAAAATTATAGTTTTATTTCTTCAAAATTGCCAGCGTAAAGGGGCGAATAGTTCCTCCCCTAGAAAATTAAAAAGACGCTTCTTATACTAACATCTCACCCTATCGCTTGCTGCTTTTACAAACCTTTGTTCAAAGCATCATCATACCTTTTGAGTGTTGCTTGTACACAGCCACGCAGCTTGTACATGCTGGCTTAGCATGGGTGGTTATGGATGAATACTACAATGCTATTGAGTAGTTTCGCGTACAGAGCTGACATATTAATAAACACTGCCACAGAATAGATTGGTTATAGCCAGGGATTCTATCGATCTGGAAACGAAATAAGGACGATTGGAAAAATGTCTGCATTGTGAGCGGAAATGGCTGGCTTTCCTATGGCCTTCAGGTTAATGTCACAATTGCAGACGTCACAGTGTGCGAAGCACTCACCCTTCGAGCTTCGTTTAACTTTGAATTCTTTCTCATACTTATCACGAAAAACGTTCTCACATTTGCTCATTTTTAAATTTGGGCTAAAATAACCACTACCACGACAAAACCTAGAGATCGCCACACTAACAATGCTTCATGCCTATATGTGCCTTGCTTCTTTGTGTTTCCAATAAGATTGTGTTGCTTTTATATTGCCACAATAAAGCTTTGGCGATAAAACAAACAACACAAAGCTCCCTTTATGAAGTACAAATAAGACAAAATAAAGACAAGCAAGCCAAAAATAAGGACACAAATTAAAAATAAGCCAAAAATAAAGACAAATCTTAGAAATAAGAACGGTATGGAATCCCGGGTTATAGCTATAGGCACCCTAAGTTACGCACGAGAGGACCAGCAGCATGAAAATATTGATCTCAAACTGCATCTCGCATCAGGGTTGGATGAAAGGAAAATCGCAGTTTCACTGTGACGTAATAAGGATTTATTCCGCCAATATGACGTAACTATGCTAAGATGTCTAGGCAAATTCTCTAAGATAAAATAAAGTTTGCCATTTTTTTCAACGTAATAAATTCATACAAAAGCGATATAAATGTTGCTTTAACGTTAGCTTCCCAAATACGTCCAAAGAAGCATTATAATTACTCTCTTATGTTTCAAACGAAAATTCATCATAAAACTCAAATCACCGATTTCTTTGATTAAAATGATTTTTACTTGGATGGAAATTCGAAATTTTCAAAGATCTAATTTTCTAATAAAACTTACCTTTTTCTTCTTTTTTGGTTCATCAAAATTGACTTCATTACTTTTCTCTCCCTCCTCCTCATTGTAACTATCTCTCTCCATCTTACTAATTTTCGGCATAGCCTCGAACGAAAGCGAATAAATAACCGTTGGTTTTATCGCTTACGATTCATATAAAGAAATTGAATTTAATTTAGAAATTCGCTTGAAAATTATTTTATTGTTACGTCACAATTATGCGATATCACCTGACTAGTCTCGTTTGGATTATAGTCTCTCGAAAACCAAAGCAAACGGATAAATAAAAACACTGTAAAAGAGATCTGGGCGGATATTTTAGTGCTGCGCCCAAGAGGGCCAATGAGAGATTAACTAGTTGCTATTCGCGACATCTACAATAATTTAAAGCAAATTGACTGTAATTTGTTTAGATCTTTGGCTGTAATACATCCATTTTTGTTTTAGTTTGTTGGCTTTTGTTATCAAACGTGGCAAATGAAATAGCTGATGGAAACGCGGTAATGCGAACTAGGTATTTTTATAGAAGAGCGGCGGGCCAGTAGAAGGCCACGGATCAGGAAAGTTTGAGAATCACTGGCCTAGTTCTAGTACACCTACCTTGTCCGAAAACTGCACGGAAAGCGGTAGACACTACCGGTGTTATTCATTGAAAATAGTGTTATTGGACACGAATCGGACCATTGAAAATCGATTTACTAAATTGTTGTTGTTAATCCAGTTGCTGTTGAGAACAAAGATTGCTGTTAGCCTTATATAACAGGAGTGAAGAAAATGTAAACGAAGCGAGAAACAGCTTCTACGAACGTCAAATGTGTTTGTGAGTGATCCAAAAGCATGCGTGACTAGATGTGGGGCAAACGTACCGGTGGTATTCAATTGAGTATACCGTACAAAAGGTTGAAACCTGTGGCTCAAGGAATACGAGAGCGTACATCGATATTAGCGAAAGTCATAACTGTTCCAGCAAAGAGGCAGTGAACACCCCATTCAAATTTAAAACACCCCCCTTCCACCCTTAATTTTGAGGTGTGACACCACACCTTAATTAGAAAATGAAAAGCTGTAGAACATACTGGCAATGGGTAATATTATTTGATACACCAATAATGCTACAGATTGAGAGAACAGACCCAAGTCATTTTAAACGTGTCGTATACTAAAGAGTACCGTAACATAAACAACCATTTGGCACATAAGTCATATTTTAACACCGCGGGGAATGTTGTTACCAAAATAATTCAAAACAAACGATACTCGCTGCTTGATATTGATTATCCGACGCGCAAAAAAACACGTCCGAAGTGCGGAAACCCACCAGCACTTGTTTTTTAACTACTTGATGTGCATAATAAACCATTGCGACTTGTGAAGTATACCAAGTCGTCAAGGGGGAACCACGGAGGAAGAGGTTGAAAAGCACTGCCCTAAACAACCACCTTAATCAAAAAAGAGAGATATTAGTAGCATGATGTTATATTTATTTTAAAATGATATTTGTTACCCACACGAATACTAGCAAAATATACAAAACACTACTGGTTACTATAACTAAATCGGATAGGTAAAATTGTAATAAAATATACCACGGGAATGGCAGATCTGGCTGGTATGTGCAGATACGTTCATCAACGATGTGCGATGAGAGAGAATTTATTGTTTCGTCATACCAGAAAACACATACAATATATATATATGATAGCAAAATGAGAAAAAACTAGGTTTCGGTAGATGACAGGGTGGTAACGATACGACCATTAACAGTCATCTGAGTCGGTTACCACCCAAAGCAAGCACATGAATAAATAAATTAATAACACAGGTTCTGTAATATTACACTCTCAGGATATACATATGAAAAAAAAAAAACTATATACACTATGTGAAAAAAAAATGATATCTGATTAGAGATTAAATAAATTTCCAATCGGGATTAGGAAAGTTTTTAAATAAATTTTAAATAGAGAAGAGCATAAAATAAGAATTCCAAATACCAAATTTATTATTATTTATTATATTAATTTACACTTTCAATCTGTTCTGAATCTTCTTTTGTGCTTACACATGATAAAATATAAGGGATAAGATCACAGGAAAATTGAAAGTTCTATGAGTGACAATAATGTGTTGTGTGAAGAACCATAGATTGAGATATGAATTATAGGCATAACAGTAATACAATTTTATATTTTCAATTCATTAGGGTGAAGAAAAAAAGCAGGATGCATATGGAACTTCTGCGAGATTTACACATTACTACGCAGAACAAGTATTAAGATGGGAAACAATCAGATTGGCATTGCAACCCATCACAAATAATTTAGAAATATACAAATTTGACTACGAGTTGAAATAGATATGTGATATTAAATAACTTTTGACAAGGCTGGGTAAAATTAAATCACGATAGCCCAAAATATATTTCGTTTTGTAGTAATTTATTGCATACACGAGGTAAGATGCAATAAGAAGACCAGGCTCAATTAAGCATTGAAACGTTATTTCGTATTTGCTTTGTGGGCGACAGACGTTTCAAGCCAGACGGATATAAACATCTAGTTGAGTTTGATACATTGTGGCGAAAATTTCCGAAGTAAGAATATGAAGTCAATGTCATGGTATGTTCTGGGTTCGGATATATATATAATACTTTTGACAGAAGGTTAGAATACAATTAAATATTTGATGCACATGTTGACACAGTACTAGTACTAGCCTACCAAATAGCGTAGTTATTTGAGTAGTTATTTGAAGAAGTGCAAAATATATTGAGTATATATTGATTATATGATATTGATATCCAAGCTATGGCACACCATTTGATCGAATGAAAAGAGACGGCATGGGCTTAAGAAAAAAGTCAAGCCTAAATGAAATAATTTCACATATCATCGAATTGCAGCCATGTCTCATTTTGCACATATATAAACTAACTTGTTTGTAATAATAAAAATTAACATAAAGCGATATAACTCAAAAAAATGTACATATCAGCAAAAATCAACAATACACAAAAATGACAATGATTAAATGAATGATCTATAACAGAGTTTTAATTATAATTTACTTGCAATAATAAATCAGAATTAACTCGATTACTCTAAGGCAGGGGTGTGCAACATTTTTTGTCGGCGGCCCTCCAACAACTTCAGACATTTAGCTAGGCCACACTAAAAATTTAGTTTTTCTCATGTACAAAACGAACTGAAAAATTCTCCCAATGCAAAATTTTCATTTATTTAACATTTAAGTTGGACACTTGAAATTTCAAGTTCTAGCATTTTTTGTTAACATCAGCTTTACAGAAGTTGTAGCGACCCTTAACTGATGAAATACATTAGCGACAACTAGAGCGCCGTGTGAAAGGCAAGTGGAAAAAATGCGGCTCTCGCTTATGCGAAAGGTTCAACGCATGGGGAGAATCTGAGCGTTGACAAGGGCCAAATTGAATGTCTTGACAGGTCGGGTTGTGGCAGAAACTTATGTTAGATTATTACTTGGGTTTTATGTTGAACCACGAATGAATTCCAATTCAGCACTGAACAGTTAGCTGATTCAAGACAAGAAAACAAAAAATATCAACTTCGCTACCAGATCATGTCTCCTTCTGTGCAACTTCACAATCATCTGCCTTTGGCACTTCACCACCGTTAGGTGACTCGGTTTTCTGCTGCTCTTCTGATTTTTGTTTCAACCCCGTATATTCTTCACTGATGTCCCACAATCTTTTTGCAAAATCATCTCTTTTTGCATCGTTAGATTCTCCAGTTTGTTTGCAATTACTGAAGTAAAAAATTGGCTTTTAATGGTAAATAACCACGAATTCCTCAAATAAATCAGTTTGAACTTTTTATTTTATTTTACCTAGTGTTGAGTAGAAGTCCCCAAACCCCAAGTTGCGAGTAAATTCGGGTCACAGATTATCTGATTCCGAGTCTTAAGTCAAATCCGGCACCCAAGTATAGACAATCACAGAGTTGAGTCTCGTTGGCAATTAGTTATTGATGAGTCTGATTCATTCTATTCAGATGTATAGAGTATCTTCGATAAATAGACTCGAGTTGAGTCAATGACTCAAGCATCCTGTTACTGATTACGTCATATAACATTTTATTCCTAACATTTGACACTCTTAAACTTAAATTATTGAGATAGATGATTATTTCCATCGAAACTTGGACATGAATTTTGATTCGGTCAATCATTCTCTAGGAACTTATAACTACAGTACTCACGCATAAAACTTCCCAGTGACTCCTTCAAGTTCAGGGGCAACAGCACAATATATTTGTGTCTGGGCTCCTTGCTCTGGAGTTCTCCACCAACGTCTTGTCAAAGAATTTGCCCAACCCATAATTCTATCCATAAAAGTAGGATTTTCATGGGTTCCAACATGTCTCTGTAAGTCTGTCTTAACTGCACCAGGCTCCAATGAATTGCTTGTTACACCAGTTCCTAAAATAGTTGAGCATTTTATTAAAAAAAATTATCTGTATCTATATCAAAATAAGTACATCACATGATAAATCTAAACCCTGCCACTATCAATTTATCAAATTCTTCCTAGTAAAATGTGTTGCCTTGTTTTTATCTTGTTTAGTGTTTTCAAATCTTAAATTGATTTGAGAGTCATTGTCAGCTTTTATCGTATATCATGTAAGTTTATTTTGCTGTGTGCTTTTACTGTGATTCAAGAATGGGCGCATGCGTACTTGTTTGTTTTTAACTTCATACTAAGTTATGCTTGATTACAAGTTTATTGTGCATATTCTGCTGGTATGAGAGACTAAAGTGACCAAAGTAAAATTGATCAATTGTATCCATACCTTCAAGTCTTTTGCTTAATTCTCTTGAGAAAAGAACATTCATCAATTTGCTCTGAGCATATGCTGTCGTTGGAGTGTAATTTTTTTCAAGATTTAAATCATTCCAATGTATTGCAGCACCCAAATATTTGTAATGAGCTGCAGACGAAACGGTCACAATTCGACTTGGTGCACTTTTCTAAACACACAAAGTATTTGAATGAGTGCGCAACAAGACTCTTGCAATCACTTCCAACAGTTGTCTTCACTCTTGCTATTTTATCCTTGTGACGTGGCATTATGAAAAACAACTTTTTCAAGCAATTAAACTCAACTGCATATATTCATAAAAAATCTTTTCAACATCGAACAAACATTAACTTTATTGTTTCTACAATACCATAATTTCTGATGCTCGAGATGATCTTTGTTATCCGAATAAAATTATAAAAAAAATTGGAATGTCAGATATAAAAGGGAAGTAGCAATTTTCAGGAAAAGTAAAGACAATCATCCATATTCCAGAGCTATTCGAAATTTACTGAAAAAGTTCAACACGTCTCAAATACTGACTGATCATACCTTGATCAGATCCAACAACAAGTTAGTCAGCAGAAAATGTCCAAGATGATTGACACCAAATTGCATCTCAAACCCTTCTTTCGTTTTAGACTGAGGACACATCATTACACCTATGAAAAAGCAGACAGGATTAATTGATGATATTTTCCCACATAGGACAGCAATGAGGTCACTGACTAAAATGTTTTTTAGATATGCTAGCAGTTTGAAAATTTCGGGTTTGAATCCTATGCTCACCACCTCACCTAAACTGGGTAGGCAATGTCGAACCAGAGAATTTTGGAAGGACTACAATCTCTTCGGTTTGGCGCTGTTTACTCAATTTAATACGCCCTGGGTGAATTAGTGTGTGAGAGATAAAACTGCAATGCCAGCATAGTTAAGTTTAACGCTTTACCCACTAGCACATAGTGTTCACAAAGATACCTGCATTATTGATTAGCACATCCAATTTTGACTCGGTTTTATTAATATCATCTGCAAAAACACGAATTGATTCCATAGAAGAAAGATCAAGTTGTTTCACAATAATATTTTCAGAACCAGATTCTTTCACAGCCTGAAAGACAAAAATGTCTACTATTCACATAACAAAAAATAAAAAGATAAAAAACATGACATTCTACAACATTGTAATTGTAACATGATACAAATACTTGCACAGTCAAAATGAATACATTTATCATGTTTTTCATACCAACAATGTTGCAGTAATGTTTACCCTGCATGAGATGGATCTTGTGATAATGATGATAATTATGGGCGAAAGGATTTTTTCACTTTCACTTTGTGTCATCATAGGATGGTTCACAGAGAAACTGGTTTATTCCCATATGGTCCATGGACTGGTAACCGGACCGCAGGCCATGGTTCACCATGATTAAGCTATCATATTCCCGTATTCAAACATTGCTTCAATCAGAAGCTAGAATGGCAGTTATTTCAATGTACTGAATAATTGATACAGTAATAATATATATACTACTTGCATAAGAAAGTAGAAGGCTTACAAGACATCAATTATTAAATAAGACAGACAGAGCTTAAGATACTGAAATACGTCATAATCATGTGAAGACATCGCTTATCCAGTAATCAATACAGACTTGAAAACTCACAGTATCTTTGGCTTCATTTCCCCGATCCATATTTCTGCTTGTCATAATCACTCTTGCACCTCGTTTTCCCATATCAATTGCAGTTGCAAGTCCCATGCCAGTATTCGCTCCCGTAATAAGAACAGTTTTTCCAGTCATTTTTATATCTTCATTTACCATTCCACCTTGGACTGTTTTTATCTTCGCTTCAGCCATTTTGTAGAGTGTAATTTTCAATTTGATTTAAGGTTTTGCGATATACTAGAAATTTGAATGATAGAAATTTAAGTTCCAAAGCAATAGTTCAAGTATCTTTACCAACCAGACAGCGCGATATGCAACTTCAACTTTTATAATAGCGCAAAAATCCTATACATTTTAGCATCGGCACTCACTTTCTAACCCTGTAACCTAAGACGACAAGATATTTTGTTAATTTGCTTGCCCTGATCGAACACTGTTAGACTGTGGAATCATCTCATAGAATTGCTACATATAAGTTTATTTCGACTCTAAAATCAGAATAACTGACCACAAAATATTTGATAAAAACAAATAAATAAAAACTTACTGGTATTATGGAATCAGGGAAGCAAACAAAATCATAAGCAATCATGCAAAATTTGTGTTAGTTTATTTCCAAAGATAGTTTATTTCGAAAACTCCACAATCTGACAATACAAACAAATAAAAAATGGAGAATTCTGGACAGCGGGCAAAACCTTTAAAAAAATTTAAAACACGATGAGTACGGTAGTCTATCAGTATCACTGTATCATGTGTTGCAAAAATCGTCACAAACCCTCACAAAGCTGAAAAGCGATACGCCCAGCAGCATGTTTTTGTTTACTCAAAAGCTAGCGCAGCAGTTTTTATCCAGCAAATTATGCTGAATCATTGTGCTCGTGTCTCGTGAGACGTGCCTCGTTAGCGACCAGAACATTCTGCGCCCAAATGACTTTTCTCCGCTTACTGTCCAAGCGGAACAGATTAATTCACATCTAATTATATCAGTAGTTTAATTAGCGTACCGGTAGCGTTCTACACGCTTGTATACTCTATCATTAGAGGTTGCTAACTTGTTTTGTGTAAAGAACATTAAAGTCGGAAGCTATTGACGTAAGCATGTCTGTATTGTTGAGTATGGTGGCCCATCGTTGTCACGTGTAAAATTTAAAAAAAAATGAAGAAATAAAATGAAAAAGCGAAAATAAAAAAATAGTTGTAAAAAAACATAAAAATAATTGAAAAAAAAAAAATAAAAATAAACTTGAAATTAAAAAAAAATTGAAAAATAAAACAAAAAAAAAAAAATAAAAAATAAATTAAAATTAAAGAAAAAATTAAAAAAAAAAAAATTGAAAAAAAAAATTGGATAAAAAGAAAATAAAAAGGTTGACAACGATGGTCCGCCTCGTGGCCCATCGTTGTCACGCGTTTTTATTTTTGAAAAATTTGATGCTGCTTGGGACCAACGTTGTCAGGCTTAATCCTACACGCACAAATGTGTTTCCTGGGTTTCTAACTCACTACTGATTTTCATGAGCAATATCCAATAAATTCAACATGAAAATGTTCTATAAATTCTCCATGCTACAAGTTCAACCACAAGCAATATATTTATAATAATGATAAAAGAATATAGAATTGGATACGAAAATTTGTTTTTACGTGTAGAAGGTAATTTAATTGGAAAATGCTGCTTAACTGCTCAGACACTCGTGCGATGCCGGTACGGTACCGTCTGACCGTACCGGTACCCATGCAATCACTCGTGAAAGAATGGGAGATACGGATAGTCTCGTAGAATATAGTCTACTGAAACACTCTCTGCGCCTGCCCCATACCGTACAGCCGTAACGTACCGATCCAGACAAATGATAAATCGCCAGTGCTCAACCATTTATTTCAATCCATACCATGAACCTAGTAGAATATAGTGAGTCGAGGTATGGATTGAAATAAATGGTTGAGCACGGGCGATTTATCATTTGTCTGGATCGGTACGTTACGGCTGTACGGTATGGGACAGGCGCAGAGAGTGTTTCAGTAGTCTATATTCTACGAGACTATCCGTATCTCCCATTCTTACATGAGTGATTGTATGGCTACCGGTACGGTCAGACGCAAAGCGACTATAACCGACTACCGGTATTTGGTAAGATGGTACGGTACCGGCATCGCGAGTGTCCAGACAACTGTTAAGCAGCATTCTCCAATTAAATTACTTTATACACGTAAAAACAAATTTTTCGTATTCAATTCTATATCCTCTTATCATTATTATAAATATATTACTTCTTGTTGAACTTGTAGCATGGAGAATTTATAGAACATTTTCATATTGAATATTGCTCAAGAAAATCAGTAGTGAGTTTGAAACCCAGAGAACACATTTGTGCGCGTAGGATTATGCCTGACAACGTTGGTCCCAAGAAGCAAATTTTCTAAAAATAAAAACGCGTGACAACGATGGGCCACGAAGCGGACCATCGTTGTCAACCTTTTTATTTTCTTTTTATTCAATTTTTTTTTTTAATTTTTTTTTTTTTTAATTTTTTTTTTTGTTTTTTTTTTCGTTTTTATTTATTTATTTTTTTTTAATTTTAATTTTTTTTTTCATTTTTTTTTAATTATTTTTATGTTTTTTTACAACAATTTTTTTATTTTCGGTTTTTTATTTTATTTTTATTTTCAATTTTACGCGTGACAACGATGGGCCACCATAGTTGAGTAAGCATTGATTGATCAATCAGCTCTACTAGCATGATCAATCAGCTCTACTAGCAATGTTTCAATCATTACTACTTAGCCATATTCGATATTGTTGTTCAGTCTGGCTTCATGGTAATGAAACACTTGTCTCAAAACTGCAGAGTTTTTGTAATAATTTTTTAAGAATAGTTTTTGGTAAAAGAAAACGTGATAGTGTAGACCCTGACTTCAAATCACTAAACATACTTAAGGTTGAAGACATGATGAAATTTGAAATATTATCCCTAGCTTAAGACTTCCATAATAATGCGCTGCCCAATTGCTTTAATGACATACTTGTCAAAACTACCTCCAACCGAAGAAGTAGTTCTGATTTATTCGTACCTTTCATGAGTAAATCTGTGAGTCAGCATTCCTTGTCTTTTACTGGACCCAAACTTTGGAATTCTCTTCCCTTAAATTTGAAAACGTTAAAGTCCAAAAAAATCTTTTGAAAAACAAGTCAAGTCTCATTTAGTTTCCAAATATTAAAAATTACTACTGGTGGTATTCGATGACAAAAACTTGGGACACTCCACACTTGCACATTATTGTTTTAATGAAAATGTTGAACAGCTATAATAATATTGTTATATCTTGCCATGACTTGGTCAGACCTAGTCCAGCACTAAAGAAATGGTATTGTGGCATGCATGAGTATATTATTTTAAATATATAGGTAGCTGACATACCCGGATGATATTTTCTTTAAATAACTGCACACATTCTATCACTTCACGCTCGTGTTTTTAACTTTTTCTAGCTGTGATGTCCTTATCATACACACTTGGTCCCATATTTGAGTGGGGGTATAAGGGTTGTAGATAGAATAATATAGTTCCTGCAAGGTTTTTCATTATTGCAACTAGGCGAGTAGTAGAGCTATGTTGAATTCTCCCCTTCAGATTTTAATTTGCTGTGGGTCATTGTAATTGGATGTGGTTTTTATATCATTTATATATGCATGCATTTTATGTTAAGGCATGGTATTGGTGTTTAAGTTGACTTGTTGGCCAAGTTATAGATAGTAAAATTTCGTGTGTTTTTTGCATGGTGTGATAAATTCTTCTCTGTCCCAAGCAGAATGTCACCATAGATCATCTATCCATCGCTATATAATGACAATACATCCCATTTGATTAAACATATTTTTTTCTCCTGTAATAAATAGTTCAGTGCGTTCCCCTTCACCCAATCATTAAAACATCTACTCGCGGTTTACTTTTTGTTTTTCAGGTTGCTTCAAAGTGATTAAATGTAGTAAAACACATAAGGAAAAAATCAAACAAAGACCCCGATATCCTGTGAAATAACAACCTTATTCCTATTACCTTGTCTGAAATCAATACCCAAGAATGATAAACCTCACCTTTTGTAACCAATTTATTTCCATATCCCACTTTACTTAATTATAGTAATTTTACTGTTACCGGTAACTTTAATTACTTATTACAATCTGGACTATAATTTGGCAATAATAGGCTCTAATTTGGGGAATGAAATGGTCTCGCCCACCTCTTCATGCACCCAATTCTGGCAACTTTGATTGGGCAACTTGGCAATTGACTTCAACTTTAATCAGCTTGGCAATATGTTTTCAATAGTTTCTTTCTTTTATATTTTAATTAACGAAAAAAAGATCGATCAATTTGGCAATGGCAACCATTATAAAAATATCGATATGGTGTAGCAAATAATTTTTTTCTTTTCTAGTATTTATTTATTATTTTTTGTTTACTGTATAGTATACCCTAAATTCATCGCGTTTTATTCTTACTTAAATAACTTCTCAGTGATTGTATGGCTGGTGGGTGCATGTGAGCGTGTGTGAAATAACTTAATAATTTTAGGTGAGTAAACACGTACCACTTCCTCTTGGCAAAACCTTCCATCTTATATTTTGTACGTTATAAACCTTATCTAAGGTTTTGTTTGCTCCCCTGATTTCATAATCAGTTTTTATTTATTTGTTTTCATCTGTCAAATGTATTGTTATGCTGATTATGGAGTCGAAATAAACTTATACTTATAAGCATTGACCTGCTGCAGTAGGCTTGGGCAGTAGAAGACATCGATACCCCAAATCCATACTTACGAGCGGTCCAAGGAATCAGCACAAGCAGATTCGAGTTTGATTTTAAACAAGCCTTTGGACGCCGGCAGCAGGCTACATCAGTTCCATTAATCATTGTGCCACTTGGTACAACAGACGTTTGTTGCACATTAGCTGCTACGCTAGTTTTTCGTAAATAAACGTTCTTGGATTGTTGAGATGATTAGCGAACCCGGTCTTGCTTTTGACTTTAGACGTTCGATGGTCGTAGCAAATAGGTAGGCCTATCGTATCGTGTACTGCAGCTGGGCGTTTAGATTATTAGGCATTAGATTTATGTTAAGCGTGTCATGTTAAGGTAGCTTTCGCATTGACATACATACACTTCCGAAATGAGAGAAACCGTTTCTCGTGAGTTCGATGCAAAATGGAACTCGTTCTTGGCATTTGTAAGTCCATCTCTGTGTGTGAGGTTCTTGTAATAACCATGAATACTTCTAGTAGTAGTTGTACAATAGAGACCAGCACTTCAAGAATATTTGCCAGTTTATTTTGTGGTATTTCGAAATATATTTTGACGATTTAGCGGTGTTGCGACAACATTATAGATTTGATATTTTGCATCTATTTTCCTAATGACCCATGACCGAACCTCTAATATCGACTCTAAACCAAAGCACATTGGTCTGCTTAAAGTCAGCAAGGTAGAAATCATTCAATTAACAGTGGTGTAAATATTTGGTTCAAGTCAGAAAAATTCCTATATTTTTTAACGTTAATTTCATTTGTAAATTGTAATATTATCTGGTCTGCAACCTGGTTGTCGGTATTGTCATCTTCCAAAACATGATCAGGTAGCTTTTTCGCAGAACAGCAATAGAGCATGGATTATTGGAAAAATTGAGGCAGTGAACGCTGCATTACCTCCTAAAAATTGTCAAATTACTCATTTAGGGGTAATTACCTTCAGTTTGGAAACCATTTACATGCATCACAAGCCCAGTAACTCTTACATATATTTCTCATCTATCATTTTGCAATATTCGTTGCACATATCAACGGTAAATGTAGGGCTATGTTGCTAATCAATTTAGATAGTTTTGGGTTAAAGGAGAATAAGGTTGGATTTTTCAGCATTTTCATATTGCAGCAGTACGACTTAACCGGAATACCGGTAGGTGCTCGCCACTAATACAGTCCAGTAATACTGTAATAATTAGTTCAGAAGATCCCGTGTGCTGAAAGCCACACAAATAGGTTCGAAGTTCACGATGCAAACGAAGAGACTTTATTGAATTAGTGTAAAATCCTCGCCTAAAGCAGATAAAATAAGAGCGACAAAATACAAAGCTTACTCTTAGGACAGCAAAGCAGAAAGAGACAGACAATGCGAATTCGCAGCCCAGTTCACATATGCAGTGGTGGTTGGAGTCGAGTAACTGAAACCAACTGTCGGGCGAATTAGGCTCAGACTCCACACACCAATGCATATGCAATAACTAGACACGAAATATAAATAAAATACAAAACAATAAAAAATAGTACAACTCCAGTCCCGCACAATATTCTGAATAATCTATTCCAGTTCAGAAGTGAGTAGTGTGCCTAGCGTATGCATGTACTTTTAGCAGCGCAGAGTATATTTGAATATGGGGTAATGTAGCTTAATCTAAAACGTTTGAAGCAAAAAAAAACTAATGCGTTTATTAAGCCTAAGGTAAGTCATATACTGAATTCAGTACTTTATCGTAGTTTAAAACTATAATATCGTTCGATTTGTTTAGATTTAGGGCTTAGGCTGTTGAATGGGCGCTAGATGATTTCAGTCACTTCTTTCCGGTTTTCCTATTGGCCCTTTCTGCTGCCTTGGTTTGTTTCACATTCCCGTACTTTTTGGTAGTAATGAAAAAGCTGCTTCATATTCAACTTTCTGTATTTCTTTTAATATTATGTTAATATAAAATAATATTTTTTTTAATTTATTTCAAAAATTTTCCTATTAAAAAGCAAGGTTGACTCGATCATAAAATCGGATTATTTGGAAAATGAAAATAGCTATCCCGTTTCTTCCGGCATTCTTTTTAGTTGATTTTGTCTTTTTTACTTTTGGTTCGTGTATGGTGTCGTTCGGCTTTGATTCCGTCGCATTCCATTCTCTGTGTACGGAAAATAATATCGTACGCTAAAACTAGTAATAAAGGTTTTTACTCCACATATATATAGATTGGTATGCTAAATTTTTTTCGTTGAACTTGTTGTGGGGTCACTTAGAAAAAATCCCCGTTACTTATAGCCCAATCGCCGAATTTCAAGTACTCAGAGACGGATGAGGTCGCTAGAAAGCCAGAATTTCCTCCGAGTCCGATATTTAAACGAACATTCTGCTGTTTATTTTGAATTAAAGGGGAACTCCTTTATTTCGAACTTCTCCACCGCTTCCGTATTGTTTGTCCGTCTATCTTGTTAGGGGACGCGATGCTTTCAGACTTTGCCTTACCAGTACCAATACCCGACCTTCTTGCTCATAAATTTGAGCATTGCACTCTTGTTTTTGAGTGACTGAATTTGAGCATCCATTTTTTTTATCAAAAGTTGGCATTTGTTCGGGACAAAGTATATATGAAGTATATCAGTGAATTTCGCTGAAAACCCAAAGTCAACAATTTCTCGAGGTTGTTAAATAGCTGCATTTTTATCGTAGAATGTAGATGATTGAAAATATTTTAAGATGAAAACAAAATCCTATAACTTACAAGTATCATTTTTTCGTCTTCGTATGCCCATTCCATTTTTAATTGCCTGTCGCCTGTTTGGTCTTTCCATTTTTGAATTTCAATCAATTTGCTTTCTCCGTCCCAAGTCACAACTGTCTGGATTGTAGAGATACACACATAGTTCAATTTTAAATGTACTACATATCCGGCATCTGCGCCGTTTTTGTCACAACATATGTTTTTTTTAGCTTCTAATTCGTCTATTATCGGCTATGATTTTGCGTGTGTTCTATTTTCATATGTACATATATGAGATCCAGTTTTCGCGACCTGTGACCTTGCCTTATAATATTTATTTAAAAACGCTTAATGTGATCTTCGAGATCACGTTCAGGGTTCATAAATATTATGGGCAAAGAGTTTGATTTAAACGCGATCCTTCCAAATTTTGCGGACCTAGACTTAGTTTATATACTTTGTTCATTTTAAACCCCATTCAGCAGAAGTAGTTGGTGTTGTTCACACAACATTTCGATTTTGATATTTTCTTTTTCAAAAAAGCATCAACTGACTCACCTTACAATCACGATCATCCATAGTATGCTCATCTATTTCCTCTCCTATTGGAAACACAACATTTGCACTCTTGAACGTACTTTTTGTTTTGATTCGTACCTGGTTATTGCCTTCGTCTAATATTTTTGTAGTCGAAGATATAACCGATGCTATTTTTCTTGTTGCCGCATCCACACCTACAGTAAGCATTGGTCAATACGGTGATAACGAAATCCGGTGCTCTAGAAGTATGCGCACCAAGATGTCGCACAGCCTGAATCCTAACTGGTACACACATATTATGTTCAGGTTGTGCGCTATCTTAGTGCGCATACCTCTGGAGGTCCCCAAATCCTAACTGATATTTGTGTTGTGTTTTGACACCTTAGCCACAAACAAGGGAAATCACGGTCTCCGAATGCTATTTTTAAAGTCTTTTGCTACAACTTCTCACCACGATATCTTGAGTAAGGCTTTACTTTTTCAATTTTGTTCATTCAACCGGTATATGTAAGTCTTGAATTAGATTTACGGTCGGTTGGTAAGTCGGTATCTTGCGTACGTAACTCGTTCTTGTATGTCGTTTTAATTTGCAATCATAATTACTAGTGTGGAACTAGCAATATAGTAAAGTGTGGAAAGCAATTTAACAACACGGGCCGCTATCTGCAAGTGCTGTTCAAGATGCGATAACATAACATCAGGATGCGTACGTTTGCATATGTATGTGATTGCGAGTGACAAAGTGAAAACTAAATATTTTATTTAGTAGTTAGAGGGATAAAATTAAATATTTCACTTACCCACTTTTTTCATATATTCGTCAAAATTGTGGTTTTTAGATAACTTCCATTTTCCGAATAGTTTAGATGACATTTTCAAATATATATCTCTATAGATTCCAATTATATTGCACTATCTACAAAATTCTGCAACAAAATTTCCATTAAACTATGAACACAGCTGCTTATCACACAATTCCCCATACATAAGATAGTTATCAAATGAAACTACGCTGTTCCTATTGAAACTTGCATCGTTTGGTTTTGAATTACGTAAATTTTGTCAAAACCAGTCGAGATGAATGCCACGTGAAGTACATAATTACCTCCCGGCTACGATTCTTTGTTTCGATTTTGTTAAGGAAACAAACAGACTGAAGTTGTTTAAACCAAGAACCTATATTTGATAAACTTTTAAGGTAGATGTACCTGTTACATTTGTATATAATAAATCTTTTCGAATTGGCACTGACATCAAATTTTGAATCGAATTTCAACATTACTCAAAGTCATAGTTGTACGGGACCTTGGAATTATCATCCAAAACTGATTTAAATATGGTGTTGTCGCGCGCGCATTGGTTAATTGTCAGAAAACATTGCAAGATATAGTACTGTTGCCTTTATGCTCGAAGGCTGTCGAGTAGTTAACCTGCATACCGTATAATTGTAATCTTGATTATAGGTAGGTTATTTTGTAGGGCGTTAGAAAACAAAAAGTGCCTATCTTTGAGTTAACGCTTAATAAACAACTATCTCTTAATACTACAAGCGTTAACTCGTATTATTGTTATTTATTAGGATATTATTATCAATTATTGGTATTTATTAAGTGCAGCTTTATTTAACTAATATAGCATGATACCTTACCGGTACTATAGTGGTTCTCATCATCCTATTTGTATATTTCTAGTGCATTTTGTTGTCTCATGCGCTTTTGTACTGGATCTATCCTATGATTAATAGCTTAGCATTTACCAGAAAAATGCTTACCTTTTACTGCTTTTTTGCCCATTTTTGTCACATTTTCATGTTTACATCTGCCTCCACCTTCGGTAGAGACCTACGATTTTATATTTAAAAATCACTCAAATTCTGAGTGCTACTGAATTCACTTATACTTTCCGGCGGTCTCTACCCTCCTATGCCGTACTTCGGTACGGCGTCAAAATATAACACTATTTCCGCATCGATTGGAATAACTAACTCGACTTTATCTTTCTGTTTGTTATTCAATAACCAACTGCTGTTACCATGGCTACCTCGACCAGTGGTGTCGGGTGTCGCATTCTCATATTAACTAGAGTGACACCGTGATATCGGTCACTTAAATGTGTAAAAAGGCCGTCTTCGACTTTATTATTTTATTTATTATTCACGACTTTTGCTAGTATCCTGTTTGACTTTTTTCGATAACCTCTTCTGGTTTGTCGCGCCTCCCTTCACACTGAAAGTATTGTTTTATATGTGATTCGTAGTTATTTTTGTCTATTGTGTATTTTTGGTATGTGATAAAATAAACTACTGACTGACTGACTGACTGACTGACAAGAAAACATCATTTAAAATCGTTATATTCGTTGTATTCATAAGTCCGAACACTACTTCGTTGTCTGAAATCGGTTTGCAAACGCTGTTTACTGTTCATTTTTGTTCACCTTCATATGCTCATCACATTTTTTAAACTCGTCGAAAAATAGACGCGATCAAACACAAAACATGAACACCAGTGAAAACGCAAGGCATTAAGTAGTTCCCTGAGTAGAATGCTAATGGCGTTGTTCAGATTTTCGCTTTTAATGTATGGAATATATTATAATCGTGACAACCGTTATTACTATTGCGGTCGGAAAAAGTGAGGTAGAATGATCAGCGGCGTTCTTCAAATGTATTATGATTCACAAATATTCAGTTCAAATGCATGAAGTCAGTTATAAAAAAAAAAATTTTTGATGACTTGCAGTGTACGTCGTCCTTGTCAGTCATTAATGAGTAGCGTTCACATTTTTTCTCTGATACGAACTTTCTGGTTTGTGGGAATAAATCTACTTCTATGGACACATAAAAAAGGGTGCTCCTGAAGTATGTGCACCAAGATGTCGCATAACCTGAACCCTAACCTGGTACACAACCTGAGTTCAGGTTGTGCGCCATCTTGGTGCGCATACTTCAGGAGGTCCTAAAAAGTTTGGCAAAACATACATTTTATTGGTCCGTCTTTGTCTGTAACGTAAATAGTAAAAACGCCCATATAAATGTCAACATAGTACACGGAACAAATTCTTAGTACCCGCGATTTTGGAGATGTAAGTTCTCGTTCTAACTCGGTTCTATCCTGCAATAATGCCAGTCCGTATAATTGTTTCAATAAATTAGTCCGAAGTCTTGCCTGCTCACTTTGAACAATGGCATATATGTCTAAAAACTTCCTTCAACTTGACCACTGCATTGTATCACCTAACTGGCTTTATTTCAGAATATTGTTTGAATGAATGATTGTGCATTACGAAATTTTCTTCACCTTTATCGCTAAAAATATACTCCTATTTACTGCATTCCACTCGTTTTAAAAAGATTACAGCAGTTATTACTACATTCCTCTGTTTTCGCTTGGGTGATAATTCGTCGACCATGTAGTTTTGTAAAAGAGAGTTGAGGAAGAGAGAAGAGATTTGGCGGGTATTTCCACTGTGGACTGCCGTTGTGCTGGAGTCATCTATGTTTAACTTACAGAAAATACAAACAAACAAGTGTTTGGTGCACGTTTACAAAATATCAACTAAATTTCCATTACTAAAGTACAATTGTGACTTCCACTTTTCTGCTTATTGGATAAGCATTTATTCAAAAATAAAACGCACTTTTTTATTGTTCATATAATGCCAATAGAATAATTCACATCTCTATTCGAACACTACTCAGCAGAAATCAAGTCTGAATTTCAAACTCTTGTCTCGCAAGCAATATCACAGATAAATATAGTACACGATAAATATTCAGTTTTCCACTAATTAGTTGTCGGCGTAAGCGAATGTTACCAAAAAAACTTCCAGATGAGCTTGATGAACAATGATATTGAAAAACTAATAAAAATTATTCACAGTATATACTAGCATTGCACCCCTTTAGATCATTGAATACGACAACATATAAGACTAAAGCAATTTAGTTATAATAGATATAGAGGTTTGCAGATGATATTGAAGCTTTGTAAAGTATTGCCTTTAAACTAGGTTTTGTTACGGATCCCCTGACGCTGGGAGCTTATTATTGTAAAATCATACGACAAATTTCAACTTGCCCTGGGCTTCATCTACGTGTGAACGTGTGATATGAAATTGATTTTTAGAATTTATGAAAATTGTTCAAATCAAAAATTTACTTTTTATATACGATTAGTTGCTTCAAATTTGTTCTAGTTACGTTTTTTAATAACATCTTCATGGGGATTTTGCTGAATTTCCGTTTGAATTGTTTTGTATCAAAGTTGAAATTATTTAACGCTGACAGCAGGTTGGCCGTTTTGAATTCACCTTTACCCTAAGTAAAATGTTGTCAAATGAAATTGCGTTTCAACGAAAGGTTTTCTTGAAAATTAACAATCTCCGATTTTTTCGTCTTTCTTTACACCATTCAATTCACAAGTTGTTTTGACGCAAACTTCTTTCTGTTGGTATTCCAGGATAAGTTCGCCTGAAATGGAGTGGATAAAATATGCATTGATAGGTATATTTTTCTGCGTTAAGAATGTTAGGATTGCAAATAATATAAAATGAATCAGCAGTTTCGCCTATCACCCTCGTGTTCACATGGTATATATTTTGTCTGAATGAGTTTGGAATTTTAAATAGAGTACTGATGGCATAACAGACAACATCATCATGATCTTTTGAAGAAAGCCCCCGTCAAGAAAATGACGCGCCCCCAAAAGAAACTAGCGACCGAACAAAATGAAAATACAATTTTTGGATGCGGAACTCGGCGATGTCAAGGTTACGGTTAGCGAATGCGTAATTACTTGGGGGGGGGGGGGACCAGCAGCATAATAAAGGATGGTTTATATCTTCAAATTGATTCCTCACTAAATTTTGTTAATGGACGTTCAAAATGGCATTTTAAAGTTATCTGAGGCAGAATATGGTTTGTAAAATCGGGAGCCAGATTCTGAATTTGACATGTTTACTGGAGTCAGCACCGATGTCGCATTTTCAAACTCTTCGGAGTCGGAATGGCAATCCACAAGCCCCCGGAGTCTATTAAAAAAGACTTGTGTATTTATGTCAACTTTTTGTCATTACAATTAGAAGTTTTTGGAGTTCGGAGCTGAAGTCGTAGTCAAAATTAATTTTTTTCACAACCGGAGTGGGAGTCAACATTTTTTGTTGTTGAAAGTTGAAAGGAGTTGAAATCAGAGCAAAATTTATTTCAGCCGGGGGCCGGAGTCGAATGCAAGGTTTCTCCGGGAACTCCACAGCTCTGCATCTGGGCATATAAAACGGTTTATTCTCGACAAACTTCACGCTAGCTCAGTCTCAAGGACGCCAATATCTTTTTAGAATCCTACCTGGTAAATAAAACTCTCCTTCAACCACACATCCCGCTATAGGTAGGTTTGTTGTGCTTATTGTAGTTGGTGCTTGTGTTGTCGTATTGCATTGTAAATTGTCCCATTCTATTATCTTTGCATCATCAGAACATACGGCACCAAAACACCAATCTTCCTGCTTCCCTTCGTAGATGGTTTCGCCTTGGAATTTTAAATGAATTTATGAGTAAGAAGAAGAAACTGCCAACTACAAGGGCTTATAATATTGACTTGACCTAAAATAGAACAGTTTCGAAACAGTTATTTTATATCAGAAATAAAAAAAATCGTATTGGGAGACATCAGTTAAATTTGCTCAACTGTTCGTGTAAGGTTGAAGGTTTTCATTTTTGTTGTTTTTTTTGGAGAAAAATCTCTCCTTTTTCTTAATTCCTCGGCTATCAAATTTTGAAAATCTTGGGAAAAATACGCCCCGCGTGGATTCTTTGCAGAATTGTTGATGCAGAACATGCTCAACGAACGTCTTGGATATACGGTGCCGGTACTTATTACTTCGTATCAAATTCAAAGGCCACTCTTGTTATATTTACAAGGCTAGCAATAGTTTATTTTGATGTTACCTGGATTATAAAATATCCCGTCATGGTGACATCCTGGCCTTTGTGTTGGCGGAGTTGTAGGTGATGTCTTTTGCGTAGAAGTTGTTGTACTTGGCGTAGTACTGGTAATGTCGCAATCATAGTCTTCAGATATTGAGACTGTGCCGTCATATTTACATTTAATTCCCGTAATTTTGCAACCGCTATGTTCGTAATACACATCTTCACCTAAAACAGAATAGTAAATACTTTTTTGGAATATATGAAAATTAAGTTTCATAAACTTGTCGAGAATGGCGGCATTCTTTACCACATGCAGTTTAAAGTAATACTTTTGTCGATCATACGCGCATATAGTTTTTCATATTTATGTTAATACTATAATTTTGAAGTTATAAATACGTAAATCCGAGATCAGCTCGGTCGCGTGTTACCAAACAAACACGCACTTTTTGGCATTAGATCTAGAACCAAATGATTTAGATAACATCACTTATTTCAGTGAAAAAATATTTACAAATCTATAACAAACCTAGAAATACTGAAGAGAGTTGTTTTACTGCCAAATCAAAAGTCAGATTTGTCAAATTCATAACTATTTCAAAAGTGATATGATCTAAATAAATAATTCAAATAAAAATGGCCCGATTCGCGATGAACTTTGTTTATCCCAAAACAAACATCATCCTAACTTAACTACCTGCTGCGATACTTACCAGGAAAAAATGTCATTCCATTGTATTCGCAAAGTATGGGATGAGGATCTTCCAAATTGACTGAAAGAGAGATTAATATGAAATAAATGAGTCTTGTACAAGATCATGATTGACTAAATACATAAAGTATACTTTTTCTCGAACTTGTATGTTTTAATGTATTTATTAGATTAAAATATTAAACTTTATTGATGTGAAATAAAATGAAATGACGTACAAATAAGCAATGACTATACCAGTCACTAAAAAATTACAAGTTCCTATTATAAAAAAAAACGATTTTGCTTAGCTTGGCTGAAATGATTCGTTTTTTCGTTCGTGATTCAGTTATAATCTGTTTTGATTAGTTTGTGACGCAATAGCCGAGCGACATCGCTGTCAAACGAGATTTTACCGCGATACACAAAGTTAATTCGATAGCTTATTAAACTTCAGGCTATTTGGTGTTACGACGTGGCAAGAACTGTGGTTGTACGAATAGATAAAATTATTTTTCGTTTTATGAAAATAATTTCAATCAAACTACCGTAAAGTTAATTTTTAAATTTTCATAATGTAAATTTTACAATGATAAAAATATGGCTCATAAAAGAAGGTAGCCGTGGACGAGAGATATATTGGTGACACTCTTACTTATAAATTTGTTCCGCGCTAAGTTGAAAGCAATAGAGCAATGAGTTCATACATATTCAAAATGGAAAGCGGTTGTGGAAAGTACGATTGAAAATAAATTTTATCACAATATGAGTCATAATTGCGTTTATGATCATCAATGATCATTCACAATAAAATTGGACTAAAATGTATAAGCATAAAATAAATTGGGTAAATTAGGTATATATATATTCGTCAACACAAGAAATTTTCAACTAGATATCATTTCCTTTTGAATACCGAGTATGACAATTGTACAGACGGCAATCATATTTCATAAGTAATTTAAACTCTTCGTGTCATGCTTGAACTGTAGATAATAAAATTTGGATTGCCACTCAAATGAAAAATCCCCCTCCCCCACTTCACCATGAGTGTGATGAATTTGGTGATGCAAAGCCATAAACGTACCATCTTTCTAAAAGTATCATCTGTCCATGAATACGTAAAGACTAAATTCTGAGAAAGGATATGTAACGTGAAACACCACATATAAAATTTGTTGTATTTATTCATTATATAAATATCATTAATAAACAGTCACTTCAGATTCATGCCGCTCCTTATATTATTAAAACACAGATGAAAAGCTATTACTAATATATCTCACCTGAATTCAAATCCACTTCGAATTTTTCGACTGAATATGAAATTAATGGAAGTTAATACATTAGTTAGTTTTAATCACCATCGTTGACAATTGTCACTTTGCACAATTGTGTTATTTCTTCTTTATTTTTCGGGAGCCGTAAGACGTGAGGTTGTTACTGAATTACTGACTCAAATTTGACTAATTGGGATAACAATGGCAGTATTAATGATAGAACATGCATGAATGTCAGGTCGGCCTAATCCGAACCGGGACTCAAAAAAAGTGGATGTATACGTATATAATATAATATTTCCGGAGCTCAAAAGTAGTATACCGTTGTCAATTTTTAAAACATTTTAACAAAAAAAAAGTTCGAATTACTTTGAAGAATAAGGAGAGATATTGCATCGGAGCAAATTTGTAAGTTAACATTTGTGCTGTCTCACTATATCTCTTTTTCGGTACTCCCGAAGTATGTGAACCAAGATGGTGGACTCCGGAACGTAGTATGTGTACCAGGTTAGGGTCAGACCATAATTTTATTCCAATTTTCCTTATTTTATTTTTATTACGAGTTCGGGGACTAGCCAAATGACTCCCGTAGTATTTGTTCCTGAAATTATGGCCTAACCCTAACCTCGTACACATACTACGTTCCGGTGTCCGCCATCTTGGTTCGCATACTTCGGGAATACCTCTTTTTTGCCATTTTAGAAACAAAACTAAATTAAGATTAGATTAGACAATAAAATGTCACCATGTTATTTATTGAATAATAAATGTATTTTGTTTAAACTTCACCAAAGTTTTTTAATAACATAACAAACATACAAATGTTGACGTGAAATGTTAGTACGAATACTGTACTGCAACACGCGTTAATTTTTATTGATATTTAATAAACTTTCGATATTTTTAGTATTTATTAATATTCAATTAATATCCGTAACATAGGCTACGGAATATTATTAATATTAAGTAGAATTACCTGGTTTTGCGATGCCGATTCCTACACTAAGTGAAAGCATGAAATACAGAACTGAAGTCTTCATTTTGAATAATGTTGATCTTTGCCGTTATATCTCCAGACCCTCTGTCCTATTTTTTAAGCAATGAAGTCTTATAAAACTAAAAATATTTTTAAATCAAAATTTGAAAGCGAAATGAGGTTTTTCTACTTCCTTATAGATGGCCTGCAGGAGCGTATGCGGATGACCGCAGTATTTCGCTTCTATATTAATGCGTGACGATATCTTGTTTTTTCTTCCAGAAAAAGTTTATGCTTACGTCATTATGCCGTACGGAAAATAAAACACGATCTAAACTCCGTAACTGTTTGGATAAACATTATATCAATGACGAATGCACGAGGGAAAAATATTCTGATATAATGTTGTGGTCTTATCACAACGCACTATCAAATAGCAATCCATACGTCATAAATAATATGTGGAAATTTTAATGCAAATTTAATGTAAATGTCGTGACTCAAATAAGATGACTGAGTAGTCTGATGGCAAGTTCAACGCGTGTAAAATGAAAAATGTATAAGAAGCACTAAAGTAACAAGTGTTCTCCTGGCTTGTCGTAAAACGGAATCCGAGGAAACGCGGAAAATCCCGAATCTCATTGTGCACAACATAATCTTAGGAAAACATAATAAACGTGAAAATCAAACGAAAAGATCGGGCCGATTTTGGTGGAACAATGATTAAAAGTAACTACAACTGCCAGATTTTACTTCTTTGTAAATTTTCACAAAACAACGTAAAATCTGAATGAAGATGTCATTAATAAAAACGCAAGATGTCAGTCATTCAAACCAAAATATCAAATAGTTGGGTTTGAGGCTCAATTCCCATATCAAAGGCATCTCCCGTAAGCCGACGTACTGGGATGTCATTTGGTAGCAAGTTTGAATTTAAAGGCGGCAACACATGAAGTGTATCAATAGTGATGTGTACTGTTGTTTTTCTATCAATGTGTTAAAATGTTTCTATCCTAAATGAAAAATGGTGATAAATGTACATTACTTCATGCTTGAAATTATGTGTAATGTAATATTATTGATAGATGTATGTGAAATCGGAAACTGTGTTGTAAAAAGTTATTTTTAAATGAAAATAATAATGACATCGATTTTATCCACAAACGAAAATTTTGATGTTTTATCGTTACGACATACTACTTATGCTACACATACAGTTTGGAAGGATTTTCAGATTATGAAACAAATAATCCACACATTTGATTCAAATTTAGAGTTCAATAAGTTGTTTGGAAATCGGCGATAAGTTGTCATACCTCATACACCCCAGGCAACAACAGCACATCATAGGTTGAAATACGTTCGACTTCAAACGATCGTTTGTTTATTCATGTCAGTAGCTTCAGGTGTATTTTGATCTAAATTCTAGATTAACCTCTTAGTTTTCTTGACAATCAATTATTTTTCAGTGAGGTGATTTATTTTTATCAGTTTGTATTTTGTGGAATATGTTGGAAAAAGATAAATCAATAATATTCAAACAAAACGGGTTTTTGGAAAAAAAATGCTGAAATTATTTGTTATTACTTTCATTTTAAAAAAATATTTGTGTCACAGTTTCACTTTTTGTATGAAAGTTTATCCTAGTGCGAAATAATAAGTAATAACATTATTTAAAATTAATTTTATTTTCTATACCGATTTTAATGTAGTTGCAAACGAAGCCACTTCTATACAAATCTCGTGTACTTGTATGGTGCTCACGTGTGTACAAAATTTTCACTTATATCAAAAAGGTTATCTTATTGACCTTGAAATTGGATGCAAAAGAAACATGTTTGTGTAACCTTACACGTCATTGATAATAGAGTCCATTCATCGCTGAATTTTATCTCTAAACGCCCTGTTATGATTTTCCTGTTTGTTTATTTTCTCAAAACATCCTACGTTTTGTGACTCATTTTGATATTGTCTAGTACGTGCGCAGTATTTGTATTTGGTATTGCAACCTGAATGTGAAAGCGAATATTGGAAGGATTGAACTAAACATACTGAATATAAGAAACTTTATGCTCAATGTCTTGAAACCGGACAAGTCTAGAGTGCATTCTTGGCGGCTATTTCTATTGAGAGTATAAATTATTCGAAAGTTTCTTTAAGGTTTAAATGAGATATACATTTCAAAATTTCCTTTAATTGTGTTCTACGACCCTCAAACCAAAGCCGTTTTTAGTGTATACCTTATATGGTATCTACATAAAATACATATAACTATTTGAAATGTCCGCCACAACGTTTATATCTGCATCTAGTATAGGTATTTATAGTCCCAATAACACCAAACCACAGTTGGTGCGTCATGCGTTAAGTCATTTACCTGAAATACCATTTTTTTTTTTAAAAGGTGTAATTTAATCTTTTTGTATTTACGTTGGGCATGAGATCAGGTACTCATTTCTTAATCCTGGTAAAACCTTTCCGATTCTCCTTGAATATAATTATAAAAATCATATTTATATATTTTTATTGAAATTTGGTATAAAAATACAGCCGTTTTTTTGTAAATAAATACGTGTAAAAAAGATAAAATTTACTGAGTTATTTCAAATAAGTTCACAAAAAATACACTTTCCAAACTAATCTAATAAAAAGGTGCGTCTAGTTACGTACATTAGGTTGGTAAAATTAGCCAGAGACTAAAATAATACTGTGATAAGACACTGATATATTGATAATACAAATACAAAAGGTCGGGTGGTATTGCCAATACTACACTTATAAGCCTTCACAATTTGTCTTCTCGAGAACGTGCGATGTTCACGGTTAACAAGAAGATAAATTGTATACAAACTGAAGAATCACATGAAGGTGCAGCGGCTATTCTGCATTACACAAGTCTACACTATAGTTTTGATTTACTATTATATTAAAATATCCATATATACGTGTATACACATTATAATAATATATTTAAAATTTCAAATGTGGGGATTCATGCTGAAAACCATACGGTGTCATACGAGGAACAATATATGATATTAAAATTCAACATGAGGTAGACTTGGTCTGGTTGAAACCGTAATTTTATTAACTTATATTATGTAGTAAAATTCAAATTCTTCAGTGATTTCTTTTTTCTTTTTCTTATCGGTTTTAGTGGTTGATCGCTGTAGTTACTAAACAATGTGTTTGGATGCGTTTGGTATCTGCAAAAATACCGAAGATATGTATAAATTAAGTGTTCACTTTGTTAAAAAATACGCAATTTTAAAAGTGCACAATGTTGACGAAAATGTAGATTTCCAACTTACTCTGTCATAGGCTCCAAATCTGGAGTAGAGGTTCTTCCAACCGGTTCTGGTCGGATATCCGGAAGGGGCGAAAATCGATCTCGTTTGAGGGCCGGTGTATCGTCGTGGAACGTCACTCTGTGAGGCTGCTTTATTCTCTGTAATTTATGACTTGTTTGTATTGGTGTTGGCCTAAAAAAATATTCTTAATGTAATCAAAACTCCTTCACATTTTTCTGCATTGCGTTTATTTAGAAACATACCCGAAATCTTCATCTGTTCGTAAAATATTCTCAGCTAATCTATGTTTTTGTTGAGCGATCAGTCCTCTTATAGCGGGAAGTAAATTGCTGCAAACAAAAACAAAATTTATCAAATCAGATTCATTTAAAATATAACTTTTGTAGAGAGCTATCAAGATAGCTTCACCTTAAAAGGACATCAGAACTATTGCTATCTCACTACTTTTTTGGCGATGGCATCAGACCGCACTGACTAACAAAAAGAATAAAATATTACATTGGTAGCAAATGGATCAAAACCAGCCCAAGTATTCTAACTAATCTTATTCTAACTTAGAATTTCTAAGACCGTGATTTTTAAATCTATAATCTTAGTAGGGTTGTTTTATAAAACTGAATAGCTACTTATTTGGTGATTCTGATTTATTGTTATATTGATTTCCTACATTTATTTAAGGTAAATATTAAAGAAACATATACTGTGGTTTAGCATATTTGTGCAAAATTCTATTTTTTTTTTCCATTTTATATATTCAAACTGATGTTATGCATTTGTAATGGTGATTTATCAAAAAGCACCTTCGCCTACCTTTTCTGACTAGTTTCGTCCTTTACGCCAACGTAAATAACTTGCAACATCATTCGAATCTGTTCAGCATTTCTATGGTGTAGTAACAATGTAAGACATGCATTCATCTCCATTGATGATATCTTGGCAACTTTTACCAGCGCTTGAATGACTTTTAAATTGAGTTCACGAAGTTCCACAGCCTTGTGTGACAAAATATAGTTTAGCAGATGAGGTGTGCAACAGTATCATTTTTCCTTTTTTTTATTTGAGGACAATTTACAACGAAGATATTTAAGAGTTATTTTCTAACCAATTTTTAGAATACCAACTTAGGCATTTAACACCAATTCGTCAATTTAGAACTCTTGTGTTGAGGCATATGATTGCTTAATTAGTTTGTTGTAGACTTTTTTCTGCTGATGTCTATATATGTACGTTATTGTTGCATTTATCATTTGTTTTTGACAGGTATTTTTTTATCGAATAACTTTTCAAATCCACGTCGCTTGTACACGATGACTAGTTCCACATTACCTGTTGTTCATAAAGTTGCAATAAAAGTTCGTATTTTTCTTTAGCAGCAGTGTTGTCCTCTTTGATCTTTCGTTTTGCTTTATCCCCAACCCCCTTAGTGACATCGAGATGATGTTTAACTTGAGAGTTGGCAATGTCTTCTTTTGTTTTCTCATCCTGAATATGCAAACGTACAGTCAGCCATAAATTTGGAATGTGGCATGTCGGAATTGAGAGTATTCTCGTCACGTATTTTCAGTGTCTCCTTCAAATTAAATATTTCTTTCAACGAGAGAGAAATTCTCAAATATAAAAACGTCGAGTTTACTGAAAAGATCGGTAGACAAGCAATACGGAGCTGTCGAACAATACGAAATATATAAAAAATGTGCTCCGTCAATTAGAATGAAACAGCAAAGATGATGGCATTTGGGACGCTTGTATAATTTGTAAATTGTCCTATCATAATTCACACGTAAATATAACTTTATGAACTCACTTTTACAAATGGACGAGGTGGTGGAGAATGAAGTCGTTTTCGGACAACTTGATCAAGCCTTCTCCTTGTACGTTGTGACGCAAGTTTTTGTAGCTCCGCTATCTGTAAGTTAGAAGTAGAATTAGAAAAATATAAAACACAAAAGTAATTGGACGTTGTAGGGTCAATAAATATACTGCTTCATTCCCCCTTTTTTGTACCGCTGAATTCTAACGAGATCACGAAGTTATTTTCACCCGATGAAGTCAGAAGATGTTTTTCGCAGTAGGCTATACTTTGTTCTTACTGGTACGCTGAGATAAAGGTGACTATGAAATAAATCTACATAAAATGTACTATCTATTTAATTTATGGGACGAGCATATTGTTTACTTTACTTTAACGAGGTTAGAATAAAAAAAAATACAATGATCGGGAATAAGAGTATTTTTATGGGTTAATATTTTCAATAAACAAATCTTCATACAACAAATCTCGTTCAGCATATACTTTAATATGTAGAATTTAGTGGAATTTCCATACCATAACACCTCTATACAGTGAAAATAACAAGTAAAAAATCACTTTAACCAATGCGAAATTTGCATCTTATTTATATTTGGTGTATACGTAAATAACATTTTCTAAAAACATAGTTATGATTATTATGAAACATGCAAGTTCCTTTATAAATTGCAATCACCTGATTTTTGTGTTCTTGAAGTACAACATTGCATTCTGCTGTTGTCAATTTGCGATCAGAAACCAACGTATGCAATAATGTCATCATCAAACGTTCAAGGGCATTCAGATCAAGATTGATGAGATCCAGCTATGAATAAAATGATTTCACCTCATTAAATATAAGTTTTCAGCATTTTATGTTATTGGACACGTCATTTTGCTAAATTGTCGTTGTTATGGTGACATTTGTTGTTGGGAAATTTTTTTTCTCAGAACAGATTAGCCAATCGTTTTCAAATTTTCGGCAATTAAAAATTGTTGGAGCCGCTAAATGGCTGTTACTTTTTTTATTTTTAATATTTTTTAAGTCGTGTTAATATTTCATCCCAAATTTCGATTATTTCTACAAATATTGCCCCACCACGTGATGTTACGTGTGGGCAGTCTGACAAAGTGGTTGGTTACCGACCAATGTCATTCTTACCGTTACGTATGTAAATTGCTGCGACGGTGTGACCTCATTTGCTATTTATTTTGTGGTTTTGAATGATTAGACCCGAGGTCGGCAACCACCGGGCCGCGGCCCATCGTCGGTCCGCGGAAAGGTTACGACCGGTCCGCGGCAAGGTGACACAAAAACAGACAAGGTCGTAATAATACCTCCACAATCTAGATTCTAGCTAGAACCTTCTGACTAATAAACAGCACCAAACAGAAAACCAGACAAACACAACGCATCTGAATAGCATTTCTGACTTCACAAATAATTACCATGTCAGTATGTCGCAATAATGCTGCGTCAATTGCGTCTGTATAAGAACATCTCACTTCAGTCCAGGTAAGATCTCTCAAACAACGTGACTACTGGCTCGCAGCTAACCGGTCGTAACTAGTTAGCACACATAAAGTTAGCACTTGTAATAAAATTAATTATGGCTAAACAAACGTCCATAACGCAATTCTTGAATGACTGTGGCCCAATATCTAACGAAACTGAGAGTGTAGATATACCGGGAACATCATCCGCCAAGAAAAAAAGTCCTTCAAGCGCAAGTACAGTGAATTGTATTTGCAATATGGATTTATAGCGGTAGATGACAACAACGAAATTAGTCCAGTTTGCGTCCTTTGTCATACTAAGCTTTCAAATGAGGCGATGAAGCCTTCGAAACTTCTTCGACATTTGGAGTCAAAGCACGTAGGATTTAAAGATAAACCACTGGAGTTTTTTCAGAGACGGAAACAAGATTATGAGAAAGAAATGAAGTTAATGAGGGTCAGCTCGACGTCCAGTTCTGATGTGCTTATGGCATCATATCTCGTGGCCAGTCGAATAGCAAAATCGAACAAACCATTTACAATCGGAGAACAACTTATTTTGCCCGCCTGTAAAGATATTTGCCGCGAAGTTGTTAGTGAGGCTGCAGCAAAGAAAATTGCACAAGTTCCCTTATCAGCCCGCACTGTTAGCAGACGCGTCGAAGATATAGCCGAGTACATTGAATCTGAATTGATAGAACGCATTAATAAGTCCCATGGTTTGCTCTTCAATGTGATGAGTCGATTGATATCAGCGATAATGCAACTTTTCTTGTTTACGTGAAATATCTTTACCAGGAAGATATACACGAGGATATATGCTTTTTATTATTGCCGACCAAAACTACAGCAGCTGAATTATTCAAACCTCTGAATGATTACATTTCGGGAAAATTAAATTGGAATAATTGTGTCGGAGTATGCACAGATGGGGCTGCAGCTATGATTGGGAGGTTGTCTGGATTGGTAACTCGTATCAAAGAGGTCGCACTTAACTGCAACTCAACGCATTGTGTTATTCACAGGGAAATGTTGGCCAGCAAAAAGATGTCACCTGAACTTAACGAAGTAATGAATCATGTCGTTAAAGTTATTAATTTCATCAGGGCACATTCTTTGAACTCCCGATTGTTTGCACAGCTTTGCGAAGATATGTAAGCAGAACATAGAAAACTTTTGCTGCACACAGAAATTAGGTGGTTATCCAGAGGAAAATCGTTAAACCGTGTCTTTGAACTACGTCTGCCGTTAAGAACATTTTTAATGGAGAAACGGTCTCAGTTTGCTGAACAGTTCAATGATAAGCAGTGGCTGCAAAAACTTGCATACCTGTGCGACATATTTAGCTTGCTTAACGATCTTAATCTGTCACTTCACGGTAAAATGACTACAGTCTTTGTGTTAGCAGATAAAGTTTCTGCTTTCAAAGACAAATTGAATTTTTGGAAAAGGCGGGTTGATATGGGGATATTTGACATGTTTCATACACTTACAGAACAATTGGGAGATTCCGCACCGCATGAGACCGTTAGTATTATCGTGAGTAACCACTTGGATATGCTTTCAAATGCGTTTGATCCTAGCGCAAACGACCCAAGAATTTTAAAAGAATGGATACGAAATCCATTTGTAAATAAACCTAACGAAACGACGATGAAAGTTTCTTCTATAGAGCAGTTGATTGAAATTTCAAATGATAATGAGTTGAAAAGCGTCTTTGCGATATCTACTTTGCCAGTCTTTTGGTCAGAACTCTTAAATGAATACCCAGACGTAGCTACAGAAGCTTTACAGGAATTGCTACCTTTTCCGACATCGTATTTATGTGAGGCCGGATTTTCAATATTGACAACTACAAAAACGAAATATCGAAGTAGACTGGATGTAAAAAACACGTTACGTGTGTCACTGTCGACCATATCTCCAAATTGGAAACAGTTAATGGCCAGCAAACAAATGCAGATCTCGCATTGAATAGCAACGCCTAGGTTTTTCAATATATTGTCAATGTAAATTTTCTATCGCGTGTAATTTATTACATAAGCTTAGTTCAGTTTTGTAAAGGTGGTCCGCCAAAATTTTTGTCAGGCTTTACCGGTCCGTCACCCAAAAAAGGTTGCCGACCACTGGATTAGACAATAGATTCCAGTCTAAGTAGCATAGGATACCGGTACTGCGGTACTAGTCAGTTATTACAGCTTCCTATCCCTATATTTCAGTACTACTCTCTTGCACCCGCAACAGGTTTTAAAGCATGGCACAATAAAGTTAAAGCAAAACACGTTTAAATAATTTGAATCGAAATCTCTTATCGCAAGGAATTATCCCAGGTAGAAGTCCAAATGTAACACTTACAGCTGATTTTTTTTCCATCTGAATTGCTAATTCTGTTGAAATTGCTTTTGTTAAATTCTGTTCTACTGATTTCATATTGTTTCGGAATTCCAGCACACTTGCATTACTTTGTGTAGTCGGAACGATGTCATCACCTTTTTGCCACTTTTCCAACTGTGTTTGTAATCCCGATCGTATTGTTTCCTGTTAATCGTAAAACACGAGATAAAATGAGAGAAGGAAGAGATGAATATAACAGTGATGAGAAGAAGTCTACCTCGTTGCTGGATGATTTCAGGTAGCCCTTTCTCCCTCTTTGTTTCTGAATCTTGTTTTTTCTATCAATCGCCATGGTGTGACGTTCTATGATTTCGCGAAGATGTCGGAGTGATATTCTGTCGAAAATAATGAAAATTTAATGTAAAACTGAAAAAAAGGTAACTTTGGTTTGCAATTGATAAAAAAAATACGGAAGAATCGTAGTATCTTGTATCAAAAAATCTAAAAATTGACAAACTTTGTTTTTCTGTGTTGGGCAGCTTGTACGTGGGTGAAAGCTTCGTCTGCTGTTTTTTCTGTTGGAAATACTTGACTATCCACGAAATGTTTTAATACTTTTGAGTGGCAGTCAATAATGATTTCCTGCGCTCGCATTCTACTTCCGAGTTGAGCGTTTGGCTGAAGAGGAAAAGCAGTTTCTTCTGACTTCTCAATTTTTATTTCTGCAATTTCTTTGTTGATAAAATCTTCAGCAGAGTTTTTTGACGCTCCTGATTGGAATAACAACGCATAGTTAAATAATATTTTTTTGAGAGATTTTTTCAGTACTTTATTATTTATTCTAATCTAATATTTATTCTAATCTGTTCAGATTTATTGGATAAGGCTTTTACTAGAATATATGGAACAAACGACTACCGTTCTGAGCTAGTTTTTGAATGACTTCTGCTTTCAAAGCTTCCATTTTTTCACTTGTTGATTGAAGAACGACTTTTAATTTTGTGTTCCACAAATTGATTGCATATTGATCATATTGTTGCTGAAAATGATTACATACAAAATTTGTATAAATACTACATAATTTACCAATGACACTGTGATCATATGCGTTCGGAAAATTTTGGACCAAACCAAACATACAACTTTTTAAACTTAACAGCTTATTGCGTTGTAATTTATAATTTGATTAGTAATTTGGCAAAATGTAAGGTAAGAAAAAAAAACAGGTTAAGCGATTTATAAACCGAATTTAACTGAGTTTATATAATTTCTGACATTGAGCTCAACTATGATGAATTATTGATATTTTCGTTAAGATTTGCGTGACTTTATACAACAATAATTAACGTAATAAAATTGCAAAGCTGAAGTTTTTAAGCAATTTAAAATCGTTAAATCACATAACATAATTTTTTAATTTGATACCAACTTGCACATCAATATTTTTCAGGAGATCGGAATTAATTGTCCTTATGCATTCTTCCATCCATCCGATTGGATTCTCATGTACCCCTCGTGTAGAAATATTGCTTGTTGTAATTTTCTTGCAAATTTTATGTTTTTCTTTCAAACACGTACGAATATAATCAGCACGTTCTTTTGACATTTCTTGATCAAAAAATGTTTTGATTTTCATCATTTCTTCTTTTATAAATGCTGTCATAGTTTTTCGAACCTCTGTTTCAAGTTGCAACTCTCTAAAATATAGCAAAATATTTGACCGAACGTTTACAAAAAGGGAGAGAGAATACATTTTTTTTGAATTACATCGTCAATATTGATATCTAAATTGTTTAAAAATTTGCATTGACTTTGAGAAATTGTCATGTATATTTTTAAAGACATAAAAATAAATTTGTTCAGATATATAATTTGATGTATTGCATATTTATCGAGTCATTTGGCTTATTTATTCTATGATATTAGTTTACTCGTGGGCGGCGGCAGTAAGCTAGCTACATCTTGAAAATGTCAACAATTTTAGTATTACAAATATTGAGCGGTTGAAGTTATCAGACGGCTAAGGCACACTGTTCCCAAAACTAGCCGGCCAAGCTCAAAACTTTCTGCCCAAAACCTATTTTTCTTCTGCAGACGAAATGATGTAATAATAAATTTGCACAATTTGCTAACAGAAATCCTACTCGATTGTTTTGAAAGGCCCTCGACTTTTGATGCTGCTGTTGTTACTGTATGAACTTAACTGAGGGAAAATATTTGAAAAAATTCACCTGCACACATTTTTTACCGATTCAATTAGAACTTGGCCAAATTTATTCCAACTTTTTCTTGTGTTCAACTCATTTTCTCTAATTTTGTCAATTTCATTTTTCCGTGTTCTTTCAACAATATGTATCCGGGTACATTCGTCTTCCATTATTTTACTAGCCTGTTCCATCAAAAGCATATATCCATCTCGAGTGGCAGAAGGGTAGTTATTGTCTTCGTTATTGAGAATAGCGTTCAACTTTTCGTAATAAATCTGGCAACGGACATCGCTTCCATCTTTCGCTCTCCTTTCTGATTCTCTCATCTTTAAAACTGAGAGATATTCTTCTTCTTTTTTCTCTAACTTATGTCTCTCGTGTACCAATGACAGAAGTTCATCTCGGACCTAACGAAAAGAGGATTTTATTATAAGATACTCTTTTGAAAATATCACAATTTGAAATAAAAGTTCGACAGGCCAACTAATGCTGTCAATGGACTTTTCCCCGACCTTTGACCCCCGAAAAATTCATATATATACTTCATATACTTTACTATTGCAACATTTTCGGAGCTATTTTGAGAGTGCTTTTGCGAGTTGGCGCCTGTAAAGGGAGTATGTGTTTAAAACCATCATTATGATTCATCGCATACAACAATCTGTGTTTTGAAAGTACCGGTAACGAATTTTAGACTAGTCTATCACAGCTATTTCTACAATCATTTTTTATTACTGCAATTAAATTAAAACTCCTAGGAAGACAGAGTGATCATTGAATTATCTGATTTGTATTTAAGTTTCCATAACACAACAAAAAATTAACGAATAGAGCTTAAAAACGCGAAAACAAGGTAATGTTTACGACCAAGCTTGAAAATCTGTCTGAGTGAGAAAAGTGTCTGAGCGGATGCGAAAAGAGGGCATTGTTACGTCACGTTTTGCATCTTGCTGATTGGCCAATGTCACGAAGTAAACAAGGTAGTCGATGCTCGGAGAATGGTCCGTAGGAACCATGATATGCCAATTTACATTTTTCTACCAGAGTCATATTATGAAATTTAACACGGTCTTATAGCGTCAAATTTTATAACTTTCACATAAGGGTATTGTCATAATTTCACATAAAAATTAATTATCAACTATTCTGGGAAATTATTGGATTCTCACTTCCGGATTCAAATTTGCCAATTGCGATTTAAGTTGCTCCATCTCATTTTGTTGTCGACTTTGAATGTCTGAAAGTCTTTGATAATTCTTTTCTGCAATTTCAGATTGCATTTTCTGTGAAAACATAAAAGTAATTAAATTTTCAATAAATTTACTTTATAAGTGATTCAAAAGTCTTGCTGCACACTAACACAAATATATTTCTGTAACGTTTCGTCTGACCAAGGTCAGACTTCTTCAGACATACATAGTTCAACTACAACACGAAAAGCAGTTACATGCATATTTAAACAATCAGTGTAGAATTATGGGAGTCACGCATGTTAAATAATCAATAAAATCGGTGAATTTCTTGATTAAATAACAGCGGGTGGCCGAAATACTTTATATTTATATATTTACATTTATATTTGCTTTATATTTATATATATTTGGCACGAAATGGACCTATAGATTGTTTCGCTAAGTTCTTATTGTCATTATATATATATATATATATTAGTTGTTTGGGATGTTAGCATATACGGGGGCCTTTCTCCGCAACTGATGGACCAATGGATTTCACATCTACAGATATACATATAGGCGACCGTACATTTGAACCCATGCGTATATCCACGGGTTCAATCTATATGCGGGTGCTAAAACCCATGGGTTAGGGTTAGTATGGGTTTAACTATCCGTGAAACAAAAAAAATTCCATAGGTGCAATAGCATACAGGTGCAATTGTCATGGGTTCAAATGTACGTGGGTTCAAATGTAATGGAACCATACATATATGTTCTCTAAGATGAAGAAGTCGCACGGATGCTATTCAAATTTCTTCTGATTCATACCCGATATCCCACCAATAATTCTGTTGTTCTAAATAAAAGGGAACCCCTCTGAATTGAGCATTTTCCGACCGTATCGTTTATCTGTCGATCTTTTCAGCAAACTCGGTACACACAGGCTTTTCCGTACCGGTACCGATGCGCGACCGTCGTTCCTATATATTCAAGTATATTTTTTGTATATTTTATTACCTGCTTTTCCTGCAATGCCTTTTCGGTTTCTTCGTGAATTTCGTTTTTCAGCAAAGTAGCGTTTTCTCTCCTTGAGGTTTTGTTCTGTAACAATATGTAGTATCAATATACTATTTATTATATTTTACAGATCAAAATGAATTCTGTGTCTTATTTTGGGATGAGATGTTTTCGTGAGATTTGAGTTTTAAATTGATAACTGATACTAACTGATATCGACTTTGGTTTATTTTTCAAAAAAATGTATGTTGCGAGAACATTAAAACATTCAAATCATCAGAGAATCATCTTCCAATTGTACAAAAAAAAATTGTAAATACGTACGACCGGTAAGCACCGTAGTGAATTTATCTTGAATTTTAGACATAAAGTCCTAGAAAAGTACAAATTTTTGAATCTAATTACTTCAAAAGCAGCATAGAAAATCGCTAGAAAATCAGAAAATGTTGAAGGTCAGATGAGATCACGAATGAAATGTGTATAGGTATTTAAAGCTGTTTGACAAATTTTCTGTTTTTCTAGCGACCACCCTTGTATATACGTATCTGAAACAACATTAACCTGATATAATACCGCAAAATAGTTCTTTGTTTTACAACGCCAAACGCGATACTCGGGATATTACAACTTCTTGTTACAGTATGAAAAATGAATGTTGTAAATATAAATGTAATACATAAAGAAAATAAGAAGAAAGTTTCTTACGCCATCGGTGCTCAATGAATCCAATAGTAATTCCAGTATTTTCGCCTTTTCGTTTTGAACTTGATTTTCAGATGTTATGATATCATTAATTTCACACAGTTCAAGAATACGACTTGATTCTTTGGCTCCGTCACTTGCAATAGCGTGAGATAGATCGGCAGTATTTTTCTCCGACGAAGAAGGTGAATGATGGGAATCTTCGGCAACCATTTTGTCCTGTTGATTAGAACAAAATATGATTTATATTTATCGCGAAGAATGTGATTTTTTTTTGAACATATGACGAGCCCAAGAATTTTACCAGATCTGATATAATATATTATATACCGATACTGTTGCTTATTTTAAAAATAAATAGATAAAAAAAATAGATAAAAATAAATTCTCCTATGAAATTTGCATCACTGCAAAGGTATTATCACACAAAACCATTAACAAAAATGAGATATATGGGATATACTTTCTGGATTTAATCTAAATATTTAAATACTGTGTGACGTACGGTATGAACCAAGATGTACCCGGGGTCTATGGATGTAACGTATTCAAGACATACCAAATATAGCAACAATTTACTTACAAATACTGTACTCACTTTATTATCATTTTTTGTTCCAACAAACGAGCGACCAATACAAAATTTTTGTATCAACCAAAGAATCAAAATAGCTAGTATGAATCCAAGTAATAGACAAGGAATCAACACAATTGCAATATACCTGAAAACAAGTAAGCAAATATGTAGAAACGAGGTCGGCATAGGAACCCTTACGGTAACGTTCAAATCTAGCGAATTTGATGAAAAGCAAACGGGATAAAAAGTATTTTTCTCCATTTAAAATAAAACTGCAAAATTCTTAGATATGTAAATGCGCGAAATTTGAAATCGTTAGTCTCATTAGTTGTACATTTCTCGCCCAGTAATAACTTTTACAGCCAGTATTCTATGTGGAAATGTGATGGAAAAATTAAGTCGGATTTACAGTAATATTAAATAGAGGAATTCACAAGACAACTTATACTACAAATATTTAAGATAATGCGAAAAGGTATTTGAATAAATTTTTTTAACTGAATTTTGAACGTTATTTACGCGCCATTTTATCATAGTGCCCCAAGATTATTATTTATTTGCTAGAAATTAATTAGAATATATATATTTTACCATTGTTGAACTTCTTCTATTGTTGTTTCACTTATTTGCTTCTGTAGACATACTGATGTTGTTGATGTTTGAATTTGCTGCAAATATGAAAGGAAATCTTTATAAGAACAATTCAGAGTTATAAATTCTCAAAATTCTCGAAAAAAGTATCCCACATACAGCATATGGTAAAACTAAAAATAAGTCAAAACTATTTTTTTCATTTATACGGTAAAGAAAAAAGAACCAATATGCTAGATATTGAGATGTCCCAAAATACAATAGCGTAGGCTTGAAAAGTAAACAAATAAACGGTTATGGGTCACATGGGAACCTTGTAAAACGCTCCGGGAAGTTTGTCCAATATACACAATTGAAGAAGTTCAGTCAATTAAATGGAAGTCTTGCCAAAACTTCGATTTGAGACGAAACGAAAAGAGAAAAATTATTGAAGTTGATGAAATACATCGATATACAAATTGATGTATTGATGGGCAAACGCGTGGAAAATCTCGAAAGGGCCTGTCGGTGATTATTGGACACGTTTAGTGGACATAACGATCGTTTCAATATTTTGTTGTTGTTCTTGTTGTTATTTTTTGTCATCATCATAAAATCGCTTTTTTCTTCGAATATTGGACTAATTGCTTTGACCAATTTTCAGTGAGTGAAGATTATATTTTTCGCTAAAAGACCATTACTTGTATTTATCGTATTTTGTGTGCTATGACGCCATCAAAATTTGCCACTATGTGGCGCTACGTGTATATATATTTGAGCATAGCTCTCATGTGTTTTCAAATATAGATTTCAACTGAAAGAATTATGTAACTATTTAAATAAAAGTCACTATAAATATTGAATATTTTAAAATTAGAATATTAGAAAATTTAAAGGCGATTACGAACGAACGAGACTTGAGATAACAGTATCAATTTTAAATATATACCATAAAGTTTCAATTTTTCCACTTACCGTTTGGTTTACGGAATTGAAATACGTAAGCATACAGATTAACGTTATTGGGTCCGTCACACTCTCACCCCGATTTCGTAAGGTCACATTGTAAGCAGCAATTTGTGTATCTGGTAGAATTGAATGTGGAATTAGTAAAATGATTTCACCATAATTGTTACCTACAATTTCACCAAATATTATAATATCTGTATAATATACAACGCTTCAGCGGAATAAGCGGAATTTATATTTTAGGTCATATATACATGAAATAAATATTAGTTTGAGTCCAAATGTGAAACTTAGAGATCAATAATGATTTTGAACTCGACCCTTGGCTGACTGGCTGCAAATAGGCATTGTACGAGTTAGGCTTGCACGTAATTGACAAAAATCAATTCCGTAATTACGGCAAAATCAATTACGTAATGACCCCGTAATTGCGATATTTTTCCACGCATTTAAACCTATCGTAACAACCAATTGAATCCACTTTTTTTTCCGAATGGGACATTGAAGTTGGGTTTTCCTATTCTTGGCAGTACTACACGCCGGCGGCAGATGTTAAAGACAACTATCAAGGGGTGAATTCAAATTAATTTTATTCTGATTTTTATCTTTTGTGTTAGCTTTGGTTTTTCTTTATCACCTTCGCAAATTAACCGTCCCATTTTTATGCGATCAATTTTATTTTATCATTACCGACACTGGTATACGGATATTTATGGAAACGATAGTTTTTTAAAACCACCTGAGTACTGAATAAAAATTACGGGTTTCTAATTTATTAACCAACAACGATTTCCTCGCGACGAAGACTTGTTTTTGCAGCGTTTTCTGCATTATCCGACATTACTGCCTTGTTAGCATTTCTATAATAATAATTATTGATGTCGACTTATTGACGATATTCCTATTACCATGCTTCATTTTACATTCAATCATTTCGCGGACTGAATGTTTATAACATTATTTGCGATAAATTTAGATCAAATATTATTTATTTGCGTTTAATTTAAATACCGAACTTATATGACATGCCTTCTCCGAAAATACAAAGTTATATCGCAAAACAATGCATTTTGTGACATTTATTTTACACTCACAATCACAACATTTATTTGCTAACTCAAGTCGGCGATCCTATCGGCCAAGATTGACAAAAGTTTGGTCGAGTGCCGGTGGTATTCAAGTCGACGATAAATCAAAATAAGTTGCCGCATTTGGTAAGACAGTTAATCATATATGGCCGAAATATTGAGAGGAATTGTGAAAAACATCATGAGCAAGGCCAAGTTCGGACTGATATATAGCGATAAAACCGTTAACAGAACATCAAGATTTTGTAATAGAAAATGGATCTCGCACAGAATAAACACACAGGCTCATATTTATTTATATATGATAGCAGTTAAATTTTCAACGGTCCGCGAGGAATCCGTCGTTTTGGTTCATTACGCAATCTCTCTTTTGTCGTCATATTGCTATTTGATAAGCGCGACATTAATTATCACGGCGAGGTATTGGCGCGAGTGATCAATCGCTCTTTTCGCTTATTTGGTTCCAATTCGTCGCGAAAGCTCTTCGTTAAATTTCACAAGATAGTCGTGTTGAAAGGTTATGGATATTTTCCTGTTTATACCCCAAGTCTGAAATGAAACAGCCAAAAATAATATGATATTCCATGTTCATATATCAAGTGTTGATATTAACAATAAAGAATGGTTAAGCATTGCTAATCCACACTTGGTGGGGAATTCCCACTATTCAAACGCGTGACTATAAAATAGAATAAAATAGAAACGGAACATATATACCATAAGTAACGGAAAACTGGAACAAGTAAATAATAAATAAAAGTAAAATGGATACAAATGTTTGATAGACCATGTTTGATAGATTGATCTCCTGCGTTCATTAGTCATTTCACCCGAAGAAGTTGAAACCGGGCGTGTTAGCGTCCATCTGTCTTAACACAATTCTTCCCCCTATCTACGGTTATATGTACATTGGCCATGGCCATGCTAGATAAGATGCGAGAGAAGTTGAAACCAGGTGTGTTGGCGTCAATCGGTCTCAACGCAATTCTATCCCTTATCTACGGTTAAGTTGCGGGAGAAGTTAAAACCAAGTGTGTTGGCGTCAAACGGCCCTACTCAGTTCTTGCCCCATTAACTACGTTAATAATTTACATTGGCCACGCCAGATAAGTTGATAATAGGTTAGTAAATGGCAACGCGTCATGCCTTCCTTCACCTACGTAACAAGAGAGAGAAAAACGGCTGCGAATACCGGAACTCTAACTTCTTCTACTTGTTGAGCTTTCATTTTCGCAATCGACGAAATTGACTGCTTTGAAGAAAGCTCGTTTCAATGCAATAATTACGACTTTACGTAATTCGTAACTTCCCTTCCGTAACTCCAAATAATTACGTAATTCCGTAAATCCGTAAATTACGTGCAAGCCTAGTACGAGTTATTGTACACGACACTAAATTGGTATTGCTGCGTGACATCTTATGTTGTGACGAATCGCTTTTTTTCCGGAGCTAATGGACCAATCGTTTTCAAAATGCCCATACCAAAAGATAGTTGTAGCCGCTAGGAGGCTATTATTTATTATTTCAATTTTACTTCAAGTATAATGGAATTCAATATTGAACCTCTGTTCGGCTGCGGTCTTACGAGTATCTGTGTGAATTGCTACAGAAGTGATTTGAAGCTTTTGCTTGACCAAAGGAATAATAGATTTATGGTATACTATAGAATACGTTTACCCACTTTTATAAGAATTACTATCCAGCTTAATTAAAGTTCTACATACTTGGTTCCAGTGCTGTTTCAAAGTTGATGTTTATAGCGTCAGTAGTCTGAGAGACCGTGCCAATACTTTGAACTTGTGAATAAGTTAGCAGTGTACTATTCGTAATATCGGTGAGATTTGAATTTCCAATAACATTTGAAGTAACTTGAAAAGATATTTCAACTAAATCTGGATCCGCATTTGCGTCGATCACCTAAATTAAATAGGATTTTGTGTCAAGAGTCAGTGATTACTTTCTTTTATTTGTGAACTATGATTTTTTTTCTAAACCTATAGCCACGCCATAGTGTTTAATTCTAATGACGGAGTAAAAATTTTTTTTTTCTGTGTTCAATTAGTCCGTAAACCATGAGTCGCAAGTCAAGTCACAGACCATTCAAGCCGATTCAATCCCTGAGTTAAGTCTCATTGGTGTCCGAGTCATTTCTCGAGTTGCTTCGAGTCTGTGAGATGTGGTTACTCAAGTCCAAAATCAAATCGAGTCAATGACTTAAATTTCTCTTACATCGTGTGAAATTACTCCCAAGAGTCATAGATTTTTCGTACCGGAAAGTTGACTTAAAGTATAAAATGGCTGTCGTCACAATTATTTTTTTACTGATCAGAAGCAATCTGTTGGCTAATTTTGGTGCTGAAGAAAACTGCGTACTTGTTTTCACTCTTCAGGCCAATAAATCATTCACGTCACAGCAAATAATTTCACAATGAGGCACATTTAACAGCGGATGTCATCATATTATAATTTTATTATCTCCATTTTAAATGTCTGAAAATGTGATGCACTTACCTTGGCTGTTTTGGTCAGGATATCTTGACCCATTGAGCATTGTACAATCACAAATAAAATTTGCAGCAAGAAGTAAAATCCTTCCATTTTTTTTTATAAATTGTTCACCTATTTAATACTTCGTATTCAGTATTAGCTGAACGTTTATATTATGTGATTATGCCAATGGAGTAAATGCCACGCCCCCACTCATAATTGACTAATCACCGTCAAGAACATTTTCCTGTGAGATACACGATCTGGAAACGAAGAATCTGATGTATTCTGACAGCATAAAGTCACCAATAAATTTGCCTGGCCGAAATTTCACCTACATTTACTACTGTGTCAAATAAAAGCCTTGAATTTTAGTAGTTACTACCTATAACCTACATGGATTTAATACTCCTAACAACACCACATACTTTGTGTGAAGCCGCCGAAATTCTTTTGTCGTTAATAACAATGGGCATTGAATAGTTAGAGATAGGCGAGGCTCCACGATAATGGTACGACTCAAACAAGTTGAAAGCTCATAAAATAACTTGAATTTTACTGTTTCAATATGACATACCCACTCAACCAACTCGTCTTAATATAACTTACACATCAGCCTAATAATGTATATAATATAAATAATATAACAACACCAAGGTATTTCGTTAAAATATCTTCTAAGTGAAATTGAATTATTGGTAAATTTGAGTAATATTGGTGATTTCATTTAAAAGTTCTCTTTTGAGTAGGATTTAATGTCAACAAAGGCATATTATCGGTCTTTAAAAACCATAATTTAAATTTACTTGCTGCTCAGTGACCGCACTCTACTGTATATACTATGTACTTTTTATAATCAAGCTGAGCAGTGAGTTATAATGGGCTGAGTGTGTCGTGGTTTTTCGTCAATATTGACTCGAGCGTTAAAAATATATATTCTATCACGCAATAAGATTGGCAAAACCAAATTTGTATCGTACGTAAGAAGCCAATTTTACTCAAAACCGTTTAAGAATACGATTCAAGTCAATCCATTTTATACGTTTCACAAAATTCCATTTTGTATTTTTTGCGGAATTCCTGGCGTGCCAAAGTGCAAAGTCTATTTCAAATTACCTTCGTTTGAGCACAATCATGAGCTAACCACAAAATTTCAATTTCTATCGTCACAAACTCCGCTTCCGACTAGCAAATAATATTCATTAAAAGTTTTACTAGGACGTTATTGTTTGTTTTAGGTTTAATATGTCACGCATATTCAGCTCGCGAGGCGGTTGTCAACAACAATGGTGTTACGCTAGAGTAACTTTTTATTCGTCAAATAAGGCGTTTGGTTTCATGGTTCACGACGTTTAAATTATGCCCATAGATTATGGGCACGATTATATATCGCTGATGCGGGATTATGGTATGTAAAGCAAAACGACAAATGAAAAAAATGGTAACGTTTGTCATGTGTGGCTGGTGGGCCCTCCTCTTTTGAAATGTAAAACTGCTACCGGATCCGCTAGCTGTTACGGTATAACTTGTCAATTAGTAAGTTCAGAACCCACCACCCTTGAAAATTCTTCGCTACTTCTCTTCTCAACAACACATTTTAGCGGCAAATTGCCACCTGAAGTATGTTCATAGGAACATTCCCCACGGACTTGCAATAAGAATTAGGCGAATATGCTCAACTCTAGACTTCTTCGACAAGCGCAGTGATAATGAAACTCAATCTATAAATTGACAATTATTATGATCCTTCATATTTGCAGTAATATCATATCGTCACGCTAATAACCGAATTGCGTAAGTCATTTTTGACGATTTTGAGTTTTTTTATAAAATAGGTATTTATGTAATGCTGCGCACCTGTCTGTTAACTCAGATTTTATTTTAGGAATTCCGAAACCCATATAAAATGGAGATTTAATATGACATGCACATCTGTGCAATTGTTTCGTCATAATGAATTATCCTTGTTACCGCAGTACTACTGTGACGTCACAAAGGCAAAATAACCTCGCTAAGTATTTTCGAGTTTTTGCATCTCGGATTCCAGCTTAGCGCGTATTAATTTGAATTTTTACTACAGTATAGGAAGACGTACACTTGTGATATTCACTGTCCGAGTCAAATTTACCTTGGTTGGCTTTTATATTGGGTGCATTGCTGTTTTATTCTTTATATTTACTCTTAGTCCTATTTCGGTGGGTGTGCAGAACGTGTTATATTGATGAAATATATATTTTTAAACATAAAAAATGATTTAATTGAAACTGATTAGCTATTTTGGGGATTAGACATTGTAGATACTGAGAATTACATTCGTTTTTGGAATGTTTAGTTTTCGGGACTGGTGCATATAGTGAAGTTGCAAATTGCGTATGTCCCCAAGTCATAGACACATTTCTGCGTAAGTCACAGTGCGCCATTATGACGTCACTTAACTGCGTCATACAAATTAACTTAAATCCGGCTACGATCAAAAAATTGAACCATGGAAAATTATTGACTCTCAATTGCATAACAAAATCATTAGGAAGTTTTTTACGTTTTTCTCAAAACTGCTAAAAATGACTTACGCAATTCCGTTATTAGCGTGACGATATTTTGTCTAAAGAACTTAGACTATAATATGACGAAAACTTACTCATATACTTCTTTCGTGGAAAAAGATGATAAGTTAAATAAGATGATATTTTTTTGATCTTTATAATATTATATCGTCCAATCGTCTTTGTGGCAACTGAAACATATGTAAACACAGAGAAAGGACTTGTAGTCGAAGTATTTGTGCGACAATCCCATCAAAAGGGGTTCTAGTGATGAAAGCGTCTCAGTTCAATGTCACAGTTTGTTGTTGACTTGTTGTACTATCGTTTATTGGATTTTTTTCTTAAAGAATATTTGCTCAAAGAAAGGTCACGAGAACTCACTCAACAAATTAAAGGTCCCTGACCACTAAAATACCAAGAGTTACTGACACTATGAAGAATTTGACTATGGTGTGGGATTTCGCGTCAGTGAATATCGATTAAGGCGAGACTTGAAACTCCCGTCATTTTCCACATTTTTCCAATGCAATTTTGCAGTGAGACATAGATTCTCACGCAATTCCAATGGCGATGTCGAGCTTTTTGCAATTAGGTATCGAGTTTGTTTGCATTTATCAGTACTAAAAGAAATATTGAAACAAAAAAACAGTGCAATCTATTGCCATTTAGAACAACATAGCAACGCTCAAATATAAGGACACAAGGGTCGCGCACCAGTACCGGTAACTTCAACAGTGTTTGCTGGAAAAGATTGAAGCGCACGAGTGACGGAATGAAGCGTTCTCATACGTCATAAAAATGTGTCCACGAATATCAACAGAACGGCAAAATTGAAAATATCGGGTCTCATAGAAATGAAAAATAATAATAATAGCCTTCCATTCAATTCCCTCAGATCGGAGTACTGAAACCGAGTGTACCATTAATTGTGGAGGAAAGGGATTTCTTTTCCTACTACAACAACAACAATAACAAGTAATTTCAACAAGTAGTAGTTAATCTTAAAACAATATTGTGTTTGCATGTTATCACTCCCAACTTCCGTACACATATTTGATGTTTTTCTCATGTTCAAGGAGAGCAGTCAGGTATAAATTTGAAGATGAATCACAAATCTTCCTTTATTTTTTGTTCAATTTCTTTTTCAATTTCGATTACAATAATTCTAAAAGCAATACTCCATATGATACGAATCAAGAACAACAATTTGTTTATATTTATAAAATATCTTGTAGCGGTCTATCTACATAATTGTGATATTTAAACTTTTATTGTGGTGTTCTCTATTTTCCGCCTTGATTTACGCCTGTCAATTTCTTTTTCGCGATTGTTTTTTATGAGTAGAAACTATTTCTTATCAAGTTACATTGTTTACAACGTCATATACATTACTACTTACAACACATCAAAGACGCATTTTTCCAAATAAAAAAGGATGTAATTGTATGAATTGTATAAGTGTACAGATTAAGTTTAATATTCAGTACATGTCTACTTAATTATTACAGTATATGTACAATGAATTGTTAAAGAAGAAATAAGAAGCAGGAACTTGTTAGCGAAGAAGTTCTTAAATCTCTAAGATTTGGCAAAGATGATTTTTACATACCATAATGAAGATTTATCGAATTTGAAATGAAATTTTTTTTTTTTTGAGTTTCATTTAATGAAAATTTTATATTAACCCGATATTTTTTATCAGTCATTCAGGGAAAGCACAATAAAATGAAAATCACGAAATATATATATTTATATATATATATATTCCGCATCCTCCTGGAATGGATGACTATTCGATCTACTTGTCAGCGGTTACCTTCCAAAGCGTTATGAATAAAACTTAGGGACACAAAATTACCACAACGCAAACGCTTTTATGCTAGTACAGTACCGCCGTAAGATGGCGCCACAATGCAATAATTCACTATTATAATTATTATTACCAGTACTCGTACTAAACTGAGATAAATATCAATTAGAAAAACGAAAAAAATAGGAAGATCGACAATTGTGTCTATGAGACACTGGAATCATAAAAATTTGATATGGGGGGAAAGGCAATGCATATATGTAGAATATAAGGCGAGTATGTGATTGGGTAACCGTGTTTTAAAATTTGGATAAATTGATTAAGTAAAAACAAAATATGTATAAAGAGTTAGAGATGAATAAAGAAAATGACTCCTAGGCCAAAAACAGAGCATTCCATACACAGTAAAGTGTGGTATATTATGCGGTAGCAGCCAGTCTCACAGGTACATTATAGAAATGTTAAGAGTCTGTGTCTTCGAAAGTAGAGCATATATCTGTAATATAAATCACTGTAATTTTTTCTTTCATAAAGTCGTTTTCGCTTATTCTAGCCACGAATCACTTGAGCTGTCGTCTGAACTTGATTCGTTTTCAGATTCTAATATCACTGGTTTCTCATCTGCCTGCAGGGGAGGCTGCGCTTCTTGTATGTCATCATCCAAGGCTGCTTCGTCCACAACTTCCGGTCCAACTGTGGCGGATGTGGTGACCACTAAAACAAAAAACTCAAATATCTTTTATGGTGCGACTAGAACGCGGTTATGTTATGAACAGTTATCAGTTTATTTATTTCGTGATTGACCTAATACTTCGACGATGCCTAATGACCATCGATGAATCTAATGTAACCCAATATTAAATACAGAATAGAGTTGAATGTTTCATCACAACACGTCAATAATATAGATCTGAATTAGAAAAATAACTGGGTTTCTACTAAGCTTTTTACTAATTAAAGTTTATGAATTACCTGTATTTCCTTGAGATATATTTACATTACAACCATTTATGTTGTAAATATTCTTATGGATGTATTGGGGTCGTTCCGGAACTTCTAATTCAGGTCTCCAGCGAAGTGTAATCGGATCTTTAAAGTTTCCCCCATTTGCGCCCGTAACTTCATGATAAAGATCCTTTATTTGTTCGTTTTGTGGATTTGCTCGATTTGTCAACCTCGCGGTAAATTTTACTTTTGGAGAAGTTTGACTAAATATCTCCGCGCCGGTATATGTTAAGGGTTCAGAATGTCTGATTTGGACTTGTGCGGGATCTGCCTCGTTATGAGACATAAGGAGAACTGAAATTTGATCTTCTGGCATTATGGTAAGTTCGTTTAAACCCAAGGCATAGAGACACATTCCTGAAGCTTCTAGCTCTCTTTTTTGCTGTTCTTTTGCTGCATTGTTATTGGGAACGAATTTTGACAACAGTAAATGATCGTTGGTTGTCAGTGGATCCACTGAAAGCTTGAACAGCATGTTGCAATAGTTAGCTTGAACGTTATTTGCGTCGGCAGAATTGATAACGACCTCAAAATCACAGAAATGGTTAATTTGAAACTCAATAAAGTCGTCATCATCATGTTGAATCGTGGCTTCTGGATCCCATTTCTTGTGATTGTCTTCTCTTGTTAGAAGATGAAGATTTAACTTTTGATCACTCTGTGCTTTCCTTTGTTTAATCCATGTGTGAAGTTTTACTTCAATATATTCACTGAACTTGGCGCCATTCGGTAAGCACCTCAGAATGGATGTGACAGGATATGACCAGTCAGGAATGTTGTCAAATCTTCCAGGATGTGTTAATTTGAACGTTAATTCAATCGGCTTTTGAACGGCATTTGGGGGAATTGTTACTGAACAATTCTTTGTGGAGAAATCGATATTCACCCCTTGCTTATCCACGAGCACAATTACTTAAAAACATAAAATCACACGGTTAAGTTATAATCTTATTTCAAAAATTTGTTAAAATCTAGTTCACAACGTGAACGATAGCACGTACTGGTTGAAAAATACTTCGAAAGATTAAATCAACACGAGCAAGAAGTGTTTACCTGTTGCTTTATCATATGACAACAGTTGACTAATAATCTAATTTTGATAATAATAAAAAACACGTTGCAAAGTGGCTACACCGGAGCTATCTTATAGGACCTCGTAGACCACGCACGATTTACAAATTATGGAAGGAGTAAGAGAGTGCTTAGATTTAAGTGATCAGATTGCTGGGCCTAACTACGTTCGTGTCGCAGGTCAAAGCAACTTGGCCATTTCATCCACAAGATTTTTAGGTCAGGTACTAAATAATTTAGATATTCTTTTGAACAATTTGAATTTTTTACCTTGGTCTTCTTCATATGTGATTGTAGTACCAGCCTAGAAATTAATGAACTTTGTAAGCTATTAATTTTCATACTTGCTTCCGATTTATTAATTTATTTCCATGTGTATAAACGTATTCATCTTTAATTGATTTAATTATTCATAGTTTGGTATTCTTGAAAATCCTCGCAAGTAAGTTTATGTATAAAAATATGTAATTCAAAATTTACTTCACTATAAAAGCTATACATACATTCAAATACATCATGTAAAATTTAAACTATCAGTTTATATACAGTTATAAACATACATCTCGCGGCATGTTTAGCATTCCGGGAGTTATAATTTCTTCATGCCACTTTTCCAGACCACATCCAATGACTTTAATATTTTTGATGTGCCGCCTTTGAAGAAAATCCGATAATGATTGTGCTGATTTCTTCCCAAGTTCAGGATTGTTGCTCAAGTCTAGTAGAAACATCTAAAAAATTTCACATTAGATTTTATGATTATACCTCTCCATTGCTCTTTATTTGTGTATTTCTATATTACTTTTCACAGACCATTTTCTACAGTCAACCCTTTTGTACAATCAATTACATATTATATTGCGTATATTTCTAGAATTCAAACCTTATTTTTATGCATCGAAAGTGAATCCGTAATATTCGAAACATCTTGGTCTTTCAACTGACATTTAGCAACCAGGAGTTTCTCAAGTGTTAAACAGAATCGTAAAATTCCTCCAAAAGAATGTATATATTTTTCATCTAAAACTTTTCCGGATAGATCCATTCTTGTAACATTGGCGAAGTTTGCTTCCATATCATTGATAGTGCTGTGTAACCACCCGAAATCCGCCGGCTTTGTCCTGGTATCCATAACATACTCAGTTAAAAACCTCTGGCATTAAGCGGACTGTACATATAGAGCCAAAACATGCACAAACAAACTTATATACATATACAGCCAATGTTATATGCATGTACAACTACTTTAATATGCATATAAAGCAATTCAAAGTGATGTTTCCAGTATGACAAGCATATATAGCCAACACCAATATAGAGCCATTAAAGTGACGCACGTATTCAGTTAATGCATTTTATAGACTGGTATTTCTTTGATCTAAATTCTAAATGTCATTCAAGTTCTCCCGTGATGTGCGCATAATGTTGATTCAGTCTCTCCTACTACATAGATACGTAGTCATACTGCCATACAACAGCTGATCGTAACATGAGGAATGTGTCATTGACAATATCGTTTGTATGTCACTTTGGATGTACATCACTTAAATGGCTCAATGCATATGGCATTGGCTATATATGTATGTTGGGTTGGCTATATATCCATATGATTTGGCTCTATGTGGATTTCTGGATGTATATGTAAAGCACGTTGCCAATCCTGTCGGATGGGATTATCCCAAGAATAAATGCTAATCAAAGCTCGAAATCACTGATATTAAGAGATATTGTTTTTTCAGAATACAAATAACCAATAATGTAATTTTTCCTCCTCATGAAGAATCTCAAAGTTGAGGGATAAATTTTCTTTATAATTAATCAGTTGAAAAACAAAAAACTTATTGGTCACGATTTGGACATACGAATCGTTTTGTTATTGTTATTATGTTGTTGTTGCTAGCATTTTCATTTTTGTTGAGTGAAAAAATCGCTACTACTAGACCAATTACTGTGAAATTTATAGTGATTAAAGATTGCTGTTGTCACTAGGAAGCTATCATTTTTTATTTATTTCTCAAATTTTTGTGGACTCTATTGGATTCGTTTTTCACTTTGAAGTTTTATTCGATGATGTTATCAACATAAAAATTGCGTTGCTAGTGGCGGTTTCGCCATCGCATCCAGCAATCTGGAACCCAGACTACCGGTACTGTAAATGATTCGATACTATGTCGTTCTGGCCTCCGTGTTCATATATTCGAGCATTGCTTTCTTGTTTTTACAACAGCGTGAGGGAGGTCATACAATAATATTTTTGCAAGGCCTTACAAATGAAGGTTGTATTAATTTTCTTAAACAACAATGCGAGAAATTACACAAAAACAAAACAGGCCCTTACCGTGACACAGTTTGGTTTTTGACAAATATTGAAATGCCAACATCAACCTGTTTCACTTCGAAATTCTGAAACAAGATCACATATTATAAAAATTGTTGTCAAGTTGTCATTTCGACTTATTGGGGGTTTACTATCATTATTTATTCGCCAGAAATATAAGTTGCTCATTAAATGTTCAAATGCTTCTCGTCGATGTGAAGATGTATTTTATAAGATGAAATTTAACAAGATCGGTTGTTGAAATAATATTAAAAAGATGTAGTCCTCGGTTCCTCAATTAAAACTCGGTTTGGTCATTTTTATAATTTCAGGCTGTTCTAATTCGCATTAATACAAGCTACTTAATTATGACTTACAAAGGCTTATTTCTGACAGACAATTGAATACATTATACATGTTAGTCCTGTATTGATGTCCAAAGTAATCGGATTATTGCAAGTCTTGAAAACGAACAAATTGTAATTTTGTATACCTTAATTCCTTCGAAACTTTTCCGCAATAATGGTAACATATGACTGGCCCATTTCTTTAGCATTTCAAAAACAACCGCTTCAGCTGCAACTCTGGCCAATGTGAGCAATCGATCTATGTTCACATCTTCCATGTCCAAGACATCATCTGGTATTGCTTCATCGAGAGAAGCATCAGAAAAATATTCTCCAGGAGAAACTAGTCTCGTGATGATTTGTTCTACCTGCGGACCAATATTTTTTCCATAATGACCGTATTGATTTTTCGATTAGGAGAATGTTTTACAAATTTATGCCAAGGATTGGCAAATATTATAAAATATTGAATGTGCAATTTTCAAACCCCAAAAAGCTAAACGCGGCCATGTAATCAATTACATGTCGACACAACTTGGACGTAGGTGTCGCTATATTGCGGATTGAATCTTACTAAAAATGATCTCAAATATTAACGAAATTTAGCGAATGCCATTTTAAATTTCTGCGAGAAAGTTGATCGTATACTGTCACGTTAACTGTTGAATTAATAAAAAAATTATAATCTAATTCAGCGTTTCCCAAACTTTTTCGGTCACGGAACACTTACACTTTTTATCTCGCCTCGCGGAACACTAAGAAATGAAAGGGTAAAATTGATAAAGAAAAACGGTGTAATGTAGCGGTTCCCAGTGGGTTCGTCGTGGCGAGTTGCTAAATGCGCCGCAAAAACTAGCAGAAATATGTTAAACATACCTAAAATATGATTGAATATTTCACATATTTCATTTATTATAAATGTTTTATTGTTTCCTAATTTGAATGCTGTGTATATGAATCAACAAATTCATTTTATCTTTCTATGTCCTTTACTTTCCATTACGTAGTGTTTGCCTCTAATGATACGTCTAATGGAGATAGAAGTACTTGCTGCAACTTCGCGAGCTGCAGTTTATTTATCTGCTGAATCGAGTTTTTAGAACATGAGTAATTTTTTCAGCATTTCAAAGTAAAACCAGGCAGAGATGGCGGAAGAAGAGTTGACCATTTGCCTTTATTGTTTAGACCTACTTGTTTGCCTATAGCAAAATCAAAAGGATTGCTGCAAACTTGATAATGAACTTAACAGTCAAAAAGCTAGGCCGACGGTTAACGAAAATGCCACTACCCTACCTTAGTTAGTCCGCTTTTGGCTGACGGTGACGCGATATTGAACGGTCAGTTGGGCGACAACTTCACGATCCCTAGATCGCCATGGCGACCCATTTAGACGCATTTTTGATTTGTTTTCCACGGAACACTCGGAGGACGCTTATTTTCCGCGGAACACAGTTTGGGAAACGCTGATCTAATTAATACCTTGTAATGTTTTTCAACTGAGAGTTTGTTAAGTGCCGACGCCAACGAATCAATAGCAGTGACATCGTAACTAACAAGGAAACGCTTTACTTTGCTATGAAATACAATATCGCCAATGACGCTGGCACACTTCTTCGAAATGTCATTTTCGAAAAATATTCCAAAAGACCTCAGCTGAAAGTAATATTAATATCAAATAATAGAATAAATATATATCAGTCAGCGTTCAAGACGGAATATTATTTTATTACATACGTTTATAGTAAGGGTCAGATGACCTTCGAAAAATTGAAGAAGTTATATTGAATAAGTGGTTTCTGAGATTCCATAGTAGAACAGCAAATTTTAAAGATTTCGGTATTGCTCTAGGCAGAACTTTAGCTATGAATCGCAGTTATAAAAAACAGTTATGCAATGAGATTGGACGAATTTTTGCGTTGGAAAGAGACTTTTCTAGCCAAGCATGTGGCGTCTACGAGGGGGTCATTCCAATTGCAGTTCGAATCACATACCTATTTCTATTCCCAACTAATTAATCAAAGCAAGTTAAAATTGTGAATGCGGGTGAAGTCGAATGACACTCACTGAGTAATTGAAAAAGATATTTATGTGTTAAATACCTGGTGTCCGTGCTCTACTAAGTTTTCCAGTAGTAATTTTACGCAGGATGTCCTCAATGAGTCACTTTGGTCCGATACAATGAAGTCTTCAATGTTCAACATTATAACAAGATTGACTGCTCTTTTGTAATGCGAAACGGTCCCTTCAACTTGTACACTCAGTTCCTTCAGCTGTATAATATTTCATTTCAAGAGATCGATGCTCAAACATAGGCCGACGAAAGCTAAATGGGGCGGTAGGCTACCTTACCTAGTCTACTGTACGTGTACGGTACGGTCAAAAATTTTCGAAGTGAAAAATGAATCACGTAGAGACCACAGAAAGTTTCAAAATAGATAAAAGTAAAGCCTTCTAGCAAAAAAAAATCAATCTTCAACCACTGAAACGTTCGAAGCAATTAGTTCAGTAGTTAGTGAGAAAGACGATTATTTCATAACGACAAGATTATGAAAATGAATTTCAACAACAACAACATAATAATAATAACAAAACGACTCCTATGTACACGTCGTGTCCAATAACCAAAGTCGCCAACTCACCTGAGTGTAGTCGCTGTTTCTCAAAATTTGTGCAAACACAGTGGGATCACGTGCCAAGTCATGAGAAGACGAAAGACTAATTCCGTGTACTTGATACAGAGGAACCATTTTACCCCAAACAGACGAATCTATTCCTTGTATGTCCGGCTTCATATCAAGAATGACTTTCTGCAACATAACGAAATAACCTTGAAAATATCATTTTGATTTCTCATTGTTTATCTTATACCATTACTAAAATTGTCTTGCCTGATCTTGATTTATCTTTAGAGTAAAACCGTCAAAACAAAACATCCTGAACCGACGAGACGAAACCAGATAATCCAGAGATGAATATGTATAATCATCAAACACAATTTCGTTACCTCGTAGGTCAATGATTTCGGATGATACCTGAGACGTGCGATGTTGAGCGATTAGTTGATTAGATTTGTGATATTTGGAACAATATTGATGGGTCAGAATAAAAAAATAACGTGTGCAAACGAATCATTAAAGGTGATAGCTCAGAGGCCATGATCAATCAAATTGTTAACAATGTGTCAGTTACGTTCTATTTGTGAAATGCATTGGCTGTGCTTGTACATTATTTAAATGCATATATGTATAATGAGTTGGCTGTATATGTGAAATGTTTACAATGTGTCAATGTGTTTATTCTATTTGTGAGTGGGGTAAGAAACGTGATGTATATATATACACAGTACAAAATATGCATATACAGCCAATTCAATGAATTATGCAACCAGTTACGTGATATACATATATATAAACATACACAATGAATTTCATTAGCAAGTAGTTATTGTACTTGCTATGCCTCCACATGTTGTGTGCGCATAGCGATGTAGTGTCTGCATATGAAATGCATTGGCTGTGTTTGTACATTATTCAAATGACTATATATGTATATTAAGTTTGCTCTATATGCATATCCTGTATGCATTGGCTGTATATGCATATATGGTTGGCTGTATATGTAAAATTTTTACAATATCCAAGTTTCATTCTATTTGTGAGTGGGTAAGAAACGTGATGTATATATACAGTACAAATTATGCATATACAGCCAATTCAATGAATTATACACCCAGTCACGGATGTACATATAAAACGTGTGTTATATGCATATAAAAAAGCACAGGTCAATAATTAAACCCAAAGTCTAGCAATGTAAAGGACTGTGAGCATTCATCATTGTTAAGAATATATTGTTTCATAATTCTCACCGTAGTTACATTTGATGCAACAGGGCATTCTACCATCCCAGAGCAAAAGTATCCAAAAGTCCATGAATTGATTCGGCATTCACATAATCGCAATCCTTTTACTCTATATTTATTCACGAACATTCCAATCGCTCCCCAGTCATATTTTTCAGTGATAGAGCAGCCCATCAAATCCAGAAAATCAATCTAAAAACGTATATTTCTATGATTAAGTCACATTGGATAAAATCATTTTAATTTTTGCTGAGTCAATTGACATCTCCCTCAAGTGTTTTGGTATCCCGTAAGTCCTTTGATGACATTGTTCTTAATCACTGATAGTGAAATCGAACATTTGCATTTTCCCACTCTGAATAAACCTATTTTGAAAATTTTTGTTCAATAAATTTTGATAGATAATGAGCCTGTCTTTTTTATAATCTCTTATTTTTATTCTACCACAAACCTCACAAGATGCTGAAACTTCTTTCAACGGTTGACACCAATTTTTTTCAAAATCACATCCTTCGAATGAAAGTATTTCAACATGTGATGCTTCATTCAAATGAAGAACAATCTGACTCATCCGCTCAAGAGTAATTTTCTTTTTTGTGAATATTAGACTATTTAAATCTTTTTGCCATTGCTCTTCGTGAATATCCTGATGATAGGAAACAAATCACTTGGAAGTATATTTCTAGCTTCAATTTATAAAATCTATTCGTATTCTCAACATTGTGAAAAAAATAGCGTTCATCGGCTTATTCGCAATCTTACTTCATCAACATGTAAGACGCAATAAATTTCACCAACTAAATCAGAAACAATTACGCTACATCAATTAGTAAGCTTCAAAAAATATAGTAGAGATTGAAAATACGATATGGCTGTTTTATATACCTCAATGCCTATTAGTGCTTGATGCAGTTCACGCTGACCAGATGACTCTAAATTTCCATCGTGCTTCGTCTTTTGTGCTATGTAAAAAATGCAGCTTTGTTAAAGAAATTAGGCTCCAATTTCATTTTTTGTGGAAGACTAATTAACGCCCTGTATTAGCAACAACACTTTATTACTTTAAATACTGAATTTAGTTTAATATGGCTCTGCATCTCTGGTTTGACTGTTAAACATTACCCCGCATTACTCCAGGATAATGACGATTACCAGATCTGTCCTTTTCTGTATATTTTTATGTCTTAGTTGTAATAAAGCTTAGTTTCTAGTCAATTTTGCATGGAAATTTTCAGTCAATTCGGCAATCTACGTTTTATTTGTACACGGCCAATACGAAAATTAAATTTTTAATTCAAAAGAGAAAAAGATCAAGAAATTATTGTAAGAAGACTTTGTACTCAAACTTGGAGAAACCACGCCTACTTACCTTTAATTCTATGACTTTTTGAACGTTTCAATTGCTTCAGCCATTCGGTTTCATTAAAACCTAAAAACATATGAAGTATTTGTACATAGATTAGGTTGAAAACGAGATTAAACAAAAATAGTGGGAAAAGTAAAAATAAAGATTACTCACGTTGACTTCCATGTGTAAAGCTCGCCATCCTCCTTTGTTATTTCACACTCTTGACAAGTCACGAGTTGAGACGACCTAAAACTTGTAGCTATGCGCTTTACTTTTCAGAACTACAGAGATTCAGAACTACATGAGAGAAACAATGGAGGCATCGTAACTTAATATCTAGACCAGGGCTGCCACTTTTGTCTGAATAAAAACATCTAGAATCTAGATCTAAAAATATCTAAATTTTAAAAAACATCCAAAAAATAGATCTAAATATGAAATTACTAAATTTAATAAAAACGAACCAAACGAGAGAGTACAAATAGTGTATTATAATACATCATAGTAGATTTCGAAGATCATTAGAAGTTGATGTTGTTGCTACAGTTGCTTCAGAGGGATTTTTAAAGGTTTCTGCTGTACATATTTTTCTTTGAAATCGAAAAATGTTCCTTCATGAACCTTACATCTAATTCTAAATAATATTCGTTTAATTAACAATTATACACATCTTTTATTTTCATTTCCCACTGGATAATATTTAGAACGTTCAAAAAATATATCTAAATTTTATAGCTAACATCAAGACTCCAAATTTTTTATCTAAATCCTCAACCAAACATCTAAATCTAGCTATATAACATCTAAAGTGGCATCCTGATCTTGACTCACACACATAAATACGTTAATAACACGCTTCAATTGATTTCTCGCCACTGTCTTTTGTTGCTTAGTCTACTTTTTTTTTCAAAAATCTATTGTTCAACAGAGCATTGATTGGCCCATAGAATTGAAGCGAGGCGGAACAACTTGAATAAAACATACAAAGCGTATGTATAAATTTGTTGTTACACATTCTATTAACATTTAACCATGATCAAGGCATACTGTACTGTATTTATTTTGTTAGTCATATATTTGACTGTATTTGCATATTTGACTTCAACGTGATGTGTAAACTTAGAAATAAATATCTAAATAATAAGTCTTATTGACTACCAGCCTTATATAAGTCCTAAACCCATAACCTTTGAGAATTATAGTCAAAGATCAAGCGCCATATCAATTTTTATGTAACGGATTGGTCACATTAATTCTCGATATATGAGCTGTTTATGTTCCAAGCACCCCAGGTTCGGTAAAACTATCAGCTTTTTGAAAGTTAGGAAACTATTGGACTTTCCCTTTTCTAGCCCGGCAACGAAACTAATGAAGGCAAAATGCGAGACTTTGCATGTCGATGACCACATAACACGCATCACCCTGTATCAAAAACATCGAGTTTTTACTTTCATCGTTTCGCATTGTATCATATTCCTTGGTTGAATGAGCCATTAATTGCCCGCAACAGGAAGTATAACATATAACTATAAGTATTTCTCTGTTGGGGAACATGATGCTTGCCACCATATCGTTTTTCAGGGAAACACAGGAAAGTTGAATATCCACTATAAATATTAGGCTACTATTTTGTCAACAAATCTTGAAATAGTTCCATCTCCTAGTATATATCTTCATATTGACGAGAAACATTTGTAAAGAGAAATGACAACTTCTTGTTCAATACTTGTTAAAAATCAAACTGTGTCTCGGGGTAAGGACGAAACTGGTTTCGATGGTTAGACGAAGTATCAATAAAATGGAAATCAGCTTCGGAAATGTTACAAGAGTAGATTTAAACAAACGATTTATGAATGAAAAATATAGAATTACGATTCTGTTTGAGACTTGAGGACCTCCTGATTGCCAAATGTCACTTGAAAGACCAAGATGTTTCAAACATTACGAATTCAATTTCAATGCATAAAAATGAGGTTTGAATTCTCGAAATATACGCAATATATGTAATTGATTGTACAAAAGGGTTGACTGTAGAAAATGGGATTGTGTGAAAAAAATAAGAGAGAAATATATATAGAAATTCTGTGATGTGAAAGTTTTTAGATGTTTCTACTAGACTTGAGCAACAATCCTGAACTTACAGCACAGGAAAAATACAGCACAGGAAAAATACAGCACAATCAATATCGGCTTTTCTTCTTCAATGGGGGGCACATCAAAAATATTAAAGTCCTCGGATGTGGCCTGGAAAAGTGGCATGAAGAGAATGCTGTACATGCCGCAAGATGTATGCATAACTGTTTATATGCTGATATTTTTACTTTTAGATGGTAGCATTCAATACTAACATATGTATATAGCTTGTAAATGATGTCTGAACCCTCATTTCATTTATTGCTCTTCATCGCCACACGGTGGTGCTTTGTATTATTGCGCAAGTTTAACTCGTTGTTGCGCCATTTCATGTTTTTGTTAATTAAACAGGCTGGCAGGGTTTGTGCTTCTCTAATTTGGTCTCATATTATCCTATTATATCATTTTTTTCTATGCAGTTAATATTGTAATATAAATCTCAAGTATTGAAGTATCTGCCAAATTCTTTGTGGTATCATCGTATAAATCGGTAAGTTAAATCATATTTTGAGTGAAGATATTTCAGCGTTCATGTCGCAAATTTTGCTGAGTGTTCCCTTATGATTAGTATGTTATTTCCGCAGCACTATTTTGTATAAGTGGACAATGTCTGAGGCAAATTATTGTAGCTCTTTTTATTTATAATATATTCTGCAATGTATAGATGTCCTCTTTTGTTGCGCAGTTGTATATATGTTAAACCAATGTTTAGGGCACGTTAAGTTATTACTACTAAGTTTTGGTTGTAACTGTGATTTTATACGAAAATCATTAGACTGTGGTGTATGTTTATTTGATACTTTTTACATTGCAGTTTACCAACTTCATAGGAACACTTCACTAAGATCTATTAGTTTTCATTCTATCATTCGAGCACAATTTTGAAGTAAAATTGCAAATCAAGTTTCAAGGCTGCCTTTGCTTATTAGAACATTGTCTTGGACAGTTTTGGGGCTTCTGTGACTGAGTTAAACAACGGTTATTAAACCACACACTCGTACAGCTTGAAGAGTCGTAATATAGCTTTTAATTAAAGTAAAATTATTGGTAAATAAATTTTTTTTTGATACACTCAAGTTTCAAGAATACCCCACTATTACTAAACGAATCAATCAATAGTTGAATAAGTTAACACATATGAGTATAAAATTGTCTGTTAAATCAGATTTTATCTCAAGAATTCCGAATCCCATAAAAATGGCGATTTTGTGTGACATGCACATTTTTGCAATTATTCCGTCATAATGAATTGTCGTTGGGAACGGAGGACCATTGTGACGTCACAACTGCAAACTAACATTGGCTAAGTATTTTCGAGTCTTCGCATCTCAGATTCTGGCTTAGCGCTCATAAATTTGAATTTACACTACAGCGTAGAAAAGAAATGGGAAATTATTGACTCTCAGCGGCATGACCAATTTATTGCATACGATGTAACAATTTAAAATTGTATGCAGTCACGCAATGAAGAAAAAAACTGTACATTCCTTATAAAGAATCATTTTATATTCGAAAAATGAGGCGTCTTAGATGTGTTGTGAGTAGAGTAGGAAGAAAGTAGTTTATCGTAAACAATATAACTTACTCAAAACAGAAAAAAGTACAGATTCATAAAATATTGTAGGAAAGAAAATTATTGTGTGTAAAAAAGGAGAAACACTTATACAAAAAGTATACAAATCGTGTAAATAAACTGGTTAAAAATATTCCACAAATAGAATCAAAAACATGGTTTTGGATTTATATTGCATTAAGTGTTGCTTTCAGCATTGAGCATCACACTGGCTATAGCAAAATTTGCTAAACTGCTCGCATTCGTAGCAAGAATGACTTTTGATTTATCTTTTATTCAGTAAATGTATACCTGGCTTTCTGAATATCATTACTGCTCTGTCAGCAACATCAAATATATAGACTAAAGTTGGAAACGACAATGTGAATACACATAATATTGTTTATAACTTAAAGTCTAACTTGTTTATCGTAACACCCACTTTGGTGCTGCTGTAAAGCAACAAAAATGAGGTAATATCTTTATAAAAAAATTCATAGCTTTCACTAAAATAGTCTCCTCGAAATAATTGATTCAGAAATTATATAATATATAATTAAATAATAAAAATTTATGAACTAAGATGAACTAATTATGACCACTTAATGAAGTTATTATTTGATTTGTAGTAAAAATAAGAAGAACAATCAGTATTGAAGTGACATGCTATTTGCCACACGCCGTTTGTTCAAATACCGAGCAATTATCGGACACGAACTATACATATGGATCGTTTTGCTATATTCTTGTTGTTGTTGTAATGGGGACTCAATAGATTTCAGTACTCAATGGCGTAATTAAGAAATCGCTAGAAGGCTAATATGTCCCTATATTTTTACGGCGCATGGGAACACTCCAATCCGGCATACTTAGCCACCTATATTTTCAGAAAACTTGGTTTTCCGCTGCGGCCTTCAGATACGGGTGCGCAATTTTCATGTCCATATATTTGAGCGTCGCTATCTCGTTAAGATGGCAATATATTGCACTTTCTGTTATTTTAATATTCCAATCACGAGACATTCTCATCTAATCACGCCAGCAATCACTTTTCTTTGCTTCCTTTTTGTGCTGAATTTGCTGGTAAAGTGTCACTGCCTGTCCCGTTATTCGGTTGGTTCAGTGCATCAGAATACGGGCGTTTGTGAGGAATAAATCGTACTAATTCACGGACACATACCAATAGAAAAATCAGAAATCCCTAGAAAATATTTTAACTGGTATTAGAACATTTGCAACAACATTGCTATAAATTTTAGACAAATATATGGTATTTAATGTCAATTGCATACCAACGTTTTGTGGCAAACTTGTTGTCTCTAGTCTAAACGCCACATTGCCAAGTGGGTAACAAAGTGCCTATGCTATACCCTATTTCCAGTCATTGAAAGCCTTCTGATGTCTAACTTGTTACCTGTACAAATGCTCGTATGTACCAAAGTAGCAAACCGTTGATAACAATTTCAACTTACCTGTAGTGAAGTGATGATAGAAAATATCCAAGCCATGGCGCATAGTCCTTCGCTATCGTCTTCAACAAGTAACATAAGAAAAGCCGACGCCCACGAAAAACCCATTGTTGTTGTTAAAGCAACTGCATTTAGTAAATGGTGTGGGAAGCTTTGATCCTTTTTAGATGAAGATATCTGAAAATGTGTATAGCGTTGTGATGAATGGATTTTTTTGATTTAAATTATCCTCGAATTCGAGAAGATAATTAGCAAAATATATGACGGCTTAATTACATAGGTTGCAATGGTACTGAAGTTACCACTTAGGTTGATGACTTCAAACAAGAGAGTAATTCTAAGTAGTGTGTATAGAGCCTAAGAAAGCCCATCGAAACCGGTGTCGTAAAGTCTGAAAGCACCTAGTTTTCTAAAAAGATCGGCGGTCAAGCGTGATAGAGGCGATCAAGCATAGCAGAATGAACCGTGTTCCTCTTTTAATAAAACAAAACAGCACATTTCAATCAAGTCATTAAGACTAGTAAAATTCAGAATACTGTCTATCTAAATTATTTAACATTTACTAGGAAACATTGTTTCCGACACAAAACTAAATGTTGCATTCCAAGATGTACATAACATACCTTTTCTCTCAAGCATGTTAGTTTCGAAAAAACAGCAATAAATACGGCGATATTGTACAAAAGTAGGGTGATAACTGGAGTTAAAAACCCAACGATTAACGATAAACCGGTCAACCAACACAAATCATCTGAACGGTATTCTGATGGATTCAATTGATCTAAAGATAAAGTTTATATTATTTTCGTTTGAGCAGAAACAAGAGAGTAATGCTCAAAAAAACTGAAATTCATCATCTGATCATTCAAAAGCTAATATTTTAAAGAAAATTCGAAGTCATCTTTTAGTACTACAAAATGAAAAGGATTGGTCTATTAGTTTTGACCACATTTTCCAAGCATCAAATGTCACCGAGAAAGTAGAACCAAGTCAAATTCCTAATGTTCACCGATATGGCGCTATCAAATGTAAGTCCGCTGGCGTGAATTCACTTCAGTGCATGGTTCTGCACTATGATCCTGCCTTTTGATGTAATGCAAAAGCATCGAAATTTTTAGCGATGTTATGAACCTTATAGTAATATGAAAATAATTAATAGAAATAGACTTGCCATCATTGTTTTCTTGGCAGTCTTCACTACTGTTTTGGCCGTTGTTTTTCATTTTATCGATGTGTCCTAATACTATTCCTGCATTCAATGCAACTATAACAGTAGGCACTCCGTAAGCAAATACACATGCCAGTAATACATTATACGATTTTCCGAAATTTTTTACACCCTGTTGAAAATAAAGTGAAAAGTTAAGTTCATACAATTCGCGCATCGATACTGGTAAATAACTATCCACATCGTAGCTGCCAATCATCAAAGATTGACGGACGACAATCATGACGGACGTAGACAAGTGTGACAGAATAAAGTGTTACCAGATTTCATAAAACGTGTTCCCATGCGGTGAAATAAAACCAAATGTTATCTTACCCGCACGATTTTAAACCACAAACTGTGTGCATACACAGCCATCCAGCACCACGAACAAAGGAGGAAAAAATGTAGCATAATTGTCATCGCGTTGCATAGTCCTTCTCTCACTACAGCATTGTTTTCTGTATACCTAGGTTCTATGCCAGCGACAAATATTGAATACGATGAGGCGAGACAGAAACATAAATGCAAAATGATATGCATGGAGGATCTGGAACGAAGTTTTCTGCAAAATTTTATCATGATTATGATGGTGATTATCAATGTTTTGAACAAGGAAACGAAGGTTTGATACTCTAATAATATCGGCAGCCTATGTGGCGCAAGATAAAATCCGTTATCTGATAATTAAAAAGCTTCACATTAAAATTTCAAATTACGTCCCGCCGTTACAATTCAAATAGGTATGCCGGTGAGACTATTGTTGGGCAGTGAGCACGACATTGTCGTGAAGATTAGTCTGACGTATTGCCGCGTGGTGGCGCATTACCCGTAGAAATTGAAAAGGTTGGGTGAAACATCGAGCCCTACAGTTATTTAGCAAAACGATATCTCTATGTGCATTTCGTATCCAACAATGTATCAATAATGTTTGAAGTATTCATTTATACTTATTTCGTAACACGAATATTGTTTTGGTAGAATTTTACTACATTTATCCCAGCACTTAAAACAGTACAACTTACTTAAAGGCCACGATGCATATAAACGTAACTACAAGTCCACCAATAGATATCAAGCAGCCTATACCAGTCGGTAGAGCGTCAAGTCCACATTTCGTCAAATCTTTGAACGCCTGAAAATTATTGAAGTTGTTGGTCACAAAATATCTTTTAGAGGTAAAGTCAAAAACAAACAACCGCTACACACATGAGAGCAATTCTCGAATTTATGGACACAGTAGCCTACCGGTACATCACTCACAGAGAACGGTATAACGTAATTACTTACAGGGAAATATGGCCGAGTACCGACTTCGTGAAATGATAAGCATGGACAGTCGTGCCTCCTGGCGTCACTCCCATTTTTACTGAAAATGTAGATATCGATTCGCTCACTGGGTATGGAGAAAACAATTTTCCGCACTCCAACAATAACAGCAACAACTTTAGCTATTGGTACTTCGACTAATATATATTTAAAATATAATTCGTGTATTTGACAAATATGTGCATTTACGTACGATCGTTTATGAGTTCCAGCTATGCAACCTTCCTCGCAGTTCTTACCATTACAAGTACTGCAAACGAAGTCAAGTGGTCACATTTACACGTTGTTGGATATGCAGTGTTATCTGAATAAAAAATATGGCATCCCTCAGTTGTCCAATATGATTGCTCCACGTCCCAATACATGCAAGAAAGATATTGATCTGAAGAAATCTGAACAAGATATTGGATCCTGGCTTTAATAAACAATTTTATGATTCGTAAATGAGTTTCTCGATTGAATCATTCAAAATTAGGAAAATTTATTTTTGATTGGAGTTTTTAATTGACTGATTGTCCCAATGTATCCCTAAAATTAAAATGCCCAAGAAGTATTGTTTTGAATTGAATTTTAGTTTTTTTTGAGTATTTCGAAAATGCAGCACATCAGGAAAAAATTACCTCGATGTCTGATAAATAGTTCCCATCAATTTCAACTGTGGTATTTTGTAACTTTATATTGTTAACTGTTTGATCCAGGTCTCCGAGTTCAACTGTTGAGATCTGAAACAAAGTTTTGAGAAAGAATAAAGCAGAATAAATATTACTTAAACTGCGTCTACCTTTGATAAAAATATTTGTCGCCTTCCATCCGGTATACGAAGCCAAAAATAACGATAAGTTTGTTCCATGTTATGGCGAGCCATTTATCTCCGGAGAAAAGAAAGTCGATAAAAGCGACTTGCTTACTAATGATATGGCCCACCACGTCCACCAGTTTAGTTTGGTAGGTAATCGGTTAAATATTGTACACGAAGAGGACGTTTTGCAAAATCGCTGTTGTTCTTGTTGGTATGTGTGGGGATGCTGTAGAAGATTTACAACTAATTTTATGTTGCAATAACCCTGTGACTTTATATATTTACCTATGGGAAAGGATATTTGTTTTCATATTCTGCTATTTTGGGGAATATAGCGCCACCACGATCAGATCCTGTCCTGTACGGCGTACGTTATCTTTTCGGCAAACGAGTACTGTTAAAGTTTACGAACTATGGCGGTGGCACGTGATTGGATATTTTGATTTGAAGATTTATTTGTCTACTAATATTAGTCGAATAAAACTTTCATCCAATTTATAAATAGTTTGAAATCTGTATTTTCATCAGAAAACCTACCCATTCTGTTGTCTGATCTGTGGAAGAAACAAACAAAACACTATATCGATGAACAAAGAACACAGATCGAATATTCATGCAATCTCCTCGGTTGCTGGAACCTATAACAATTGTGAATACAGTTCCTCAATTAGAGTTATGAAGAGAAAATATTCAAAAGATTGAATATGCCTTGACATGGACAATTACTCTAATACAGTGGTTTTCAAACTTAAAGCCGAGCCCCCCTTTTGGAATTTGTCAAGTCACGCGCCCCACCTCAAAAATACCTAGCTAACAATAAGCTATAAATAACAGATGGTAAGACGAAAGCATGTTTTATTCAAAAAACACGTTGAAACAACGTGAATGGAACGTAAATAATGAAATGATTTAAAAACAAGCAAAATTTGTTTTTATTTTTTATTATTTCAGTTGTGTTTGGCTGATAAGATGTCTAATTCTAAGTTTTGTTGTAGATATCGCACATCGTAAATCGCTTTCACAGATAAGCTGATTCCAGGCTTTTGTATTCACGTGTACTAGAGAGGAAAACCAAATTTCGCATAAATACGTTGATCAAAATGGTATTTTTAATTAGTTTCACTTGATGAAGCGCCGCCGTTTGTGAACCACTGGTAATATATTCATGGCTTTATGTTATTAAAAAGAAGATTTTATATGCATCGTTATATATTGAACGCGAAGTGCACCTCAATTCCTTTTACTCAATTTGAATGGCTGTGACGTGGGCATTGATTTTCTGTTTGAATTTGAAGCTTTTGAATGATCAAAAACGGAGTTCAGTGTAGTCACAATGTCTACCGGAACTGCGGTTAGTCCTTTTTCTCTCTGCGTCCAAATATTGGAGAACTTCACTCTTGTTTTATGTAATGAAACTATTCTCTATTCTGTTCTGCGTAACAAACCTGACTTTAGAATTGTATTCCGGTTATAACTCGGGGCGATGTTTGAATTGAAACAAAAAAATTCGTTTCGAAATATAATGAAAATTTCATTAACAAAATAACCTATCATAACTTCACTCATGAAAGTGGATATTTCCAATAATATTACCGTTTGCTAATGTTGTTTTAGCAACCATCAATGCTTCGGCTGGAACGTTGATAGTGACTGGATATATGGTGCCGGCTGAGGAATTAGTCGATATCTCGAAAAATTCCGGCGAATATGAAATGATGTTATATTCATTTGTTTCATTGCAAACTAATGTATCCGTTACCTGGGAGGAAGGATATAACTTAGCATCCAGTTTTATACTGTGTTCGTTTACGGATAAACTGTTTAGGATTAGTATATAACAAGAACACAATAAATCATTCCACCGGGCAGCATGCAGTACAGATAAGATACCTTAACAGTGACATCAGGCGACATAAAGAGACTGAAAGCCATGGGCAAGGGGTATATTCACTTGGCTAACACAGACAGTCCCCGAACTCGTAATAGAACTAAAATAAAGAAAATCGGAATAAAATTATGGACTAACCTAGTACACACACTACGAGAGTACCCTTTTTTAGAGACAAATTTCCCGCATTGCCACACAATCAATATAGATATTTATAATATATACATTACTTATTTTTAATTTTCCAATTTATTTTAGAAAGTAGACAACAGTTGATCAGTGTACCTTGGAAGAAATATCGGGTGAAGATGTTTCAAAATTTGAATCCTCCTTTTGTCCTAATGTACGGCTCATGTCGAGATTTCTTCCTATGACTGGGAGAGAAGCCAGCAGAGATTCTTTATTTTTGATTTCTGTGGAATATCAAGCCAAAATAACCAAAACGACATAATTTTAATAAACTGTTACATTTTTTGTGTAAATTTAACGGGACAGCGGTTATTATTGAAATTTCATAAGTAGTAAAATACAAATTTGATACCTATTTGTTCAAATTTTGTAAGCAATTATCGAATGTAATGTACTCTTTTATTGCGCTTTCTTGCAACATGTGCGCAAATATTCGCCATCTGCAATTCGACCATTTCAAAACAACGATAGCCACAATAAATTATCATAAAAATCATTTTAAAGAAAAATTGTAACGTTTTTTGGCAAATTTGATTTCAGGTTATGGTTGTTTATTTCCTGGACATCTATAAGCTATGCCATAAACCATATGTTACGCCATAAATAGTGTGTACATTATTCACCGATTGTCGGTTATATAAAGGAAAACTATTTTGTTTGAATGGACCCCGCGTCAGAAATATTTGGCATTAAATTCGATAAAATTGCCAAATAGCGTGTTCGGAACATGTTTTCCCGGCTATACATATCTTGGAAATTTCGGATAAATATCAGGTCATTGACATATCATGTTAAAATAGTCGCCAAACGATTCATTGCAAATATTTCAGTGTTTCAGTAATAAGACAATATGTAATATAGCATCAATAAATGCAAAAGGAATGTAATAAATGCATTGCTAATAAGGTGTGCCTAATCGGGCAAACAACGACATCAATACATAAGTGATTTACAGTATAGGCTCCTTAGAGGGATAATTTTGCCCGTGAGGGACGATTTTAGGAACAAGAAATTACTTTTTACTAATACACAGATTCAAATGTCCAATTGATGGGTTGATGCTAGTTAAGATATTATAAAATATTAGCTTTATTTAGAGTGCTTTAACTAGGGGTGCTATGCAAACACAACGCATCTATATTCGCAATTTCACGGGAAGATTTTCTTTTTCAATCTTTGAATGAGAGATTAAAAGCTGGGTAACCCCTGCCATAGACATTGGTATATACCAAAACTGTAATTTAAAGAGTTTCTAACAGTACTAAATGCACGTCATGGAATTTGTTGTCCAGTAACTCGTAATATTTCACTGACCCTGTTCCGTATTTGATGGATTTGAAATGATGTAATATTGAGTTAAATGACTTGCAGTTAACACGCAATCTCGCCAGGTTGATTTGGTAATCTGAATAATAAAAAATATCGAGAAACGTTCTGTTGGATTAACTCATTGTTACTGTTCATAGCACGCAAGAACAACTTATTACTGGCAAACAAGGTTCACAACATTATTGACATCAGGACTTATCAATCCTTGTACTACATACCAACGCACAGAGTGAAACATTTTGAATAATCTATGATCATCAGCGATAATATTACAACATGTTTTTGAAGTGCGATTATTTAAAAGTAACTACTTTGACAAAAAGTGAGAAAAAATGTCGCTTGAACTAGATTTTTGTTTGATATTATGGGAATTTTTCATAAAGATTATGAACGGTTCAACTCAAAAGAGATAAATAGTATGTAGACAGATTAAGTAGGAAAACGAGCGAGCTGAATGGAGTTCAATGAAAAATACCTTGACGCCAGAATTCGCAACTTCTTCGTAGAAAACGACTATAGTTTCGACATCTTCTTCGCTGATTGCTTCTGGGTCTGACGTCAGCAATTGAATTTCTGCGAAAGCATCTTCGACTTCTTGTGACGAGGATGTGTTGACCTGACAACAAAACGTTATGCATAAATAAATATATGGACTGAAGGTACCTTCTGCTAAATAAACGTGTATTCATCACAAGTTCGCACAAATCCACGTAATGGCATTTTCTAAAAGTCGGCAGCATTTTATGTAAAACAAAGGGTCCGAGAATGTCCACAATAAATTTTATATATTATTGGAAGTAGTAGCCTTACCGGTGCCTAGCATTTACGAAAGTAAATATTGCGGTATGAACGCGCGTATCGGTATCGGACAAGACCTAAAACAGCTTGGGAGTTTGCTGAATAGACCGACGGAAAAGCAATATAGAAACGATCCAGCAATACAGAATAAAAAGTAACCTCTTTCAGTAAAAATAAAACATAAAAATTATTGGTGAAACATCGCGTGTCATATTTCAAAACAAAATAAAATTGATTGTCTGCCATCGAGTTCTTGGATCGTTAAGTACTAAAATATGATTGGCCCAATGATTAAACCAACCGCAACATTAACCAAAATAACGATTCATATGCATATTCCATTACCAATAATGATAGACTCACCGAGGCAGTAGTATTTGCTATTGTTGTATCGCAGTCTGTTTCCACAAACCCTTCAAATGTTGTAATATACTCTCCGGCAATGACGTAAATAGAGCAACTCAGTGACGCACGAGCTCGGCCTGAATACAAAACTATATTCTTATAAATGTACATAACTAACTTCCCTATTGCCTAGAAAACGTTATTATTATCACACAAATTCACACGAGATAAATAAAATACCTGAATCGCAAGTTTCTTGTGAATAAACAGTGTACTCTGGAAATCCTTCTGGAAAGCTGTAGCCGTTCATTTCGGTTGCATTGCAGTATGCTGAAACGTATTTGATACAAATTAACACTTACCGATCACATTTACTCATAAGTTGAAGGAACATGTTCAAAAACAAAGTCGCAAGTTTTCATCAACTCACCAAAAATCATTTCATTTTATATAATGAATCGATGATATTAGAGATACAAATCTATAATTAAAAATTACCATTTTCACAGCATGCCAAATTTATAATTTTCCAAGGTTCACAAATAGCTCAACTGAGAAATTTATTTATGGCAAATAATAGGATATTCGGTTTAGCGCAATGGAATATTTAATATAGCAGTAAAACTGGAATCCCTATTTCTACAATTGTTGTTTGGTGAACCTTCCTCTAACGTAGAACAATTCTATTAATTGTGTTATAACTATGAAAGAATTTGTCTCCATTTTATTTGCTTTATGAAGATTGATTCTCATTAGCTGAAGAATGATATTTTCGAAATAGTGGTTTCCAGGTTTCGGCAAGCTTTCTCCGACTGCACGCGAGATATATTCACGATTAATATTTCACAAAAGTAACTGTGAGAACGACAAAATTACCGCATTTTTTGTACAGTTTTATTTTAATTATTCAATTTTTTAACTATATAAATGTCTAATAAATATTACTCATTTTAGATGGTACCGACATCGCTCAATAATGGGCAAAAATGGTTTATATTTCGATGAAAAAAACGCACGTAAAACTTTTTTCAAAATAGGCAATCAGCAACGGACACATCTTATGTAAATTTAATGTGAAACATTATTACTTTATATCGCAGTCAATTTGAATCACGTCTAAATGCAATATATCAAACTATATGACATTACCAAAGATTTTAGTATGTACATCTACGTAACAATCACAAATTTAACATTTAAGAGAAAGCTTTAGTAATTTTAATTTCGCCATCACTTCGTCTTCAACCTAAAATTCGACGATTCGAATAAAAAAGTTGAGAATAATTCGCGTTCGAACAACCATCCGAATATAATATCTATATATTTTCAGATGTCTAGTAGTGTCATCGTTCTTCCACCGACGCCTCATATCAATGTTGTCTCGTTTCGATTGACAGCAACTTACCATATGAAATCGATACTTAATGTTCTGTCAAAATATCCCTCGAGTTAGTTGGTATTTCAAGTACAAATATCATCCATGCCTGCGGAATTGCATTGTCTGTCTAATTTATTACATCTTGAGTGCATGGTTGGAAACCGAGATTTCAAACTGTGGTGTAATTTTTGATTTTCGTATTCGAATTAGGAGATAATATTCAACCATTTGTGTGAGATGACGTTCTAGTTAACACCTGGTTACACAACACATAGGTAAACATAAAAATATGTGAAAACGAATTTGATGTGGGTGTAGCCATTTAATTGAGTCCCCTTTCAAAGTGTTAAATATATCACGTTCCTTTAAATCCTTTGATTAACCAAATATGTATATACGAACCAGTAGACATCGATAATTAACATTGCTTCAATTTAGTAAATTTATGCATTTAGCATTTTTTTGAGATGAAAAACATAATCAAAGTAGGAATTTCAAATATCGATACACACATAAACAACGCACAAATATATAAACTCTCGCAGAAGTCTACCGGCATAAAATGGCCTATAAAAAGCGAAATTTTAAAAGTTACCGAATCGGTAGTTAGGGAGAAAAGTGCTTTCCGCCCAACGACAACGAACCACAATTGTCAATAACATTTTTTTCAATATACCTGTACATTGTATGCTTCCATTTCCGAAAAAACTTTCGTCACAATGACATGATTGTTCGTTAGTTTCTGTGTCGACTTGGTATGTTGCATTTCCAGCACATTCAAGATCACATGGATCTGTAGAATAAAAATGATACGTTTGGACAATTTTCCCTTTTAATTTCAAAATTGATAATATTATACATTGATATATTATTATACATATAACATTATTTGTCTAAATATAACCATTTTTGCTCAAAATTATTCTTTGCAGAGCACGAGTTGTTGAAGAATACCACCCACATTGTTTTTTTTTTCTATTTATTAGCGATGACCTACATTTATCAGCAACAATTTTATACCCCAAAAAACCCAACCAAATTCTATAGCCAATAAATCATCAAATTTGCTACCTAAGGACCATATTCTATTTTTGTAAAGTTTATTTTGTTAGTTATAAATTAGACGTTTACTACAAGCAAGGCCCGTACAAGGATTTAGGTATACACTTTGTCACATAAATTCTCATAAAATAAACACCCATAATTTTTGAAAATCGAATTATACATACATATTAACGACCAGCGGTGTACCGAGATGATATAGCAAATTGTCTATTTACATTGGAAAATACGGACATTTTTTTATTGGGTATAAGGCTAAGACAAAATTTTTGAATTTACTCGAATTAATTTCGAAAAATGAACGAATTGAGTGAAATAAATATAATATATATTGATCTTGAATCAATGTGCTTGAACGTTGAACTTGACTTTAAAGTATAAAATTTGTATTCTGACGAGTAAAATCAATTACTTTCACTCAATTTTAATAAGAAACTTAACGAGTTTCACGAAATTTATCATAGATATGGGTGACAGGGAGTAGGCCTCTTTTTTGAATTTGAATTTTTGAATCCGACTCCAGCTGTTCACCAAAAAGTTCAATTTTGATAATAAAACCGCGGTTGAAGAGACATTTTTATTAGACTGTTAGGAACTCTTAGTAAATTCATGTTTTTGAGTTTTTCCGAAAAATTTGACTTTTTTTAAAATCTCCATTGAAAGTATGAAATTAGGACTCCCAACTTCGGAAGTTTGAAAATACGACTCTGGCTTCGGCGAAAGCATGCCAAATTCAGACTCCCCGGCTGTAGTATATAGATGTAAAGTGCTGACATTTTTGGAATTCAAAAATCGGTTAATTTAAACAATTCGGGTAAATTTCAGAATTTCCCACACATTAATCCAGAATCTCAGTAAATCCAACCGTTTTTAAAGACTCCACTCACCACTCATATAAATATAGGTGTCGCCCGTGATATCGGTACTTGGTGTGAAGTAGTAAGGTAGAATAGCTTTACTACTGCTAACGTTGTATATGGAAACAGGCATCTCTGAGATATCATAAAATCCCAAAATCATATTTTCAAAAACATTATTTCCGATGTCTGCGAAATATTCTAATGTAATATTAATCGTTGATTCGAGGACTCCCAGTATATTTCGAATCCATCTTCGTCAATCGACTGTATTCGAGTTATATTTGGCTTCCGATAATCTAGAAATAAATAATATTTTGTTATAAAAAATATATATTTCAAATTCTTTTTCAATCCTGTCGCACATAACCATCCCGCATGGGATTCGAATCTACGAACCTACGCAGGATAATAAAAGGTGCGGTGGCGAGCGTATTCCTAACGCTTACCACGGAGCCACACCGCCTAATTTTCTAACAACCGGTTTCCTCATTTCAGAAAATGTATGAATGTCACTACGTAAGCTACATCAACATGACTCGTTTTACCTAACTTTCGAAATGCCGAATATAACGTTAGTAGTCAGCTGCGGTACACGTTACCCATGTGCTACGGTCGTTCAATGTCTAAGACAAGAACAGGTTCGTTACTACCATATTATTCCGAGAACGGGTTCGCTGATATCGCGACATCCCAAGAATCGGATCGGTGATGTCACGACATCCCAATAACGAGTTCGCTTACATCACAAGAACGGGTTCGATGACATCGCGACATCTCTAGAACGAGTGATGCCTTGACAACACAAGAACGAGTTTAATGATATCACGACATCACAGGAACGAGTTCGTTTATATTTGTAAGATGAACTTAAAAATTTACCTGGCTGTAAAATCACGATTGCACTTGAAAGATGTGGAAGATAATGTGGTCCGCTCGTTAGGACATAAATCATAGCATACGTAGATGACGGTAAAACAACATCATCATATTTGACCACGATCGGAGAAGAGGAAGCGTTTATCATTTGTATCCCAATGTATGCAATGTAGTAAGAGCAAGTTGCAGATGTGATCCATTCAACATATACGTAACCATCAATCAGCTCGGCTCGGGTGATTCCAGGATTATTGTGAGCTGCAGTAAAAATTGTAATAACAACAAAGATTTTTGTCGACAAAAGTTGGAAGACTCGCTTTAAATTTGGTTCGACATAACATACACGACGTATATTAAAAATCTCCATTACTGAGGAACAATTTGACTCGACTCCGAGAAAATTGATATTAAAAACTTTACGGAATTGTTAAACAAGCCTTAACTAGCCTATTGTTGAAAAAGGCTTTGGTGAATATAGTGATCTTTGAGTCCCGGCATAAAATTTAGACGTATTTATTATTAATTAAGGATAGTCTGAAATTCCGAGCTCATGGGGAATTCAGAATTTCGATTTTGACTTTGTAGTCCTGCATGGGGCGCTTAAAGTGAAACGGTTGATTTTTTTACTGCAATTTCAAATTGTGTGATCGCACATTTGCTGGCTAATCGTTGACGTCTGGGTCTATGGTATATCCTCTCCGACTTATCAAAGCAAGCAGGAGCAGTAAAAGATTGTATGTTTGAAGAAAAAAAAGAAAATCACTTGACTTGGGAAATCAGCAGCTAAAAGAAAGGAGCAATGCAAATAAAGCTCTTGTATTTTGAAAAGCCCATTTGCGAACCGAAACACATTTAAGAAATTTACAAAAACAAACTCGTAACACATAAGTACTTACATGTTAGGACCGTAGTCGATGATGTGGCTATACCTCTTCCATTCACATTAACTCCTTGTACGACCGCCTTATAGTATGAACCTGGTTCAAGCCCGTTTATATAACAAGGTGGACTCGAACAAAAGTATTCTTTTGACCAGTCTCCGGCACTGGCACTGATATTGATAACATAGCTATCTGCAATACCCGCATTACCAACACCAGGCTTCGTCCAATTCAATGTTATGGACGTTGTTGTTATGTTGGAAAATACTTGGACTACATCCTTGACTTGATAGGGATAGCCTGGATGATTTGAAATAGAATTAAAAACACTTTTTCAATTCCAATGATCGATTTATAATACAAGTATCGTTGCTATATTGTTTTACAATATAATAATGCTCATATATATGACAAGCGCTTCAATAGCCATACTAAATATATAAAATCGGACTTTTTACTCACTGTATACTAATTATTTATTATTGAATACTTTTATTCTCTAACTTCTCGTTTTTATTTGTCTTTCCAATTGATCAACATTGGAAATTTATAGAACAATTTATCTTACCTTGTTCGAGTTCTCCCGTCCACTCCATGAAATTTACACTTGGATACATTCCAATTTCGAATACTACGATTATTTCGAAATAATAAATCCATGGTGGCTCTGTGGTATCGACACTTGTGGTATGCGGAGATATTACATTATATTCTATACTATATACTCCAGAATAATTGTGTATTAATAGGTCGCATCTCTGGAAGCCCGGTACGTTTTCCCATCCGAGTGTCACTGGGTTGATAGTATAGTCAATCCATCCTATGGAGGGCAATGCGGTTGGCACTGAACAAAAAATATTATTGTCGTTGCCTCAATTAAGGGTACACAAAATTTGGTACTCCGTAGTATGTGAACCAAGATGACGGACACCGGAATCCAGTATGTGTACCAGGTTAGTGTTATGTCATAGTTTTCAGGTACAAATACTACTGAAGTTACTTGGCTAGTCCCCGAACTCGTAATAGAATTAAACTTTGAAAAATTGTAAATAAAATTATGACCTAACCCGAACCTGCATGGTTCACATACTACGTTCCGGTGTCCGCCATCTTGGTGCACTTACTTCGGGAGTACACAAAATTTGATATTCCGAACAGGATATTCAAAGTGCTTAATTTCGGTAAAAATATCCTATTTTCAACAATACGTTGGCCATTTATTGTCCTGTTTACATAGTGAAAAGACTGACTGATTGGCCCGTTCTAGTCAGTACGTCCATCGGTAACAGAGTGCGTCTGACGGAACGGCGGGCAAACGTGATTAAAATAAATCAGAATGAATTGAACTTTTAGTTGAAATATTGGATCTCATATGGCTCAGAGTAAATTTGAAGAATAAGATAAAAGTAAGAGTCATCTGCGACTACTTTGATTTTTGAGAACTGCAAATTTGTAATCGAATTCTTTGCCCAACAAGAGCAACAGGACTAACAACAACAAGAAGAACAACAACAACAATTCAGCTAAACGTTCCATATCGCCATTCGTGTGTAATATTGGAAAATAAAGAAATCAGCAAGAATAAAAGTTGCAATGTAATAACTCTAACCTGACTCCAAAATGCTTGTATACTCTGGTCCATTCCCAAACGCATTTACAGCAATGATGCTAACATTATAATATCTTCCGAAAGCCAGATGACCAAGAGATGTTTGAATATAACTGTCGTTATGCCCGTCGATGTCGATTAAAAGAAATCCAGTGCTGTTGTAAGAAAGTTTAACTGTATATGTGGATGCGAAAGCTACCGGTGCCCAAGTTAACCTGTCTCCTTGAATGTAGGCTTGCTCTGTCATATGGTATGGAGAGGCTGTGAGTAATAGATGCAAACATGTTTTAATGATCAACATCAAGGGTGGCTAAAATTACGTTATGTAAAAAGTTGCTATTATTTAGGGGGGGGGGGGGGGGGGGGGGGGGGGGGGGGGGGGGGGGGGGGGGGGGGGGGGGAGAGAGCAGAAGTATTCTGAATCAGCACTGACTACCTAATTCAGTACACTTCGGGTGAGAGGGAAGACATGGTATTTGAACTCAAGATGTGTAATTTGCGATGCAATACAGTTATGTGTAACGCCTCGACCGTTGCGCCAACACCGTTACCCCACTTTTGGGAAACTGTATATTGATAAATTCAATATATTGAGACGATTTACAATCATAAAACGTTTTATTCACAATGTACTGATTTTAAGTCATTAAAAGGATCTTTTTTTTATATAAATTACGTTTCAAATATAGTCAAATTACCTTTGTGTGAATAGATTCTCTTCACTTGCCAATGTCACGTTAGAGTACGTTGCATACAAGGTTGAGTATAAGTTTACAAATATTTGAAGAACCGTAGACAAACGGAGAGGTAACGTTTAAAACGACAACGGTTCCATCATCTCCTCTAATGACAAGCGAGTAAAACAACGCATTCGGGTCCATAACCCAAGTTATGATCATTGTACCTTCTACGATCATCGTAATATTACTAAAACTCCGGCGGTGAATAGTTCCGATACACACGAATACAATGCCATCAGTACGTGCAATTTGATTAATCGGAACATGATTTAATGTGACCAATATGCTGCTTTATTAAATTCAATCAGAAAATAAGTTTTTCATTTTTTAATTTGAATGTATATTTTATGTTATCTACATACATAAAAGCTTGAATCTAGCCTACCCAAACCCTAACAATCAAATAAATTACCCGCTCTTTCCGCGACATCTTCACCCATAACTATAGCCTACTGTCGGTGATGGTACTCCCGTTGTATGTGTACTATGAGGTTACTGGTTAGGTCATAATTTTATCCCTCTGCCCGTAGGTTTCAGTCTTACACAACGTGATGTAAAATTGGTACACACACTCTGGGGCGCCGAACGTCACTATCTTATACACAGCCTTGTACTCAGTTAAAAATTCTACGTGTTCGCATAACTACTGTTGGTATATTCGCAATAAAATGTGTACTGTTTATACCATTTTGATATAATTTTCCATCTTGTCCATTGTGTGCAAAACCATAAAGTATACAAATTATTACGGAGTATTTACTGGCGTGAAGTACTATATTTACCGCCTCGTCAATTGTGTACACGCAACACAAAGTATCAAAATGGAAGTTTTGATTTTCTAAATTAGAATATATGTCATCTAATTTAGGATAATCGTTTCGTTATTCCGTAATATGTGTACCAGGTTAGGGTTAGGGCATAATTTTATTCTATTTTCCTTATTTTAGCTCTATTACGAGATCGGGGACCGTCTGTGTTATCCAATTGAATATACATAACCCATAGGTTTTCAGTCCTTTACACAACTTGATGCAAAATAATGCAACAAATACTGTAGTTACCTCATATTGGTATAACATACTTCTGGAGCGACTCTTTTTATATATACCAATCAAGTTCTTTCTATTCAATCACATCAGTATGTTATTCCAGAAGAACACAACACATATGAGAAGTAAATTATTTAGCTGTGAATACTTTTACGACATGATACATCTATGCCGAGATACACAACCATTAATTAACTCGCCTTTCCCAAAATAATCCTTGTGCTCTGATGAAAACCATATTTATATAAGCTTGCGACCATCTGAGCAAATAAGGAAAAACAGATAAATATTTCAGTAAATTTACTTTCTTTTTCGACTTTTATATGATTATATTTTAGGACGAAAACACTGCGTCTGCGATGCATAATGGTTTAATATAGTTTAATAGTTATATGTTGTCCTTGTTATTGGAGTTGTTGGAGGTAAATATTTACACATGGTACTTAAAGTTTCCGTTTTAACATTTCCGCAATAGGTTACATGAAAGAAACGTTTAAAATTATCTTGGTGATACATGGTCTCTTGCATTTTTACAACACTTGAAAT